AGAGAGAGAGAGAGAGAGAGAGAGAGAGAGAGAGAGAGAGAGAGAGAGAGAGAGAGAGAGAGAGAGAGAGAGAGAGAGAGAGATGTGCCAATAATTTGTGAGTGATAATTTATGGGTGAGTAGTCTTAGAGATTTTCAAGGGAATTATAAAAAAGAGATTATGTTATCATGTTGCATCTCTTTGAATCATAAAGCGGACATGATTAAGAATCATGTGTTTGTAATTGAGTCGGATACACTACTGAAGACTAGCCGATATATTTCTTATTGTGTAGTTGCGTCAAGAGAAGGTGCAGCTGGAACAAACGTTGGAACAGGAACAGGAGCAGCATGTGAGTAAACTGATGAAGAAGATTGACAGACTAGAAAAGGAGACAGTTGGAAAGCAGGCAACACTAGAGCAGGTACAGCCACTTACTCATGCATTGATAAATACACACATCTACATTTACATGTACATGTACATGTACCTGTCTGAGCTTTTAGCATTTTAAAAGCAAAATTGCCCCAGGGAATGACTGTCTAATATCAACTTAATGACGACTGTCTTAAAGCTTCTCTTAACTTTCATAGTTTCTTCTTCTTGTACTCTTACAAATCCGATGGGCTTCAATGGCAGTCCCTAGTGACCTAATTAAGCGACCATTAGTATGGGAATTAAGCTTTAGTGTGTTATCCAACACGGTCCATGTTATGTTAAGCGTTAATTTGTGATTATGGCGTTAAAAGGATTAGCTAGTATCACGTTAATGTGTGATATTAGGAACAATATACAGCCTCTTTTAATGGACACTGTGACAACTCCTTTTAACAGACAGCAACAATTAATGTACATCCATTTAATTTGTTTCATTAGCTCCGTCGAGAGAAGATAGATCTAGAGAATACTCTGGAACAAGAGCAGGAGATGTTAGTGAATAAGCTTTGGAAGAGAATGGAGAAGGTTGAGTCTGAGAAGAGAGAGCTGGAGACAAGACTAGGGACCACCCCTCCCCCCTCTCCTAACGATCGGTCCAATCCAGCTGTACTCAACTCTCGTATTATGGAACTGTCAGCTGAAGTTGATAGACTTAAACGACTTTTGGCATCCACTGAAGCACAAAGTATGGAGTACATGTACATGTACATTATTATTATAAAATGTTATATACATGTATACATGTACATGGATATGTACATGTATATATAAATGTACTTGTAGGATAGTCAGTTATTATTATTGTTACTATTGTGAGTGGTTTGTGATTTGGGAGGTCAGAGTTTAGTGTAGGAGCAGCTCTAGTGAGAGTTAATGGTATACTACAGGAGCAGCTGTGCATGTACATACACTGGAGAGAGAGAGAGAGAGAAATGGTGTCATCATTACATTTAATGCTATTATACTTATACATGTGCATGTATAATCTGCTCCTATTAGTCCACTTTAATTCCTTTTCTAATAATGATGATATTTCTCTTACCTACAGACAAGGAGAAGATCAGGGCAGTTGTTGTTGAAGAGAAAGCTCTGAGAGAAGAGAACGTTAGGCTCCAGCGTCGTCTGGTGAGGGAGGTGGAGAGGAGAGAGGCCATATCTCGTCACCTCTCGGAGAGTGAGAGTTCCCTTGAAATGGAGGACGAGAGAATGTTCAACGAGAGATACAGACACACCTCCAGCCCCACCCCTTACTCCCCATCACCAACAAGACGATCACTCTCCCCAGCCTGTAAGTACATGTACATGTACTGAGAAGCTGTGTTAATTATTTGTAGAATTTAAGGGCGTATTCATTTAGTAGTATCAAGTTGGTATTATTGATGAAATAATTATAATGAGATAAAGTGCATTAACCTTTATAAGAAGGTATTTGTACCTAGTTTGTATAGATTACTAAAGAATTTGACAGTATACATTATGTATATGTGTACATGTACATATCCACATGTACTGTATCTGAACCTGTGTGTGGTAGAACTAACTACTTACCTAGTGCCTCTAGTATGTGCTGTAGCAGGACAATCTAAACTGTGTATAGTGTTTGATTGCTATATTAATATACAATTGGACTAATTTTTACTAATTTTAAAATGTTTCAAATATTTCTATCCTATAGCATTTCATGGTGGTATGACAGGACCAGCTGCCCCGGGGACTCCAGCTGTGTTTGCTGTTCCCTCGCCAGCTCACAGCAGGACCTCCTCACTAGGCTCCAATCCACAACTGCACACTACACCAGCCACAGCGTCTCAACCACCCACCACTCAAGTAAGAGACTATCTGATGTACATGTACTTAGGCTGTGTAGAAAGTTTGAGTTGATTCCATTAAGAAATTTTGGCCATTTTAAAGAATGGCCATTTTTCGAAAAATACCCAAGGCTATATAGCCCATGGTTTTTTCCAAAAAATGGCTCCGAAATCACCCCAAATTTTTAATACATTTTCTGATACATATTGATGTCCTTATGCTGTGTAGAAAGTTTGAAGTGATTCCGAACTCAACTTTTTGAGTTATTGCCATTTTTTAAAAATGCCAAAATTCTGAAAAGTACCCAAGACTATAGCCCATGGTTTTTTCCGAAAAATGGCTTCGAAATGACCCCCAATTTTTATTACATTTTCTGATACATATTGATGTCCTTATGCTGTGTAGAAAGTTTGAGCTGATTTCGAACTCAACTTTTTGAGTTATTGCCATTTTTTTTAAATGCCAAAATTCTGAAAAGTACCCAAGGCTATAGCCCATGGTTTTTTTCAAAAAATGGCTTCGAAATGACCCCCAATTTTTATTACATTTTCTGATACATATTGATGCCCTTATGCTGTGTAGAAAGTTTAAAGTGATTCCGAACTCAACTTTTTGAGTTATTGCCATTTTTTAAAAATGCCAAAATTCTGAAAAGTACCCAAGGCTATAGCCCATGGTTTTTTCCGAAAAATGGCTTCGAAATGATCCCCAATTTTTATTACATTTTCTGATACATATTGATGTCCTTATGCTGTGTAGAAAGTTTGAGCTGATTTCGAACTCAACTTTTTGAGTTATTGCCATTTTTTAAAAATGCCAAAATTCTGAAAAGTACCCAAGACTATAGCCCATGGTTTTTTCCAAAAAAAGGCTCCGAAATTACTCCAAATTTTTATTACATTTTTTGATACATATTGATGTCCTTATGCTGTGTAGAAAGTTTGAAGTGATTTCGACTTTGATTTTTTGAGTTACAGCCATTTTAAGAAAATGCCAAAATTCTGAAAAATATCCAAGGCTATAGCCCATGGTTTTTCCAAAAAATGGCTCCAAAATCACCCCAAATTTTTATTACATTTTCTGATACTCATTGATATCCTTATGCTGTGTAGAAAGTTTGAGGTATCGATTCTGACTGAAATTTGAACTCTTACAGTTGCTCTAAAGGCCCGGCCCACTGTACAATAATAGTAGCTAATTCTTTTTATTTAAATTGGCTCTGAACAGTGTTTATTATTCACGATCTATTCCCTTTACCCCTAGCAACAGAGTAGACTCAGAACCAACAGTGGTGGTTCCTCTTCATCAGCTAAAGGTCGGGAGAGACCAACCACACGATGATAGAACAGCTAAAGTCCCTTCTCTCTCTCTCTCTCATTGTCCTTTAATCTATTCTATGATTTGAGTTGATTGATTGTGTACATACTTATAATGACAAAATAATAATAGACACTTCCATTTATTGTTATTATTATTATCGTGTTGTCGTTATTATTATTTCATTTTGTCCCCATTATTCTCTCTCTCGCACACACACACATTATTGCTTTATGTATAATAATTGATGAATAATTGTTGTGTTATAATAGTTGTATCTTAACCTTGCTATTCAAAATAATTAAAAATAATGGCCATACTTGTACTTTATGAAGTAGCTCATATAAACTGGCAAAAACATTAACAATGAAATGGAGAAGTTTCTTCTAGTGATTAGCAGCTTTAAAAGTTCTTAAAATTTTTGATTTTGATTGAAATCAGTTTAAATTTGATACAAGCAATTATGAGTACATGTATGTGTTTTTGTCACTTTTTGAGGTAAAAATTACAGATGAACTTGACTATTGTAAATTATTATTCTTCAATAATGTGATACATAAATAATTATAATAACACTCTGTACAGTTTATACAAGAATAAGAGAATAAAGGTTGCTGATTTTTAATAATAATAACAATAATTGCTACAGTGATACATGAATGTTGATATTTTAACTGTCTATTGGGAATCCAAACACAGGATCAGTGTCAAACCATGAAGTATTCTTTTCTGTTTGTCTGGGTTGAGCACCTCTCCCTCTTGAAGTCTTCCTTCCCCTCATTCCTCCAGTTGTGTTTGGAGTTAGGGAATATGATGGCTATGAAATAAAGCACTAGTCTAATAGACCAAGAGTATCTACTCTTGCTAATACTAAGAGTCCATGACTGTATATTCTTCAAGTGTATACTGTATGCATCAATTATACTCTCATACCTTTGTTCTAGGCTTTTTAAAAGATGGTGGTGTCTCATTTTCTTGATCAGGATAGAGTTGTCTAAAGTTCCTTTTCTCTTGTGTCTCCTAATTATTATATTATCAGTATGATTATAATTTTTACTGATACCAATACTTTGTTGTTTTTCTTAGTCTGACTGCTAGTATGGGTTGATAGAGTGTTCTCTATAGAGGAGAAAGGTCTTTTTGATGGTGCCTTAAGAGGTGGACCAGCTAAAATGCCAATAAGATGCCGTTATATGATGGCCTATGCTCATTACCTTTTGGAGTAATAGTTTTGCTTGCTGTTGTGGCTAATTCTTTTTGTTTGATCATAGATGCCTACATACATACATAATAGTTGATAAATTCATATTTGTGATCATAATTATCTTTACATTGTCTAATTGTTGCTGAAGTACCTTGGCTGCCATTATCAGCTCCTTTACTTCTTCTTCCTGTAAAACAATACAATAATTAAGTGACTACTCTTATGATGATTGCACATCTAACCTTCTCTTTAAGCTGGAGCTTTAAACTCTCAATTTCCATTTGATACTGCTCACTGTCTTCAGCAGCACATTCCTAAACAATAGTATGTTATCATGACTCTCTCTCTCCAAATACCTTTCTTTCTTGATTCAACCTTTGCACTTCCTTCTCTAGTTTTGTTACTTTCCTTTTCATTTCTTCTTTCCCTTTTGCCTGCATATAAAATTCAGTCTCAACAATTTTACATCATGCACATCATGCTTTGGCTGCTGACCTCCAAGGCCTTGGCTTCTTGCAGGGACAGTATCTCTTTAGCTTTCTGCTCCAAAATACGAGCATTTTCAGCCTATGTACATGTACATTTACTAATGCCATTTGATCCACATAATTTCTAACATTGTATCTCTCCAGTGTCATCCCAGTCTCCTCGGCAAGTGAGTTCATTTTCATTTTGGCTTCTGCCTCCGTTCTCTTGCAAGAAGATACTTCCTTGTTCATCTCTTCAATCTTCTTCTCCAATGCTTCCTTCTCTCTCAGTAGTAGCTGATTCTCTTTTTCTTGCCGACATTTGTCAGATTTCGTTTGCTCCATCTCTTTCTCGTAGCTTTGAATTGACTTGGTCTTTGCAGCAATCTCTTTCTTCAGTTCTAAAGTCTATAAGTATGTGAGCAATGGAATACAAAAGTATTCTTGTAAGGTGTATATGCTCTTACCATTGATTCTGATTCTTTTATTTTCTGGCGAAGCTTCTCCAATTCATTCCTCAAATCTTCTTTCTAATAAATAAAATTATAAAACAATATAAGTTTTAATGCTCATACTTCTTTTAGCAGCTGCTCTTTGACCCTCTCTTTCTGGTCCACCTCATCTCTGATTTGTGTCAGTTCAAGTGTTGCCTCTTTAGTATTCATCACCATTGCTGATTCCAGTGATTTATTCTATAAAAGTATCATAATGATAAATAAAACTTTAATGTACCTTTAGTTCAAGGTCATGAATGGAACCTTCTTTCTCTTTCAGAATCAAAAGCAAATCTTTCTTCTATACATACATGCATAATAAAGCATGATAATAATATTATACTCCATTACTTCTTCTTCCATTTTTTCAACAATACTCTCTATTTCAACTAGTTTCCTTATCATTTCTCCTATCTATAATAATTATAGGTTACACATCACATATAATCATAGCAAAACAAACTTGTTTGTCTTTCTCTTCCAACAAACTATCCATCTTAGTTCTTAAAGCCTGCAAAGGGGCATACATGTATAATGGGCAAAACTTAATAATCAATATTACAGTACCTCTTTTTCATTCTCTTTCTCTTTCAGCTCCAGCAGTAGTGTTGATATTTGTTGTTGACATGCTGAGAGTTCAGTCTCTAATTGAGTCAAATCCTTAGTGAGCTCCTTATGGCTCTCATGAAGACTTGAGAGTTGGCTTCCAAGATTAGCTTTCTCAGTCTGTGTTGCAGCTAAGCTCTCATTCAGGTCAGCACATTGTCTCTCAAGAGATGCCTATTAAGGAAGGAACAGTATGAGAAAATGCATATGGTAGATGGGCTATAACCTTTTCATTTTCTGTACCCTTCAATTGACTTTCCAATTCAGCTAATCTATTAATAATAGTCAACAGCCAAATCATATACATGTAGGACTCCATACTTCTGTTTTTCTTTTTCTATTTCTGTCTTTAGCCCACCACAGCAATCAATCAGCTCATTCTCTCTCTTTTGATGTGTACTGGTCAGATCAGTAATGTGCTTCTGAGCTTCACTGCATGTTAACTTTAACTGGCTAATCTCATTATTCAGTGCTTCTATATTACCAGTCAAAGTAATCAGCTCAACCTTCATTTATCATTAGTAATTTTTAGTTCAATAAAGCTTTATGATGTACCTTTCTGCTCTCCAGTTCCTCATCTTTGGTTTTAAGCTCACACTCTTTGACTTTAAGTGCAGACTCACCATCATTTACTCTTTGCTCAAGTTTATCTGTTTATAAGCAGAAAGGGTATAAAATGGAGGTATTTTTAGCTTGGTTTATTATTAAGTGATTATAACTTGAAAAATTGAAGTTGGAATCGACTCAAACTTTCTACAAAGCATAAGGGCATTAAAATGTACCAGAAAATGTAATAAAAATTGGGGGTGATTTCAGGGCCAATTTTTGGAAAAAACCATGGGCTATAGCCTTGGGTATTTTTCAGAATTTTGGCATTTTCTTAAAATGGCCGTAACTTGAAAAATTGAAGTCGGAATCGACTCAAACTTTCTACATAGCACAAGGACATCAATATGTATCAGAAAATGTAATAAAAATTTGGAGTGATTTTGGGGCCAATTTTTGGAAAAAACCATGGGCTATAGCCTTGGGTACTTTTCAGGATTTTGACATTTGTGACCATAATTGACAAAAGGTACCTTATGGCGGATAGGAAAATTGGTCTTTATAGCCTTAAAAATCCGACTTGCTAAGCTCCATTTATCATGAAATTACTCCAGAGGATGCAAAAAGGTACTATGCAACTTTTAGAAACAATAGTTGTCTAAAAGAGCACTTACAGGTTCATATTTTTCATCATAATGATGAATTTTAAAATCCGCCATAAGGTACCTTTTGTCAATTATGGTCACATTTTATAAAAATGGCTGTAACTTGAAAAATTGAAGTCGGAATTGACTCAAACTTTCTACAAAGCATAAGGGCATCAATATGTATCAGAAAATGTAATGAAAATTTGGAGTGATTTCAGGGCCAATTTTCGGAAAAAACCATGGGCTATAGCCTTAGGTATTTTTCCAAAATTTGATCAATTTTTAGTAATGCTCAAGACCCAAAATTTCAGTTGTGATCAACTCAAACTTTAATGAGATATGTACATTGATACATACACAATAGAGATACATGTACAATTGTACATGCAGCTGTACCATTTTCCAGCTCTAAAGAAGTGATTTTCTCTCTTTGAAGTACAACTGTATTCTTAGTCTCAGTCAAGTTGGTACTCAATGACTCCAGCTCACTCTGCAAAGTTGAAATCTAATTCAACAATTAAAGAATAAAATAAATAAATAAATTAATTAATAAGTGTACTTAGTGTAGCTAACCTCTTTCTCACTGGTGACTTTAAGCTCTGATAGTTGTACTAATAATGCTTCATTTTCAGCTTCTTTTGCTTCAACTAAAATTAATGAACATTACCTTTATCACTCCATTATGTACATGTACATACTGTTTTTAGTTAGCAAGTCATACTTCTCTGATTGCTCTTTTTCTAATGATTTAAATAGCTCCAAAAGCTCCTGCAATATTGAAAGAAATGGTATGATGATACCCACATGCACTAAGTATTACTATTTCTGTGCACATCTTACATTCACACATAAAACAATTAATAATTAATATGGTACCATATATTGTTGCTGCGTTAGTGCATTCTCTTCCATTAGTTTTTGTCTGTCTGACTCTCCTAATTCCACAGCCTGCTCAACTTTAAAGACGTGTTCTTTAAGAGCATTACACATTTCACGAGTGGAATTAATCCTATTGCGTATAATAGAACATGCTAGTACATGTACATGTATTTCCAAGTACTTTCTCTGTATTTCTTTCTGATTAGCTATTTCTTCTTCAATCCGTGAGCTCAGTGAGTCATTTTTCAACTAATTTTTTATTTCATTAATACTGGTATGTTTCCTCTTAAGCTCACCTGAACATCAATCAAAGATTTTTGCTGTTTGTCAATCAGTTGATGAGCAGTTTGGAGCTGATGGTTTTTCTGTTGAATGTCGAGCTCTGTGGAATTCTTCCACTGGCGAATTTTCTCAGCCTCCTGCTGGAGACGAGAGTGGAGCAGACCCAATCGCTCATTACTCTGCTTGTGAACTTCTTCTGCAATTATAAATAATTAATAAATTCTAAAAATTAATTTTACGATATTTATAATTATTAATTAATTACAATCATTAATGATTGAAAAGCACCTTTATTCTCTTGCCTGAATGAATGGTTTTTGTGCCTCAAGGCTTGACCAGAGTGCTTAAAAGACAGCATTTCCCTTGACCTGAGGACTTGCATGTCTAAAATGATAACAACTTAATAATAATAACAAGGAGACTGCTAAATTGCATAAATTCTCTCTGCATTTGAATTACCCTCAGAGGCTAGCTCAAGAAGATGTAAACAGAGTTGCCAATGGAAACACAGTACCCGGGAAAGAAACTGATTGGATGAACCACATGGAAACCAGCAGCTGTTTTGACAACGACACACCTCCAGCAGGATATGACGTCACATAATAATCATGACGTCACGTAACTCCCTCGCTTGACCACGCCCATCGACTCAGCAAAAGCAGCATATCCTGTGTAATTGTAGCCCTTGACTTGAAAGAAAGGTCTGTCTTTTTAATTATAATAATTAAAGCAAGTTCATTAGCAGGAAAAAAGCAAGGTACCATTTGAAGTATCTTGCCTTGTATTGATATAGGAGCTCTTTCTCTGTAGGATGGCTGATAATTCATTGGAGCAGTTGAAAAAGTTTACTACAGTTGTAGCTGACACTGGAGACATTAATGGTGAGAAAGGAGGGCTTAATGTTTTTATAATTTGATAGGGTGGGCTCAAATGCCTTTGATTTTGCTTGAGTATTAATAATAACTAAATGTCCTGCAATGGGTCAATACATTATGGTCTTATGGGTGTGTTCATTATCCTCAATTTTTAACAAGATACCTTTATTATGTAAGCAAGCAGAGACAATATTGATTTCATTTCCTTCTTGCAAATTAGAATATGCAACAGCATGCATCACTTTGAGCAAATTTTTGATTAATCTGACTCAGAAATTTGTGAACTGAATCAGTTTAAACTTACTACACAGCATAAAGGCATATCAATAATACTAATAGTTATCGACAATTGATCGAGAAGATAAATATGTATAAATATAGAGTACTACAAAATAGATTTATTGGGCTTCATTGGTACAGTATAGCAGCTATAGCCTCTCTTAATGGGCACTCTCTATATCACACAAAGCATTATCCTAATAAGGGAGCTAAACAGCATGAGTTTTGGAGCAACTTTAAAAATTCATAAAAAATTCAAATTTTATCTAAATGAGCTCAAAGTTGATAGACAACATAAGAACATGTATATGTATTAGGAAAGATTATTAAAATGGAGAATTCTCTACTTTTCATTTTTGGTGAAATTTATCCCATGACCCATAGTACAGGGACTTTGACCCAATTTTGGAGCAACTTAAAAAATTCATAAAAAATCTAATTTTGATTGGAATCAGTTCAAACTTGCTACACAACATTAGAACATGTATATGTATCAGGAAACATTATAAAAATGGAGAATTCTCTACTTGTCATTTTTGGCGAAATTCGACCAAAATCCCTGTACTATAGTACAGAGACTTTGACCCAATTTTGGAGCAACTTAAAAAATTCATAAAAAATCTAATTTTGATTGGAATCAGCTTAAACTTGCTACACAATATAAGATCATGTATATGTATCAGGAAACATTATAAAAATGGAGAATTCTCTACTTGTCATTTTTGGCAAAATTCGGCCAAAATCCCTGTACTATAGTACAGGGACTTTGGCCTGATTTTGGAGCAACTTAAAAAATTCATAAAAAATCTAATTTTGATTGGAATCAGCTCAAACTTGCTACACAATATAAGAACATGTATATGTATCAGGAAACATTATAAAAATAAAGAATTTTCTACTTGTCATTTTTGGCGAAATTCAGCCAAAACTCCTGTACTATAGTACAGGGACTTTGACCCAATTTTTGAGTAACTTGAAAAATTTGTAAAAAATTAATTTTGATTAGAATCAGCTCAAAGTTGATACACAACATAAAAACTTGTATATGTATCAGATAAAATTTCTCTCCTAGCAATATTTTTGACAAAGTAGGCATATTATTTACTTGTCCTTATTATTCACAGCAATTGATCAGTACAAGCCAACTGATGCCACCACTAATCCTTCTCTCCTTTTTGCTGCTGCACAAATGCCTGAGTATAATGATCTAGTTGATGATGCTGTAGCATATGGAAAGCAAGCCTCCAAGTTAGTTTACTATTATTATTATTTATTATTATTATTATTATTATTAAAATTATTAATTATTAAAATTATTAATTATTAAAATTAATAATTATGGATAAGTTAATTTCAAATGCTCGTTAAACGTGTGGGTGGAAGACATGCATGATAAGCTACTAGTTATAATTACAACTAATTTTAATTGTCATTTCTCGTTACTTAGTAATGTGGAAGAGCAAGTTACAGCTGCCATTGACAAACTATACGTCAACTTTGGTGTTAAGATATTGAAGCTTGTTCCTGGACGCATTTCAACTGAAGTTGATGCAAGGTAGGGCGACAACAGAGCTCATAGTAAAGTCCTATTAGCATCCTTAGCAGCTCCAGGAGCAAATCTAATAGCATTAATGCATTTACTATTGTAATGGAAATGTGATAATTTCTTGGGGGGAATTAGTGGGTTAGTAATTCAATTGGAAAGTTCAGGAATACTAGATATTGTTGTTGTTATGCCTTATTCACTGCTGCTGGTTTGCAAGGTGAACAACAGGTGATTCAGTTTTATTTTAAGAAAGAAGGACTCCTATGGCAGGCTTGTTACTGCCCATCTGTTTGTACAGATCTCATTTTATACACTTGAGGTAGTGTATATGATAATAATGAATTATCAAAATTGTTATGATAATTATTACTACATTTTGTTTGGCAGCCATTTATAATCATATGCTACTGATTTGTTATAATTATGTATATACTAGTGCATGTACTTAGAATGAGTCTTGTTTCATCAAATATTTAAAAAATTGCTACACTTGAAATGTACAATTGAGTTACATTTGGAGACACATAGTCGGGAACTGGTATTGTCTATCCCATCGGTTGTTGTGACGTTAGAGTTATCATTTTCCTAAGGCATCTGACTAATTTGTTTCTCAGACTATAATTATTGTACTGTGGTCATCAACCACTCATCATCAGTCTCTCAGGCATCAGTCTAGCTATTGTTACCTAATCTTACATAATCCGCTCCAGGTTGTCCTCTATAGTCTGTTGTTTGAACTCTAATTAAGAGTTGCCTACCAACTAAGATAGCATAATTAGCATTGATCCAATTGGAGGATAGACCTTTATTCAAAGTCTATTTATGAATGGGCTTGTCATTATTTTATGTGTAATATGCATTGTCTGTACTGACAGGTTGTCCTTTGATAAAGCAGCAAGTTTAAGCAAAGCAAGGAAGTTCATAGAGCTTTATGAGCAGGCAGGGATCAGTAGAGAGAGAGTCCTCATTAAACTAGCATCAACTTGGGAGGGAATACAAGCAGCAAAGTAAAGACAGAGAGAGAGGGGGGGAGAGCTACTGAAGTTGATTGTTATTGCCTAATAGGGAACTGGAAGAAAAAGATGGAATCCATTGCAACCTTACCCTCCTGTTTGCTTTCTGCCAGGTATAAGTCTTCAGCTTCCTTCTCTTTATTCATCACTGTTGTTGTTGTAGGCTGTTGCATGTGCAGAGGCTGGTGTCACACTGATCTCTCCATTTGTTGGTAGGATATTTGATTGGTATGTTAAGAACACAGATACAAAGACATACGCTCCTAAGGATGACCCAGGTTTGACTTTAACGTATTATTTCTATTGGAAATTTCATGCAGTACACATACTGAATGAATCACTGAGTTATAGATGTACTGTGTTCTATTTCTTTTAGGTGTCAAGTCTGTCACAAAAATATACAATTACTACAAGAAGTTTGGCTACAAAACAATTGTAATGGGAGCTTCCTTTAGGAACGTTGGGCAGATCACAGAGCTGGCCGGTTGTGATAATCTCACCATCTCGTAAGTACATGTACCACATATTACGTATAGCTAATGTTAAAGTATAGTCCCTATTATGTGGTTTTTGCTTGCAATTAAATTAGAATTTGATCTTAACGTTTGACCATTTATGGTAAGTCAATGCAAGGTGTGATAGTTGACATATTTCATGAGAGGGTATGGTTACCTTGGTTTATGAGAACAGCTTTTGTTTGATGTGTGTTACTGTGAATGACACAATAACTATTGTTGTTATTCTATACTATTAGGTGACCATTATAATTGTATTTATTATAATAGTAGTAGCCTTACAAATATTAAATATTTTTATGGCCCCTAACTCAATGAAGAAGAATCAGTAGTCACTGCTCCAGTATAATAGCAATCATGTCCATTAGCATAGATGATCCATGTGTTTTGATAATGAAAGCATTATTGAGGAAAGAGTAATATTCCTCTCCTCATCCATTGCAGGCCAAAGCTATTGAATGAACTGCAGAGCTCAACTGATACTGTAACACGCAAACTCTCAGTTGAAGATGGTACATAAGTCTAACAAAAATAATATAATAATTATTTTGATATTTGTAGCTCAGAAGACCGAGATGGAGAAATGGACACTGGATGAGGCAAAGTTCCGTTGGGAACTGAATGAAGATCAAATGGCAACTGAGAAATTGTCTGAAGGAATTCGCAAGTTTGCTGCAGACACACTCAAACTTGAGGAGCTTATCAAGAAAAGGCTCTTGGCATGAGCTTAAGGAACAGCCAATTAATGACATTTCTACTGATTAGCTGTAGTTTCCACTATTATTGTGTCTAATTTGTATGTAGTTTTTATTAGTTTTGACTCTCAAATAAAGTTACTATAGCAGTATAGTCCTAGCTATCATGACTTGAAAGTCACTGTTTTCAAATGTGTGCAAGTTAGGATATCTGCTTTGGTAATTGGTACCGCAATAGTACAGCATCTAAGGATTGTCATAATGATCTTAACAGCAATGTTTTAAGTAAGGATAAAATGGGATTGATCCTTATCTATACTATGTCATAGTTATGTTAGGAGGATTATTGTGAAATCAAAACTTGGCGTGCTTGTTCTGCTTGAGTCTTACATAACATTGCATAACACTCTGTTTAATAATGCATGACTAGACTACCAGTAGCAAAGGGATCAACCAAATGACGGCATAACATTCAAATCATGCAGGGTTAAGTGTCATGTACCAGAGTATGAGCTAGTATTATAGTGCTGCATGAGACCTTATGGTGCACCTGGAGTGTGATTTATACCCTTCAAGTATGTTGGTGGCCTGCTGTTATGCCGACTCTATTTAGTGTGGTATGGAAAACCTGTTTGACTGGTTTTGGGTGTAAATACCAGCTGTATTTCATCGGCTATTACTAATAATACGTGCACTAGCCATGTTGTGTAACTTGCCGCAATCCGTGGTCACTAGCATAACTTTGATTTGGCATTGACAAGGAAAATGACATGAAGCCTTCAAATCATTAATAAAAATACGCTGAAGCCTTTAAATTATTAATAAAAATATGCATTGAGTAATGGAAAGTTGGCTTTACTTTCTCTTTTTCAAATAATATCCTTTTAAATTTAATCACCATTATACTACTTCTATCCACCAAATTTTCTGCAGTACTTGTCCTACCCTTTAAAGTTTTCATGCTAAATTTTTTTGATTATTGTTATTTTTCTTCACAGGCTGTGGAGGTGTTAAATGGTGCAGTATTTACAATCAGCTGATTATGCAAAATACGAGCCACACCCCCTTCTTCTTGAAATCATTCCACGTGACATTTGTTGTGCATGCGAAGAAGTGAGCGTTGATCCAAAAGTGAGCGTGCGATCAATGGTACTGTGGGGATGTGATACTTTATATAGTATACTTTTGTTCCTGCTTGCTCTATATTTGACAGACTAGACTAGAGAGTACTTCTGTATAATGGACAGCTATAGCAATGGTTTCTACGAGGAAGAAGAAAGAACACTTACAGGTAAGAAAGAGCCTTCTTCTTGCTTATCATATTTCAGTCATGTCTGTTGTTTCTTTCAGTCTTTAACAATGTCGACGGGGCCTCTGAAGAAGAGCAGGATTCATTTTTCGACTCTTACTCTGCATCAGCGTCTTCCTCTCCCTCCAGTCTCTGTAGCTCAAACTGGCACTCGGAGAGATTGCCTGTCAGCCTTCATTGGTTCAGATCTTTCTCACTACGCCTACACGACAACTCTGCCCTAATGGCCTCCCTCCTGCGGCCTCAGACACAGTTTAGAGCTGTCTTTGTCTTAGATCCCTGGTTTACCGAAACAGATAAAAAATTTGGAGCGAACAGGCTCAAATTTTTACTTGAGTGCTTGCACGACCTCTCCAACCAATTGGAGGCCTTGGGCCTAAAGCTGTATGTAGCTCAAGGCCAAACGACAGCAGTGCTAGCTGGCCTCTGCCAAGAATGGGGAGTCACTCATCTTTCATATCAGAAGAGTCAAGAACCACGCAGCAAAGTGGAGGAGCGAACCATCAGCGAGATGGCGTCAATGATGAACATTGAAGTTGAGGAGTTTCACAACCACACGCTCTACAGCCCAACAGAACTCATCAAATTAAACGAAGGGAAACCGATCCTCACTTTTAAAGATTTCAGGACTCTCCTCTCGAAACTCAAACCTCCTGCCGTCCCCATTTCAAGTCCCTCGACGAAACAGAAATACAATGAAGACAACATCCCAATGTTTAAGGTGCAGACTTTCCAGATACCATCGCTAGCATCTCTTGGTTGCTATGACGTTGAATTAGGAACCGGCCCTTGGGTGGGTGGGGAAACAGAAGCCTTGAAAAGACTCGATAATTACTGCACCGTCCGAAGTAAACCTTTTGACAATTTCCTTGATTGTCTTTTTGACAAGACGAGTCTTAGTCCTTATGTTAGATTTGGTTGTCTTTCTGTGCGTCATTTCTGGCATTACGTGAGACAACTTGCTTCAACAGACAAGTCAAAGATGACACTCGTTCAAGAAGTATCCTCGAAACTCTTACAACGAGAGTTTTACTTCCTCGTCTCAAGTCAAGTACCTAATTTTGATACTGACACTCAAAACCCGATATGTATTCAGCTACCATGGGAATTTGATGCAGATGGATTGAGAAGATGGAGATCAGGAATGACAGGGTATCCTTGGATCGATGCTGCCATCAGGCAAATGTTGAAAGAAGGATGGATACATAACTTGCTAAGGTAAAAACTGGCCCTACTTCATTACAGTTGTTGTTAAAGTTCAAAATATTCTAAGCAATAATTATATAAATTATATTGACCATGCTGTGATTGCTTTGTTGATGCAAGTGATAACTTGCTGACTTCTCGTGTGATATTCAAAGCATCCAATCTTGTTTGCATACAGTCCTGCCTTCCTATAACAAATATAATTACTGCATTTCTTTCATTTTAGAGAATCGATTGCTACCTTTCTCACGAGAGGAGACTTGTGGATAAGCTGGCTTAAAGGAGCTGAGTCTTTCGAGATGTACATGCTAGACTACGAGCCTTCGGTCAGCTGTGGCTGCTGGATGAAGAGCAGTTCTACTGCTTTTATCACAGGTACAATCGAGCACTATAATCCAATCTCGTATGGTCAACAGCTGGACCCAAACGGAGACTACATCAGACATTTTGTGCCTGAAGTAAAGAACCTGCCCAAAGAGTACATCTTCTGCCCGTGGATGGCACCAATTGAAGTGCAAAGAGAAGCTGGGTGTATAGTGGGTACTGACTATCCTCACCCAGTCGTGGATCACATGACAGCTGGAGTTATTTGTATGGAGAGACTCAAGAGTTTCATGCAAAGTTTGTCGTCGCATCAAACAAACCCCTGAATATTTGTAATCCTTAATAAAATAATAATCCAATACTTGTTCTCACTGTAATACATATCGATCACTGTTATATTATTATTATTATTATTATTATTATTATTATCATAATTATGAAAATGAAGTTGATCACTTATTCAACCTGTTACGTAATGTTACATCATCATGAAGCCTGGCAGTGCGTGCAGGCATGCCAGCACACCAACTGATTGTGTAACAATGTGTAACACTTCATTCAATTAATAATTATGGCGATTCTTATAAGAAGTGATAGAAACGCACTCGAGAACACAACTCTAATCATTGGAGCCTAAGAAGAATCATTCACTCTTGCTCTACATTGATCAACTAGTTCTAGCAATCTCCTCAGTGACTCTTTATTAGTTTGTATCTGCTTTAAACTTTCTTCTATTGCTTCATTATATGCAGTTGACCATTCCTGGATGTGTTAGTAGTAAAAGAGAATGTTTGTTATAAATACTGGGCCACTACTATATGAACTGACTTGTATTTCACTTTCTTGTTCAAGTAAGTGAATGTAGCAGTTCATTAGCTCAAGGTGATTGGACTTTTCAAGCTCCAGAGATTGAACATTAGCTATATTCAAATAAGAAAAGTCAATCACAAATTATCTTATATTACTAGCAGAAAAGCCACAATGCAAGCATAATAATTATATTATAACTAAATGCTCATTTATACCTTCCATGTTGCCAATGGCTTGATAAGCATCTCTTAAAGCTGGCCTGCAGCCTGGACTAGGTTTAAGATCATCACTGATTGCAGTACACCCTTCTACATTACAATACTCTTCATCATCATCATCATTATCAGTTAAATCACTTTTCTCATCACCACTGTCATCATCATCATCACCATCTCCTGTTAAATCAATCCTCACTATTGCAGAGTTGCTATGATCAACACTCTGTGGTTCATGAACACTACTGCTGTCAGTACTGCTGTCATTAGCAAGACATTCTGATGAGTTAGTCTCATCCTTTTCTCTTCCATCACTATCATTAGTCCTTTCCTTAGTGCTTTCTTCTAACACTTGAGTCAGTTTCATTACTAGCTCATTACTGTGCGGTCGGCCACAGAAATGAGAATTCTTCCGGTACAAATTACAAAATGAGATATGACACAGGCTACAAGAAAGCTCTGAGTTATTGTACTGCCCTGTACTAGCAATTGTATCATCTACTAATCTTGAGAAAACTGGATACTCCATACAATCTACAGTAGCACAATCATAATACATGCACAGTGTATACCACTAAATAATAAAGTTATATACTACCTTCAAATTTTTTCCATAAGAAACCTTTTAGTTCCCTTGTGTATCGATACTGATCCACCTGGGACTTCACATTGTACTCCTGGAGGTCATTTATACAAACAGGTTTTAGACCCTGTCTTACTTCTTTCATTGATTCATTCATAGAGCCCCATACAAGACCGAGTTTCTTAGCTACGTCTTGAGATGAGCCAGTGAAGTCTGATTGACTCTCACGTAGAAAAGCACCATAACTGAAAGATACATAACACATCACAATCTCTCTCTCTCTCTAAACTTATGTCTCTTCTTTTACCTAGTTAATGGAGGACGAGGCTTTGGTGATTTTAGCTTCCGTCTCTTCCTCTATAGTTTAATGAAAAAAAAATGTATTATAATTCATCATCTAGACCATTATAGCACAGGGTTTTTGGCCCAATTTTGAAGCAACTTTAAAAATTTGTAAAAAATCCAATTTTGATTGGAATCAATTCAAACTTTCTGCACAGCATATGAACATTATGCATCAGGAAAATTATAAAATAGAGAAATCTCTACTTATCATTTTTGACAAAATGAGGTACTTTAGAGAAAAAAGTCAGGCACTCAGTAGTAAAGGATTCAGAATATCTTACTGTATTTCCTTGTACTTCTCCAGAAGCAGAGGGTAGGTAGTGTCCATTCAACTTGCCACCAGTTGTTGATTGGCTCTCAGTTGAGCTTTGCTGCTTATGAAGGAAATCCCTCAATATGCTTCTAGTCTGTGAAGTCATTAAATTGTCTTGAGTGGGAGAGGAGGAGGAGGAAGGCTCCGAGCCTCTTTTCCTTTTTGATTTATTGTTGCTCTTATGCCTTGAGGTCATAGAGCAGTAATTCAAAGCAGATAAGAGCAAGGAATGGTCACTGATTGAAGTCACTCCAGTTTGATTTTTGACAGCTACGGAAGCAGCACTGGATGAAACTGGTGGTATAATGGTTGGAGGTGCCTCAGTGGACACACGCATTACAGTGGACACAGGTACAACGGGTACAGTCGATACAGAGGCTACTGAAGTGACTGTGGACACTAGAGCCACTTTGGGTATTGGAACACTGGATACTGGAGTGAGCATTGGTATACTGGATATTGGAGTGAGCATTGGTATTGATACACTGGATACTGGAGTGACTGTGGGTATTGGAACACTGGATAAAGGAGTGAGCATTGGTATTGGAACACTGGATACTGGAGTGGGTATTGGTACACTGGATACTGGAGTGAGTACTGGTATAGTGGGTGGATTCAATGAGGGTTTTGTACGTAAAGATATGACAGATACAGGAGTTGGAGTAACTATTGGAATTTTAAAAGATCTATTATTTAAAAAGGTCTTTTTGTGGTGTCCACTACTAATGCTTGAATGTAGCTTCCTGTGGAAATGAAGGTTAGTTTTAATTGGATTGGTGGTCATAATTGATAATCTATCAGTTTTATATTGATCACTGGCAGGGCCAGTTGTGGGTGTGGCTAAGGTAGGCTTGGTTATGATGGGTGTGGCAGCTAGTGATCGAAAAGGTGCGGCCAAAGAAGACGCTATCATTTCATTCTCTTCATCTTCTTCCAGCAGACAGCATGGCATCTCAGATGACATTGGTAAATCAACTGTAGAGTGAAAATCAACAATTAATATATACGAGTTGATTAAGTAATAATAATACTAAAAACTCATCATAAATCACCCCCCAATAACATAGCAATACAGCTAGTGTTGTAATACAAGGCTCACCCGGAGTGCAAGAGCGTATGGAGCGTAAAACTGGTTGGGACGAAGGAAGACTGACGTCAAGTTCTTGATCCTCATCATCTCCATCCAAAGAGAGTGACCGCTCCTCCTCAAGTGAATGTGACTTGATAAATGAATGGGAACTATTAGCTGTAGACAGTATTACAATTGAAATAAAAATAAATAAATAATTATTATTGTTGTTAAAAATGAATATCATACCAGTGTCAGTGTCATTATGATCTTTATCTTTGCTGGGAGTTGAGAGTCTCTGCATCTTAGCTTTCTTGATCTTGCTCCTCGAGCCACAGCTGAAGAGATCCTCCAAGATGTTACCTCTGACATTCCGTTCCACCATTATTTTGGCCACACCTTCAATCAGCCCCACCCTCTTTTATGATTCTGTAAAATTGAACTGGGTGGCCTTGCCTTATTTTTGACGGGCAAATCTAACACTGGGCGTGGTGGAAAAACAAAAACGGCAAACTGGCCGTTTCTTCTTGTCGGGAGGAGAACACAAGCTAAAAGAGATGGATCCTTTGCTTGTAAGGGCCTCCCCAGTCCCTGACCCAATGTATAACACCACTCCTGACAGTCATTACCTGGAACCCATCAACTGTTACAATGGAAAAGACAAGAATCTGTGTATTAGGTCAGCCTAGCATTTATATTCATTATGTCTCCTTTCAAGTTTTGTTTTGTACTTTAAATCAACAAATTCTTATTGTTGTTGACATAGATATTGTCTATTATTATTATTGTTGTTGTTGTTATTGTTGTTGTTGTTCATTAGGATTGGTGTCCTTATAACATTGGTTCTGATTACAGCTGGTCTTGTTCTAGCAAGGGTAAGTTAAAGGTGGACTGGAGGAGTGAGAGGAAACAACAATGGGACGTATAAAAGAGAAATACTTTAAATCATGTACAGATAAATGTACAAGAGTATACTTAATGATTGGTTTGTTATGATGCTCCATGCACTGTTGTTAGATAAGAATTTACAATAAAGATAAAGGGACTTTATTTACAAACAATGAAGATGTAGATGTCACACATGCTGAGCTTACACACACTTAATTAGAGTGTGTCTATCCTAGAAATGCGTGACTGTATATAAAAGTACATGGAGACACATTATATACTCACTTAGCACTCTATACACTGTCAAAGCTGCCTTTATAGTGGACTGAAACAAAGCTTTGGAATAGCTTCCCTGTTAAAACTTACTCCCAGTCCCTCCCCAGGGGCCTTTCTCTGTGTTGATAAAAAACCAATCAAAGCATAACTTATATCAGCCTTTTGTTTGATGTACAAGTACATATCCACAGTGTAACTTAATGTACATGTACATGTACAATAGTTAATGATCTAAAATGTTTAATATGATCTAATATGTACTCAGTGGTGATAATGTTTATTTTAATAGATAATACAGTATCACACTTACAAGAACAGGCACTATGCTCAGTACTTCATTCTTTACACTGGACTCATTATTGTGCTAATTTTGTGAGTGGAGACAGTTTTTATAATAATATCATGATTAAAACTCTTATTCAACTACATTTTAGGTCAGCACATACCATTTATTTTCCTCAAGTTCAGTGGGACTTCACCGCTATCCTACTAGTGGCTATACAAGTAAGTACCGTACTGTCATGTACTGATAATTTGTTATTCATTAATAATATGCTTATCTGTAATGTTTGAATAGCATTGCCCCTTGTACTGCTATGGGGATGATAATGTGAATCATGCTCTGGTGTGCTGATTCATTGCCATAAATGAATTCCCCCAAATGTGATGTAATATAGCATGTATACACAGGCCACACATTTTGTGTAATATGTTAGTGTACTCTCACTTTGTGTAATAATAATTGTTTTTCTGCAGCTGCTCTCCATTTGGTTCTATTACTTGTTCTGGGCTTTCAGATTACTAAAGAAAGAATACTTGTTTTTATAGTAAGCAAAAAGCACATGAAGACTCTAATCTCCCCCTCTCTCCCCCTCTAGTGGTGTCCTTCCTCTGCTGATTGTTCTTATTCTGTCATTCATTGGAGTGTTCCTATGGGCCAGTATCACTGCTTCAGATAACTCTCATGAATGCACTAGTATGAGTCATTAAATAATTAAACATTTCATGCAGCAGCTGCATGAAATATAAATACCACCTGTCATTATTAACTCATATTGCGCCTTATTGTCTCCCTATTTGATATTCTCTGTTCTTATAGGACCCCAATGGCTGATATTTTCAACATCACAGCTACTCATAGTCCAGCTCTTACTGGCTACTGTCATTTATATTTGCTGGTAAGGAGAGCATCAGTATTGATAGCTTATCATAATAATCCACCCCACTGTCTAAAAATAATAAATAAGTATAGAATTATAAGAACTGAAAGGGGATCGTGTGGTATTTCTTGTTATTATACCTATACTAACTAGTGAACATTCACTATAATTGCATGAGCGATGTTACATAATCTTGTGTAATCAAATGAATAATAAGCTGACCTTCTTTTCTCTCCCTCTCTCTATTAGTAAGTTGAATCATGTAAGGACGGTCCGTACCAACAGATGGTCACAAAAAGCTCAACTTATTTTGTAAGAATCAACTTTTAAAATTTATTCATTTTATGTTCTTTTTTTTAAAAACAGTATTGTCATAGTGTATGAGATAGCATCACTGTTCACCTTCTTTTATGATCTCTACTTAATATCAAGTAAGTCATCAGGACTACATTATGATAAACATCTCTATTGCATTAATGATGCTTTATAGCATTGATGCATCAATGCTAGTAGAACTTACATGCATTTCAATTACTAATAATCACTATTTTTATTTTTATGTAGGTCCTAATAAAAATTGTCTCACCGATATTGTAAGTGTATACTTCCTTTTTTAGTCATTTTAAAAATATCATTTGTTCTATTAATAGTCCACTAATGAAGGAGTAGTCATATTTCTTCAAGCTCTACTGACAGTGAGGAATGCTTAATTAATTCCTATTTAAATAAGGAACCTTTCTTCTCCCTACAGATATTAAGGACTCTTGGTCCTCAAATTGCTATTGTAATCATATTTGCTCCTTTAAAGCCATACGATGAGGAGAGAGAGACCCAGCTGGAGAGGAATATTTATTACCCGGTAAGAGCTATGGGGCTCTTCATACAGCATAGCTTTATGTACATGAAGCATAAAGACTGTATGCTGTGTATAAAGTTTGAGCTCATTCGGACTTGGTTTTTTTAGTTATGAGCATTTTTTAAATGGCCAATTTTTGAAAAAAAACCAAGGCCCATGTTTTTTTCCGAAAATTGACTCCAAAATCACCCCAAATTTTTATTACATTTTCTGATGCATATTAATGTCCTTGTGCTGTCTAGAAAGTTTGAGCTAATTCCGACTTCAATTTTTCAAGTTACAGCCATTTTAAGAAAATGCCAAAATTCTGAAAAATACCCAAGGCTATAGCCCATGGTTTTTTTCAAAAAATGGCTCCGAAATCATCCCAATTTTTTATTACATTTTCTGATACATATTAATGTCCTTATGCTGTGTAGAAAGTTTGAGGTGATTCCGACTTTAATTTTTCAAGTTACGACCATTTTAAGAAAATGTCAAAATTCTGAAAAATACCCAAGGCTATAGCCCATGGTTTTTTTCAAAAAATGGCTCCAAAATCATCCCAATTTTTTATTACATTTTCTGATACATATTGATGTCCTTATGCTTTGTAGAAAGTTTGAGGTGATTCCGACTTTAATTTTTCAAGTTACGACCATTTTAAGAAAATGCAATTCTGAAAAATACCCAAGGCTATAGCCCATTTTTTTTTTTTTTTAATAATAAAAAGTAAAATGAATTTGAAATAGGATCAGAAATCAGTAGTAATGAGTTTATAAGTGAAATTAGCCCATGGTTTTTTTCAAAAAATGGCTCCAAAATCATCCCAATTTTTTATTACATTTTCTGATACATATTGATGTCCTTATGCTGTGTAGAAAGTTTGAGGTGATTCCGACTTTAATTTTTCAAGTTACGACCATTTTAAGAAAATGTCAAAATTCTGAAAAATACCCAAGGCTATATATAGCCCATGGTTTTTTCCAAAAAATGGCTCCGAAATCACCCCAAATTTTTATTACATTTTCTGATACATATTGATGCCCTTATGCTGTGTAGAAAGTTTGAGGTGATTCCGACTTTAATTTTTCAAGTTATGGCCATTTTAAGAAAATTCCAAAATTTTGGAAAATACCCAAGGCTATAGCCCATGGTTTTTTTCAAAAAATGGCTCCGAAATCATCCCAATTTTTTATTACATTTTCTGATACATATTGATGTCCTTATGCTGTGTAGAAAGTTTTAGCCAATTCCGATAAGAAATTTTCAAGTTATGGTCATAAAAGATATTTTTAAGTTTGAATAGTGACAGTGCTGCCAACTGGAATTCAGCACAGATTAATTCCTTCATTTTTTCATAGAATTACAGTTCATACAGTGAGACACAGTCAACCCAAAAAAGCTCCGTTCCTTCATATCCTATTCAGCCTCCTACATCTATCAAGCCCTCATCTCCAGAGGATCACTTTCCTTCTCTCCCTCGCTCTACACCATACACTCCTTCTTCTGGTTACAACTTTTATAACTTTCGGTCGTCATCAACAGTAAATTAATAAAAAAACAGCATTATTATTATTATTATACATATATATATATATATTTATTATATTGTTTATTATTGTTTTGTTATTATGTATATCGAGCTGTTGTTTTTTTCTTTCTCTGTTTGTATATTTCTGCTTTCAGCTTTGGTCCGTTTTTGTGACTTAAAAAGTTTATAAAAATTAATAATAATTTTTATTGAAGGGCGGGGCTAATTATTATTAGTCACGCCCACAATCACTAGACTACAATGGCTGGAGTTACCACAAGTTTTAGACAAGTACCTTTAACTTGTCCTGGACACACTAGACCAGTCGTTCACTTGCATTTCAGTGACGTCAACAGTGAAGGACAGTTTAAATTCATATCAGCTTCAAAAGGTATAATGGTAGCATTACATTGACGATGATGATTATGATAATAATTTGAAGATGCTAAGCCAATGCTCCATCAGGGAACTACTGGTGATTGGATTGGAACTTTTACTGGTCACAAAGGAGCAGTCTGGGGCTGCTGTCTCAATAAGGAGGCTACTCAAGCAGCAACAGGAGCAGCAGATTTCTCAGCGTAAGAACAACTACTTTAAAAATAGGTTTTGTGCTGATAAAGTACTTTCATACATCCTCTTGTCAATTGTCATAGCTGTAGCATGCAAGGTTTTGCCAAAGGGGCTGAACTTTTCTAGGATTTTTTATCTGTTGTAAATTATGGTATACACTGCTTAAGAAAAATTATATTATTTTTCTATTTTTAGAAAATTATGGAATGCACACAATGGAAATGAATTGGCTTCATTTGCTCACAAGCACATTGTAAAATCTGTGGACTTCTCTCAGGTAAGAAAAAAAAAAACAAAAAATTAAAATGCAAAAAAAATGCCGTGACCAGGATTCGAACCTGGGTTATTACGGCCACAACGTAATGTCCTAACCACTAGACGATCACGGCTCATCTGAGGGCAGCTCTGCAATTTTGTGTTTTTATATATACCTGCAGGATGGCACTCGCCTTGTAACTGGTTGTAATGATAAGTTAATCAGAGTATTTGCTCTGGAAAGCCCAAAGGATGAATCTTCTCTGTCCCTCAAAGGTCACAGTGAGGCCATTAAGTCTGCCATTTGGATAGCTGACCCAAACCTTCTGGTTTCATCTGAAGAGACTTCAGACATAAAGTTGGTTGATTGAACTTTTCATTTATAATAATTATCTGCTGTAGATTGTGGGATGTCAGAACATGTGATGTTGTACGAGAGATAGCACTCCCTGGCCCTGTACTTAGCATTGAATTATCTAAAGATATTTCTATAATTACAATTTCACATTCTAATGGAGTTACTTTCCTTGATGCTACAAGGTATGGCAACAGTAAGGTGCTTGTGAAATTCACTGCATGAGTATTGGCTTCATTAAAGATGTGTCTAACTTAGATTTAAAGAATTCAGTTATGTTTTTCTTTCGCTTGCTTTACGCATTTTCTCTTTTCATTATCTCTTAGTCTTGAGACTATAAAGTCATACCAGCAGCCTCCATCTTGTGGAAAGGTGAACTCAGCCAGTCTCCATCCAAGCAAGAGCCATTATGTCACTGGAGGAGAGGACTTTAAGCTTTATAAGTGCAGCTACGAAGATGGAAAAGAAACAGGTGTGGCTACTTTGTGCTGCATGCATTCATCTTAAATTGCATACTGAAAAGTTGTATTTTGCAGGTTAATCTTAATAATATTATTATTACACATTTCTAGAGTCTTATAAAGGCCATTTTGGTCCAGTTCATTGTGTCAGATACTCCCCTGATGGTCACTTTTATTGCAGTGGCTCTGAAGACGGGACCGTTAGACTCTGGCAGCATACTGTAGGGGAAACTTATGGCCTTTGGAAGAATCCTCACGAAAATGGAGCTAATAGCAACTAGCAGTTTCATTGAATTCTGTTTCTCACACAATCTCTTTATTATTTTTGCCTCCAATCAATACCGTATTGTCTCTAATAATCCGCACAGTTTGTTTTCTGTGTAATATTGAAATGATAGATAAGGGCTTTTTGCTCGACATATTGAAAGTATGTGTGTGTCATGTGATTAAATGGTCGCCTAATTTCAGTAATTTGTGTATTATAGGAAAGAGGGACGAGTTAGTTTATCTGTTTTTCTTTGGCACTGACGTACAGCTCAATAGTGAGTCTGTGACAGGAGAAGCTCTAGAAATATCTTCCTTATAGGCTAGAGACAGACTGAGAGAGAAGATAAGCCGTCATGGCAGCTAGAACAGGAGGAGGAGGTTCATTACAAGTGAAGGTAGTCCTTCTAGGAGAGGGCTGCGTTGGAAAGACTAGCATAGTTCTACGTTATGTCCAGAACCAGTTCAATGACAAGCACATACAAACTCTTCAGGTAGAGAGGGGAGGAGGAGGAGGACATCTTTATATGTGTGTATTCTTGTAGGCTTCTTTTCTCCAGAAGAACTTAACAATCAACAGAAGAAGACTCTGTCTGAACATCTGGGTCAGTTTATATGTCTCCTGACATTAAATGTGTACATATTACATCTGATTCTATCTTTTTTAAAATCTTTATCATGATTCCATCTCTTTCTTTAATCTTTCTATACTTGTATTAATGTTATTATTCTCACTCTTTCTATTTTTAAACTTAAATAGGACACAGCTGGTCAGGAGAGGTATCACGCTTTAGGCCCTATCTATTACCGAGACAGTCACGCTGCTATAGTCGTATATGACATAACTGACGAGGACTCCTTCACCAAGGTATCAAATACACTGGGATTCCTGATAAGGTTTTAACGTATGCTATATGATTCTTTAGGCTAAGAACTGGGTGAGGGAGCTACGTAAGATGTTAGGTGACAGCTGCGTCCTTGTGATAGTCGGCAATAAAAGTGATTTAGAAAAGAATAAAGTTATTCAAGAGAAGGATGCTCAAGAGTGAGACACACCCACTTCTCATTATCATCATCATCATCATTTATTATCATTATTTATTATTATTATTATTATTACTATTATTTATTGTGTGTTGTATGTAGATATGCAGCGTCAGTTGGAGCAAAGCATTTTTATACGTCAGCAAAACAGAATAAAGGAATAGAAGAAATGTTCCTGGACCTTAGCAAAAGTAATGATAATAAATGGAGGAGATTAGTGAATTATTGTATTACAGGATTATTGGAGAAAGAAGGCAACAATTCGAATCCATCATCAACCAATCCTTCGTCTACCAGAAGACCAGGCGGTATTACAGTAACGGATGATAGTATTCGAACTGACCGCCCTAGTGGCGGGGGTGGTGGAGGAGGGGGAGGGTGCTGTGGTTAGAGGAACAGTGAGGGGAGAGGGGAACGGTTTTGTGGTTTTACCTCTTGTTCCTCTCTTCTATGTGATTGGTGTTGTTGATATTAATTATTGTTGTAGCTAATTATTAATAATAATAATATTAATGAATAATTTATAAAGAGAGATCAATTTCTTTTCCTGTTGTCCAAAGCATAATTGTATGCTTTTTGACGATAATATATATTTATCATTTTTTGTATCAATATTGATCTATATGTATGTGTTTGTAATTTCTAATAATAATAACAATAATGTCACTGATCTAAAATAATAATAAAAATATCAATGATAGAATACAATTTTGTTTAATGGAAACGATATTTTCTAAGTGGCTTAAGATTGACGTAGGTTTTCTTCATTTCTTCTGACTCTGCTGTCTTCTCACAGCTGTATCTTTCTCCTTTCATACTCACTACTTGGTTGTCACGGTAGCGAACCATCTTTTTGGGTTCCTGGGGCATTTTTAATAAATAAAAGTTACAAAAAGTAATGAAACCTGACTTCTTTTGGCAACACAGGACGATGAAAGGTTGTGTGTGATATCTGGGAGTACCTGTGAAAAGAAAAAAAAATAAATGTAGCAAAAAGGCACGAGAGGGATTCGAACCCACGATCTTCGGTTTACGAGACCGACGCCTTAGCCGCTTGGCCACCGTGCCATACAAATTGAGGAAGAGACAAACTTTAAAAAACTAACCTTGAAACAATGTAATCCTTAGTAGTTTCATCACAGACAGCCTAAATGTGTTTAAAAATTATAATTTCCTATTTGTACTGATTATACTTTTGTTGCACATTTAGTTGTTGCTTCTTGCAACGGTTCGTGGTGTTTCTTTTTGCTCTTTTTCCTTGAGACGTCATCTTTCATGTCCGACCAGATCTTATCTGGTTCAGGAGATTCAGAAGATGAAGCAGACATGTTGTTGAGTATTCTGTTCTTGAACCAATCACTTACAGTAGCTCTGGAATAAATAAAATGTATAAAATTTAGAATTATACAGACAGGAATGCACAATAATTCTAATAGCCAAACCTATCAAATTGAGAGACTTCTGGTATGTATCCAGCCAACACTTCAATAAAGTCTTCGATTGAATCGTCATGATCTTTATCTTCATTTGAACTAGATAAAAGGCTGGAGAGATAGCCTAACACTACCTCATCAAGAACTTCCAAGCATCTAAAAGAACCAGTTAAGATAGAGGAGTTTAAACTGGCTTACTTCTTGTCTATATTTTGTGCTTCTGTCAAATATTCTATCTCTTGGTATAATCTATCACCCTCCATTTTGTATTCCCGCCTAAATGAACCGTATTTCTCCGTATACTTTATCCACGTGTAAGCACGTGTGCTACTTTTGAGGTGGGGAAGCTCCTCCTTTAATCTCCATGGACTCAAAGAGGAGGAAACAAGATGAGGGAGAGTGTGATCACGTGAGCAAGAGACACCAAGGGGAAAAGGAGGATGAGGGAAGGAGGTCAGAACAGGTCCTGTATCTAGTAAAGAACAAGCTAACAGCAAAACATTGCAATCATTTGAAATCCTTAGCTTCTAAAAATGGAATTTCAGTCACCGAAACTTTCAAGTAATGAATGTCATTAGTTTTTGATTACTCTGTTGTCATAGTAACAACGTTACCCATATTGTCACTGTCCTTCCTAGCCTTGAGCGTGTCAAGGAAGTTCTTGGAAAGTATGTATTTTTGTAACCATGGCAACACGATCTTTTTATGCAGGTCAGACTTTGGGAGTACAGACGTAGTGACTTTAGACTGTTAGTTAATTAATTAATAGTTAAAACCTAATTTATTATTCATAGGGCTGACGGCCTGTTTCATTGAGGGTAGATATGTCCAGGTTACTGATCAGTATCGGCTCAAGGAGGTCAGGTGAGTGTCACATGACTCTATTAGTGATTGTTGGAGGTGTGGCCTTTGTAGGACTGAAGCAGTTCAAACTAGTGAGAAAAAAGAATCAGCTGCTAATGTAAATACATCTGATTGAAATTAATTTATCAATTATATTTACATTGAACTTGTAATAATATGAATGTATAATGCATGCATATTTTTGTTATTGGTACTGGAATATCAGTACATGTATATATATGTATTTAATATTTATTTATCATGTTTTTAGGTTGCAGAAATTACAGCATATGAATGTCAGAGACCAACACTGCTGAAGCACCACAACCCACACATCACTGTAATAGTAATTATTAATTCTTTTACTATTAATTTGTTTCTATTTTTCACAAAATGCAGGAAGCATTGGAGCTTTTAGAGAAGTATTACCAGTTCCTTGATCACAAGCAAGGTGACACTAGGGCATTAGCTTTCAGACAAGCATCTTGTACCATTAAGGCATTACCAAAGTATGTTCAGAACCATCCTGTTTAGCTAAAAGACCCTTTACTATAGCACAGGGACTTTGGCCTGATTTTGTAGCAACTTTAATAATGTATTTTAAAATCAATTTTAATTGGAATCCTATTACTCAACATCAGAGCATGTACATATGCATTAGGAAATTGTTTCAATTGTTTTAACATTTTTAGAAGAGTCACCAGGGTGGAGGAGGTTCGTAATTTGCATAGAATTGGGAAACACTCCATTAGTGTGATTGAAGTGAGGGAGGGAGGGAGAGGGAGATTAGTAGCAGCTGTTGATTTAGGATATTGTATTGCATGGGACCTCAGAAGAAGTTGAAGACATTCGTCAGAGTGACTGGTTCAAGTGCATGGAGGTAAGAGTGGGTGTGTCACTTAATTAACTTATTAAGGTTATAGTTATTTACTTCAGTGTATGGGTGTGGCCCTGCAACTGCTGATAAATGGTATAAGAAAGGTTTCAGGACTATAGACGAAATAAAAACCTCTGAGACATTAGAGTTAAGAGAGTTACAAAAATTAGGTACTTAGTAATTTTGCTGGCCACTCAAAAATTTGTGGCTAGTCAGCTCAAAAGTAACATTATTTCTTAGGATTATTATATTACGAGGATCTGTCCAAATCAATACCAAGAGATGAAGTTGAGGTTATAATAGAAATAATAAAGAAAGAGGTAAGGACGCCATATTGTTTCTCTATAATAATATTGTATGTATACATGAGGTTAGTGAATGCTGTCCTGAGACTCAAGTTGAAGCAGTTGGCGGATACAGGCGGTATTTCTTATTGTTTCCGCCTTTTATTCATCCTCTCTCTGTTTCTAGTGGTAAATCACACAGTCATGATGTTGATCTGCTACTTACACACAAGGACTCATCAATCACAGCTACTCTACTTGAATCTGTTGTCAGCCATCTTAAAGCAAAGGTATGGTTGTTTATGTATGGAGGAATCACTGTTTGTTCTGTTAGGACATGATAATACATGCAAGTGTGTACGTGGGTCAGAATACCCTCTCTCGTGTGAGCGAAACACACGATAGCTCAGCTCAACCAACTTACACTAGTGAAGGACAGCAAATCAAGTACATCTATAATGAATTGCTTGTTTCAATACTGCTATATCTCCTCTCTCTGTAGGAGAGTTCAGTTTGATCATTTAGATAAAGCATTTTGTATCATGAAACTAACAAGGTCTCATGACAAGACTCCATTAATAAGACGAGTTGATCTCATTGTCACTCCACCTGATCAGTATCCCTTTTCTCTTGTCAGCTGGACTGGCTCAAAAGTGTGTACCTTTATTTGCAACATAAAACCATTTGATGATTTTAAAATAATAATTGCAGCAATTTAATCGATCTTTAAGAAGATATTCTGTGAAGGAGTGCTCAAAAACAGTCACTGCTCATGGTATTTTTGATATAATTGAGGTAACATTATGTATACTAGTAATAGTACTGCACAGAGTGGGATTGGAAAATATTCGTGTGAATGATGAGATGGGTTCTGGACAATTTCATCTATTTTTGTTTCTCTTTTTTACATTTAATAGAGAAAATTTTCAACGGCAAAGACAGAAAGAGACATATTTGACATTTTAAAATTAAATTATTTAGAGCCTTGGGAGAGAAACTGCTGACCTTTCAAGAATGTCAGCAGCTATAACTCCCTTTTATCTATAATATATACACTCTAATGACTCTATATAAAAAATTGTTTGAACAATTCAGTTGCTAAGAAGCAATTTAACAGGAAGAAAGCGGTCGGCCTAAAGTCCGAAGCAGCTTCTTGCTAAAATTATTGTCTTTCAATGAAAGGTAAGTTCTTCCGCGAAGCATATCAGGAACATCATCTTTTGAGTTTGACAACAGAATAGGAATAATGGAGCGACGGTCTGCTTGCTTCTCCTTCCTCAATGCTATGTAAAGCTCTTTGTTGCAGAATTCACTTTTTAGGAAATGTCCTGACAGCAATACTAAAGTGATTCGGCTCTGGAATATAAACGTTTCCATATTCTCCAGTATAGAGCAGCCAGGAATGAAGACCTCGTGGTGCCATGCAACCTGGTAGCCATTGCTTTCCAAGGTTGATTTAATGTCCTTTTCTGCTGTCTCTCTATCTTCTTCAGAAAATGATATAAACACATCATAAGTCGCTTCTTTATAATCACCAAACTCTACAGCAAGAAGTACAATTATTTGTTATTATTAAACTCTTGTCTCACTTTTTTCTAACTCTGCTGCTGAGTTTTGTGACCTGCGACTACGCCTCCATAATACAACACTCATTGAAACTATCAGAACTAAAGCCACTGCAATGGCCACTAGTATTACTGGTACAGTTGCTGCAATAATGAGCTGATTTTGGCGTTTTCTTTCCAGTGCACTACTAGTAGGAGAACTACTAGCATCTAAAAAGACAATACTATTATAGATGCATTATTATTGATGCCATACTTTCATGAACCATTAGTTCAATCGTTCTCTCAATGTCATGTGAAATACATCTGCAAGTGTAGTTTCCTGAATCAGAGATATCAACATTTTCAAGAGTAAGTGTATGCGTTTCTTTACAAACTCTCTGATCAACTGTTGGATTCCAGGAAATCGAACTGTCATTAAAGTACCATCTGGTACAGGTTTCAAATATTGATCTGACAGGAGATACTGTACATTCTAATGTTACGTTGTCTCCAGCGAAAACATTTTTGACACCTCCACTTGGAGAAATTTGAATTTGTAAGTCTGAACTGGTACAAACTACAATAAGATGATAGTAAAGTAATGTTGTTAAAGGTCTTACAGTCGAATCCAATTGGAGAAAAGAAGTGATATCCCATTCCTAACTCATTCATTGCATAACAAAAGAAGCAAATGTTTTCAAATTCAGTGACAAGACTTGATATGTGAAGAGTCCTATTGCTGTCAGTTGTACTAACATTAACTCCAGTAGGAGGAATGAACCGTGTATTATTAATGCAGTAGACAATATCCCATTCTAAGTATACTGGTGGTGGGTTCCCTACTAGTGGACATGAGAGATCATAAGATCGCTCAAACCTTCCTGGAGCTCGATTTATTGCCCCTAAAGTCCTAGGAGAATCTAAAAATGAAACAATAATAATAATTAGTATATTGTGGCCTCGCTTACATTTCACTATTATGAGATAGGAACAGAATTCTTGACAACGAATGTTTATTTGATTATCGTACACAGTCAAGTTGAGATTTAAGCACCCGGTGACATTAGCAGCTATTATATTTGTTTGGTTAGAATATGTAACAAGCTGGTCCACATTCCCACAGCAAGGCACTATTATTACTGTACCAACTGTAGCTTCACATCTACTACCAGATGAACACCATTCAGTTGAAGTCCTACAATCTATCATGATACAAAATAAGTATAAATGAACTATCTTTACTCCTGTTACCTTGACCAAGGCTCAAAGTGATGGCTGTAAGGAAGAGTATAAGAAGAAAGCCTCCCATATTGCTCCTCAAGAGTGTATAAGGTCACTGATATTAGTTAAACCATATAAGGAGGACAGTAGTAGCTGATGCTATAGGTACTAATAGTAAGAAGATTAGATCACTACAGTCTACTCTATAAAGACAGATGTCCTGTCACAACATCATAATATACATAAAACGGAAATTTAAGCAATACAATCATCATATATAATGTGTGATCTATATGTGAGTTAATTTTATCTTCTTCCCATGTCTTGTCTGTAGAGTATTACGATGTACATCATTGCTGCAATGAAGGATCCTATATCATCAATGAAACCAATTGGTCCTAATATCAGTTCAGGGAGGAGATCAATTGGAGATATGAGATAGGCTAGGGTCAGTAGCAGGATGAAAACAATCCAGAGGCGACTGCAAAACGAGAGGCCACTGGTTGAAAGGATTTCATTGAAAATGTGCCGCAAGATATTAGGGCCATCTCTTACTTGACTTGTGAGCTGAAATAAAAATGAATAAATAAATAATATTTCTTGACTTACAGGGATGGATCTGTTGAGCATCATTCTGTTGTAGTTGTTGATCTTCTCTTGAGTCTCTCTATCTCTAACATTAGTTCTAACTGGCATTAGGAGGTTTATCTGAATTTTTAAAATCATAACTTAAAACTAAATCGTAGTCTAACCAACTTCTCTCCTGCAGCAGGGACACTGACAGGCATCAGGATGCCAAGTAGTCTCCCAATAAGTTAATATACACTTTGCACAGTAGCCATGAGCACAGTTAGTCTCTACAGGCTCCGTTGGTTGAGCTAAACAAATGGGACACTCATTCTGTTCTGCAGCCATTTTAAGATGAATTGCCACGCCCTTCAGTGAATAATTAATCAGCTACGCCCACATGATGTAGCCACTCCTTTTAGTTTTCACGTGCGCCCATGATGGCTATAAACTTGGGCTTTTCTCGTTTCTTTCCCTGTAACTTAAGCCTTTTTGTGAGACATGAATCCAGAAGCTGTTTTAAAAATTCCCCCAGGAAACGTATTGGTGTAAAGAAGGTACCTCCATTGTTATTCCAGCCCACAAATCACTTTATTCTCTCCATAGACTCCTTACAGCCCACACAAAGTCTCCCTCATCAACGAGATACGCTCCATATTCAATGCAAACCGATGTCTTGCTGTCTATCATTATTCCTCTATGTCAACTAGAGAGTGGGACCAGGTACGATATCAGCTGGACAGCAAGGACGTCAAAGTGAAGATCTTCCCTGTTCGAATAGCCAGGAAAGCCCTGGAAGATACCAGTTATACTAATATCAGGAGTCTCTTTCATGGAGCTACTGCCATTGCTTATTCAAACACTGACGAAGCGTTACCCGAGTTGCTAAAAGTGACAAGGAAAGAGCCAAAGCTCTTATTACTCGGAGGAGTGTTGGATAATGAACTCCTCACTCCATTTAGTTTGAAAGATGTGGCTGGTCTGCCAGATGTAACTGTTCTTCATCAACAATTGTTAGGGATACTACAATCAAGTGCTGTATCTTTATCATGTGTCATTGGTGCTCCAGCTGGTAAACTATCATTCTTACTTAATAGTCACGTGACCGAACAATAGTTAGTATATTTTGTATCTTATGACTTGTCACCTTTTCTCATTGTTATAATAAAGAATGGTATATAATAGCTGTAGTATCTATTATCAGCTATTACTTATTATCAGCTATTATTATGCAAACCACCCACATTGCACTGGCACTTGGTAAGAAGATGCTGTGGACAAGAGGAGGTTCTCTATTGCTGTTGATGGTGTTCCCTCTCTGTATGGGAAGATACACTGTTACTGAAGGGAGCATTGGTGATCTAGGGACTATGATAATATCAAATGATAAAGGTATGCATGGAAATGAAGCAATTGCTACCTTTTGATAGCAACAAGGGCTAATGGCATATCTAGTGTAGCCTCTATATAATCGATAGGAAAGTGTCTCTGTTATACAGAGGTGTCCTTTATGTGGATACAGTAAGGAATATAATTGGTACACTAGGTGCTGTCCATTAAATGGAGATGTACGCTATAGAGAGTATCCATTAAGAGAGGCTATACTGTATATTTGATTTAGATTCTTTATAGGAGAAAAGGTTGAAGTTGTGACTGATTTTGGAGGACGAGTTGAGTCCCTGTACCTTCTTTCCCGTAACAACGGCACACTCCGTAACGTACTGCTGGGACACAATGGGGACAGCAACGCAATAAAAGATAACAAATATTGGAAAGGAATGATCCTAATACCTTATGCTAACAGGATCGCTTATGTAAGTTGCAGAAGAAAAATAAAAAATTGATTTATATATATTATTATTAAAACAGGGCAAGTACACATTCTTCAATGATAGCCATACTCTCCCTCTCAACGATCCTCCTCGTCAAAACTCCCTTCATGGTTTCATGCCTGGGAAGGTACTCGAAGTGCGAGAAACCGGAGAAGACGATTCTCGTGGCACTTTCACAGCTGTGACTCACATTGGGAATGATGAGCCTGGCTATCCTTTCTCCCTTGATGTACGCATCACGTACACTCTATCAAGATATGGTCTAGATATTGACGTATCTGCTACTAATGTTAACGGAGATGGAACACCTCTCCCATTCTACATGGGCTGGCATCCTTACTTCAATTGTACCGCCTACACCTCTTACGTGATGTTCGACCCATTCACTGACTGGGCTCATGTTGAACTCAATGCTAATATGGATCCAACCGGGATAACCAAAAAGAGCACCATTTTCAATGGGTCTACTCCCATTGGAGGTTCCCTAGAGGAACCCACCTTCTACGACGATGAGTTTAAATCACTCGACGACCCTCAGGAGAGCTATGTGAGGCTCACAGACACGGCTTCCGGTCAAACGGTGAGACTGTGGTTTGATGACTCATTCCCATTTGTTCACATATACACCGGATCTTCTACTACGTTTCATGAAGACGGGATTGCCATGGAACCAATGTCAGGAATGGCAGACGCTTATAATAATCATGATGGACTGAGTACCATCAGTGATGGGGAGACCTGGCATGGCAGCTTCGGTGTGTACGTGGAGTGAATTAGGACATAACTTCCTTCTCTTTTTTTGAGCTGATTTTGCTGATTATAATTATTAATTTTATTTTTCTTAGCATTAATGATTAAGACCTGTTTGTAAAATGATAGCAATAATAATAATAATAATAATAATAATAATAATAATAATAATAATAATAACAGCTTCATTCAAACTGCAGTTGACTTGCAGTGGGTTTCATGATCACTAACAGTCTCTTCTTTGTTCAGTTCACTTGGAGATACAGAGTCCTCAGTACTGAGTACTTCAACGTTGATTTGATTCGGTGATAATTCAATACCAGTTTGTCTCAGTGTCTCAAAATCAGTGTCTGAATCAGAGTCCTTTGATCCGGTATGAGGCTCAGTTGATTCTGAAAACTTCAAGTGAAATTCAGCATCAATCTGTTCCTCTCCCTCCAGACTATCATATAATTCATTATCGTTAGAAGGGGCGGGGCTAAGCTGATGATGTAATACTTGTCCAGTGAGAGACCTGAAGACTGTCATTGGACGAGAGGGCCAATGAGTACTGTCTGAAAATTAAAAATAAGAATAACAAAATATTGGTTCTTGTCTTACCTCTAGGTGAGTAAGTTTTGTGGCTTTGAGGATCAAAAGGCAATTTTAGCGGATTCATTTCAGAGGTTAGTCTCTCCAAAGCTGCACTAATCTGAAGAAATGATTAATTAATAAATTTAATTTGTCATAACTTGTAAGTACCTGCATTGATAGAGGGAGAACTTCATAACATGCTCTAAGCTTGAGAGCATTCAGACACTGGAGGACAGTGTAATGAAAAGAAGTGCAACTAAGATACAAAATAAATAAAATTATAATATTAAAAAGATATAAGTGTATTTATACTTACAGACACAATCTTGTTCCCTGGAGTAGTACTGAAAGGAGATCATCATTTATCATGAGACGTTTCTCTTTGCTTAGTAGAGTTAGATCAGTGAATGACATGCAGCCATCTTTATTGCAGGAATCTTTAAGAGCACCAACGAACTGAGAGTGCATACCTCTGCATACATATCTATAGGAAGAGAGAATTTTAAAATGGCTGTAACTTGAGAAATTGAAGTCGGAATCAGCTCAAACTTTCTACACAGCATAAGTACATCAATATGTATCAGAAAATGTAATAAAAAGTGGGGGTCATTTCGGAGCCATTTTTTGGAAAAAACCATGGGCTATAGCCTTGGGTACTTTTCAGATTTTTGGAATTTTCTTAAAATGGCTGTAACTTGAAAAATTGAAGTCGGAATCAGTTCAAACTTTCTACACAGCATAAGGACATCAATATGTATCAAAAAATGTAATAAAAATTTAGAGTGATTTCGAAGCCATTTTTTGGAAAAAACCATGGGCTATAGCCTTGGGTATTTTTTTAAATTTAGGTAATTTTTTTAAAATGCTCATAACTTGAAAATATTGGCCAAAATAAACTTACTTGATGCATGAAATACAAAACATCTTCTGAGATACGACAGGAAACAAAGTAATACATTCAGTACACATCATAACCAGTGTACTTAAGAACAATAACCTATAGTAGTTATGCATACAATAATGAAGTTTAGAGCGACCATTTTAACCCACCTGTTTGAGACAGTAACAGTGTCACTGCTAGAGAAGAGAGGGCGGGGGGAGGGACTCTCAGTTTGATTGTGTCTAGTCAGCGCAGCAATAGTAAGACTTAATGGTGACAGACTACTGGTCACCTATTAATTAATTAATAATAATAATAATAATAAATAAATAAATTGGTTAGTTAATGTAATTGTACTTGATGGTATATTGATGGTTTTGACATATCGGGGACTTGTATTGAAGATTTTCTTTCACTTTCAGCCTTCAAAATAAACAATATACAATCTTATTTCCCACACATATTAACAGTCTTTTACTCTCTTTTGAAGCCACACCCACTGCCACACCTCTCTCTCAATCTCATACCAGTTTTATGAGTCCTAAAAGTAAAGCCTCAATAGCTGTCTTGAGCTACAGAAAATAAATATGTTAATAATACTTCTTTTTGTCTTTTAAACAATACTTTTGTGTCGTTATTAGTAGCAGACACAGAATATATGTAGATCAGATCAGGAATAAACTGAGTCACGAAAATAAAGAGTTTCTTATTTTCTTTTGAAGTCAAGCTGACATTGTACAGCCATTCGAAAAGATCAGGAGTAAACTAAGGAATAATAATAATAATAATAATAATAATAAAGAGACTCTGTTGTCCTTTGTACCTCCTGTGTCTGGTTGTTGAGGGCTTCTCTCACTGCTCCTTCGTTATTCTGGAGGTATTCCTCCACTTTGGGTCCTTTTCTTTTCTATAATAAAGAGACCATCCACTCACAAATAAAGTTTATTTTCAATCAAAGGAGACTCGCTTGATATTCTTCCATGACTTCCCAGATATTTGGAGATTGAAGTGTCTCAATAGTTTCATCATGGTCGCCATTTTCCATTGCTGTGTCCGGCCACGCCTACTTTCAGCTCCGCCTATTTTAATTAACCACCCACGCCTACATCCTTGCAGCAAACATGGGGAATGCTCTCACAAAAGCTGCTCTTCTGGACTTTGCCATTCAAGCTGTGGGCTGTGCAATAGCCCTAAAGTTCCAGACGGAGAAGTTCTTTGATGCAACAGGCTCCCTGACCTTTATAGTCCTCATCCTCCAGTCACTAATGAATGGAGGGACTTTCTTCCCACGACAAGTGATCCAATCTAGTCTAGTTAGCGTCTGGGCCGTGAGATTAGGACTGTTTCTGTTTGTGCGTGTTCTTCGCGATGCCAAGGATGGGAGATTTGACAAAGTGAGGACCAACCCGCGACTTTTCATCATTTTCTGGTTTGTGCAAGGTGAGTCGCCATTTTGGTGTATGACATCACGTGATGCACCATTAATTACGTGTGGGTGTTCATGCATACACCATTGTGCGTGGGCGTTGTTTCGCATTATAGTCATGTAATGTATTTCTTTTCCTTATATAGCCTTATGGGTATTTGCTACACTGGCCCCAACCCTGATACTGAATTACAAACAGACTGACAAGAAGCTAACAGCAAGGGACTACGTTGGTTGGACGATATGGGGCGTTGGTATGCTCATGGAATCCATTGCCGACTATCAGAAGTTCACGTTCCGCAGTGACCCGTCAAACAAGGACAAGTGGATAGCCTCTGGACTATGGTCGATAGTGCGTCATCCCAACTACCTTGGTGAGATACTCTCCTGGTCCGGTCTCTGTCTCTCTGCCTCTTCAACTTTCACTGGTTGGGAGAATGTAGCCGTTATCTCTCCAGTCTTGGTTGCTCTGTTGCTCACTCGTGTGTCTGGCATACCGATCCTTGAACGGAGGGCCTTGAAACGCTGGAAGGATAATCCTGACTATATTGGGTATTTGAGGAACAGTTACCGGCTGGTCCCCTACATATACTGAGGGAGACCCCGTCACCTTTTAAGCAATGACAAGCTTGTGTGCTTTATTTCATGTACTGTTTGTTTTTAATTAAATAAATCTTTCAGTTTCAATATATCAGTCAAGAAGCAAATGAAGAAAGTTGCTGTCCTCCTTCTCTCCTTTACTGTCTCTCTCACTCTCTCTTCAAATGAAGATACATATTCAAGTTGTTTAGAGAGAAATTCAAATGATGTCCAATGTATTTGTAAGTCTTATAAAAACCCATTCAACCGTATAGTCGATTGTAGCACAAAGAACGTGATTCTACAGCCATTGAAATGCATTACCAATGATACCAGAAATGATCACAACAACTTTTTAGTGGCTGGACTGTGCCCGTTTGCTGGTAGGAACACAAAAATTTCATTTCCCAATGAAAGCATGATAGAGGAATTAAATGAATTGGTATGCAACCAGTCCAACAGAGAAGGCAGACTATGTGGGAGCTGTGCCCAAGGCTATTGGCTAGCTATTAACACTTTTGGTCTTGACTGCATTGAATCTTCAAAGTGTCACTCCTACCACTGGGCAGTGTATTTCATAGTTCATTTCACTGCACTGACTCTCTTCTTCCTTATTGTCATCACTTTCAATATAAAGGCTACTTCAGACAACACTGCTTCTTTCATCTTCTTTGCCCAAGTCGTTACTCTTCCGTTCAACTTGCTTACCATTCAGAGAGATTGGGCCGTACAAAAAGTCTTTGAACACAAAACTGGCCCTCCTGAACACTTTGCATGGGCAGTTGATGTCCTGTACGGTATTTGGAGTCTCAATATCCCATCAGGAGCATTCTACAAGCTGTGTCCTCAAGAAAACCTCACTTCAATGGCTGCCCTCTCAGTCCAGTATGTTACTGCAACATTCCCTCTAGTCCTGATACTCATTGCTTTTATACTGATACTCCTTTATCAGAGGGACTTCAGGCCTGTGTCGATTCTATGGATCCCGTTTCGTCCCTGCTGCATCCGCTTGAGACGAAGGATTGACTCTCGTACTTCGATTATTGATGCATTTGCTACATTTGTCCTACTCTCCTACACAAAATTCACATACATATCACTGATAATCCTAGCTCCTACACCATTGTACAATATCAGTAGTAAAAAAGTGGATTATGTTCCACTCTATGATGGGACAATGAAATATTGGTATTCCTGTCACAAGTGCTATGTTATATTAGCACTTGTAGTTCTGCTGGGATTTGTCATTCCTCTTCCTTGTATTCTAGTGTTTTATTCGACTCGCTGTTTCCAGAAGTGTCTACACTTTTGTAACTTAAACAGTCACATACTGACAGAATTCGTAGGTGCATTCCAAAACGAATTCAAAGATGGTAGCAATGGAACGAGAGATTATCGATACTTTGCCGGAATAAAGTTCATCCTAAGGTTCACAATATTTGCACTGTATGCATTTGTCATATATGACTATTTCTTCCTATATACTTGTATTGCTATTGCCCTAGCCATCTACAGTTGCCTCTACATTGCATTCCAACCTTACAAGAGAAACCTCTTCAATAAGATAGACCCCATCATATATATTTGTCTGATGCTTGTAGTCCTCCTCAGTATATACAACAACATTCACATTACGATAGATGATCCTAGTCTACCACTACAGATCATATACTACCTCTCCCTCTACTTCCCTGGGGTCTACATGGGAGTGTACATTAGTCTGTGGCTACTGAGAAAGATCTATACTTATTGCAAGGGAAGGATAAGATTAAACGTGGATGAAAATGGTCGTCCGAGGTCAAGAATTGGTCGATTAGGTCAATTATTTGACACAAGTTCATCACATCTCCCATCACCAGTGGAGGATAGGGGTGGCCTAATCAATGACGACAGTTCTGATGATGGAGACTACTCAGCCAGCTACATTGATTACTGCCAGACACCAGTCGGTACCAATAATACGACAGACAGGTCGACACTACCTACAAATAGCTCTGGTCTCAATACTGGACAAACAGGACAAACAGGAACAAACTCAACAGCTCGTCGAAGCACTAGGCACTCTAGCATTGTAAGATGGCCGCTATCATTGAGAGAGAACAGGATCAAGGAGGATGTGATTGCTTTAGCAGAAACTTCTTAATTTGAACATACACGTACATACACACACACATACAGTGCAAACACAACAGAAATTAACACTCTTTAGTTGCTAATAATTTGCTGATAGATATTGATATTCCCTTTACTCCATATTGAAACTAAACTTAACGTGGATAAGAATTGACTTGGGAGTTGTTTGATCAGCAACAGTTACAATGTGATTATCAGTAATACCCAGAGCTATTGGTCCAATTGTGATAACAGAGAGAGAGAGAGGGGGAGAAAAGGATACAAATTAACGGGAGATATTTATTAAATGTAGAACGGACCTGTTAATTTTTTATCTAAATTGCATTTTGTTGCTTCCTCTATTGCAGGAACAGTCTATGAAGAAAGAAGTTAACTAATATTAAACCATTATGAGTAATGATGGTGACACTACTGCTTAGTGCACTATAGATAGTAATAATGGAATGAAAAGGAGAGGGAGAGAGAAGATTACAGGCATATAAAGTGTTTTGTTCGTATCCTTGATAACAGTTGTCAGGCTGGGGGCCTTCATCATACTACAAACACATTCCGTTAATATTAAAATAACAAACAACCCATCATACAATTGATCACTCTCACACAGGAGATCATAAAGGACTCTTAGTGTAGCCTCTTCACTGACAGTGACTGTAACAGGGCGAGTGGAGCAAGCAATACAATCTTCCTATCGTGCAGCTATATTAGAATAACATTAGGAATAAACTCAACCTTTCTCTCGTATTCAAAAGTAAAAGTATATACTCCATCTACATCATTAAAGACCATGTAATTCTGCATAGGAAGACTACAGCTATTGGACAAACAACAACAATAACAGCTACAGTAATACTAATAATAACCAGTATACCTTGTAGCTAGTTTAAATACTTCAGTGGCACAGGCGGCTAAAAATAATAAAAATAAGATAGAATTAATTTTTAATGTGAGACAAACCGGCTATCACTGCGTTAGTGGACGCTACAGCTGGAATAATGTGCTTTATAACGCCTTGGGAAGATAATTAATAATTAATATTTTAAATAAATCCTCTCATTTATATTCACTTACCTTGTGTCAGCCGATAGCTGACCCCCTGTATCCTAAACTCCTCTGCTCTTTGTTGCGCCTTTTCAAATAGCCACATTATATGGTCTGGATTATCGCCATCAATAGACACGCCTTCTTAACAACGAGACAAAGAACCTTATCTTTGTTGCTATCGCTACTTACCACCGAAAGGTTTCTCTTTTGGCCAGAGGATTATTTTAGAATATTCGATACAGTGTTCAGGTAGGCGTGGCTTCGTAGCAATTGTACATAATGGATAATTGATCTAATAATGAAAAGTATATGAGCAACTTTAAAAATTCATTAAAAAATCCAATTTTGATCGGAGTTAGCTCAAACTTTCTAAACAGCATAAGAACATGTACATGTATCAGGAAAAATTATAAAAATGAATAATTCTCTCCTAGCAATTATTGGCGAAATACCCTGTACTATAGTACAGGGTGCTTTATTATTATTATTATTATTATTATTATTATTATTATTATTATTATTATTATTATTATTATTATTATCATCATCATCATCATACTTGAGGTGGGTATAAGTCCATTGTGCAGTCCATACATGCTGTCATTCCTGCTAGTATAACTCTAGCATGACCTTTGAACCCTTCAGTCCCTCCATCAACCAGTGGTATGATACTGCTGGGGTCTAACTGATCATTATTATCGTACTGTAGCAGACTGAGCTAACAGTGAGAGAGGGGACATAAGAGGTACATGTTCTCTCGTCCCTTACCACCATTCCATTGATCCATCTCCTAGCTACTACTGAGTCTAAACCACACACAATGATGTGAAATTCTAAAAATGAAATTAAAAAAGATGTTTAAATACTTTAAAAAGTAATTATACTGACTTTTGTAAAAATCCGGTGGAAAGTCTTGAATTTTAGCAAAATGTCTAATCATGCCAAGTTAAAAAAAATTAAGAAATAAAATAAATAAATATACAATTAAATAAACTGTGGAAGGATACGGTGTCACATTAACCCCTGGTACTCTCTCGTTAACGAATCGAGCAGCAACAGTAGCTTTGGGCTGTCCAACATCTTTTGGCCTAAAACAACACAATAAATAGCAACATAGTCAATGTCATGCAAATAGGAGATGGAGGAAAATGCTTGACTTATTAAAAACAAGATGGTGATAACACGTGGTGTTAATTTACCTAAAGAGGAACTGACGGTTAAGGTTTGATACATCAATGGTATCCATGTCTATGCAGTCGATGTTAGTGAAACCCATCAAAGCCTTCGTTGATTAATAAATATAAATAATGAGATGCAATTACTAACTAAATCTTTTAATAGTTCACAGCCAAGACCACCTGCTCCGATCACCAGCAGTTTACAAATGTCCCTCATGAACTGTAACGTCTAACAATCAACAATAAATATTAAATTATGATTTTGTGCTGATTTAAATAAAATCCTTGCTATATTCATTCACTACAGGCAAATTAAAAGTGGGAGGGGTATAACAGACAATAGCCACGCCTAGTCTAATTACCTCTTCACTTGGTTCAAAGTCAGGATGAGCCAAAGGGCTACCACGAGTGAGCAGATATTGAATACTCTCCCATCTACCAGCTGGTATGTTACCGTCACTAGGTACAGTCGTTGAAGTTGCTACTTCCATTGGATCCATTGCTGAGAGTGTAAGGGTGTGGCTTAATCTCTTGTAGGAGGAGCAATTCACTGCAATTTCCATTATGCAATTGGCATACAGAATTGCAGATTGAACACATCAACAAGCAACAAAGCATTATGCAGTATATGTATATTGATGTACTTATGCTATTTAGAAAGTTTGAGCTGATTCCGATTGGGAAATTTTGATTTATGACCATTTAAAAAAATGGACTAATTTTTGAAAAACACCCAAGGCTATAGCCCATGGATTTTTCCAAAAAATGGCTCTAAAATCACCCCAAATTTTTATTACATTTTCTGATACATATTGATGTCCTTATGCTGTGTAGAAAGTTTGAGCTGATTCCGACTTCAATTTTTCAAGTTACGGCCATTTTGAAAAAATGCCAAAAATCTGAAAAATACCCAAGGCTATAGCCCATGGTTTTTCCCAAAAAATGGCTCCAAAATCACCCCAATTTTTTTTTATGTTTTCTAATATATATTGATGTCCTTATTAGTGTTGTTGTAGTTCCTTGGTACTAGAACTAAATCAATTCTAGTACTGCCTTTTTTTCATAGTTCTAGTTCCAAGAACTAGAACTAGTACTATTTTTACAACCAATGTAAGAACCAGAACTAAACTAGAACTAGTTTATACAAGACTTGTAGTACTAGAACTAAACTGGAACTAAACTTTGCCAGAGTCTCAGTACTAGAACTAAACTGGAACTAAAAGTACATTCTCTTGTGGTACTAGAACTAGTTTGGAACTAGAACTGTAGAACAATATTAGTTGACAAAGAAGGTACTAATTTGTCAGTGAAATATTTTAGTACATAACAAAGACTGAATAACAAATAATGTATGAATTTGTTACTTAGACATAGATTATAATGCATAAGTATATCAATAGACTTTTGAATACTTGTTCAGTTCAAAGCTAAGCAGTTAAAGCATGACAGCAGAAGCAAAAAGAAGCAGTATTTAGAAATTATTTCCAATTAGAACTAAGCAGCAGAAGCAAAAAGAAGCAGTATTTAGAAATTATTTCCAATTAGAACTAAGCTTCTTAAACTCTATTGCCAGAACAAGTACAAGAACTATAACTTAGCTCTAGAACTAGAACAATAGCTAAAATTTATTGAAATCTAGTTTTAGAACTAGTACTAGAACTAACTTTATAAAACTATAGTTCTAGAACTAGTACTAGAACTAAACTTTATCAAACTCTAGTTCCGGAACTAGTACTAGAACTAAACTTTATCAAACTCTAGTTCCGGAACTAGTACTAGAACTAAACTTTATCAAACTCTAGTTCCGGAACTAGTACTAGAACTAAACTTTATCAAACTCTAGTTCCGGAACTAGTACTAGAACTAAACTTTATCAAACTCTAGTTCCGGAACTAGTACTAGAACTAAATTTTTTCAAACTTTAGTTCTAGAACTAGTACTAGAACTATATAAAATTATGGTACTACAACAACACTAGTCCTTATGCTGTGTAGAAAGTTTGAGCTGATTCTGAGCTCAAATTTTTGAGTTATGGCCATTTTAAAATGAGCTAATTTCTGAATGAATGAATGAATGAATGTATTCAAGGATATGGATATGGAAAGTGAAACTTGACCTCTGTGGCATCATATGTCTAAATATGGTCATCAGTTATCATAAACATTCAAAGTTTTCAGTATAGCTATAGCTATGTCAGTGTGTATATTTGAGCCTGTTCCAGCATAAACATGTAATGTTATTTGGATGGTCACACTGAAAGCAAGCAACTGATAAAAGAAAACTACCCGGCTGAGCAGTTTCAGCTGTGATCAGTACGATCATCAAGAAGATGCTGTTTGTCTACTTGCTCCTTCTTTGTCTCTTCCTTGGAAATGAAGCTCACCCTCATGAAGCATTATCTTATGATCCTCAGAGTCAATCATTTGTTTGTGAGTTGGTTAAAGGCCACAGGAGAAACACAGGAATCTTTGAAGATATAAGATGTATAAAGGATGATAGAGTTAAAATGAGTCCCATGACTTGTGTTTCATTTGATAATGAAACAAATAGGACAGTAGGATCTCTCTGTCCTTATTTTCAAGATTCATTTAATGTTAGCATTGAGAATGAGAGTGACCCATTTTGCAATCATATTAACAGATCAGGATTGCTCTGTAGTCAGTGTGATGGGGACTACAGGCTACCATTGAACTCTTACTCACTAAAGTGCAAGCCATCCTCAGAGTGCCATTCTTATCATTGGATCCTTTTCTTCCTAGTTGAGACCTCCCCAGTTACAATCATGTTTATCATATTTATGTTTTGGAATGTCAAATTGACAGCTGGGTATGCCAACTGTTATATAGCCTATTCTCAAATCATTTCCCTGCAGATAAACACACTTTCAATGACACATTCATCCAAAATGCTTCCTCATGGTACTGTAGCTGTATCAATAGTGTTATCAATGTACAGGGTGTGGAGCTTTCAAGTAGGTCATGTCGTTTCATCACATTTGTGTGTTCATAGCGATATTGGTCAACTGACAACAGTAGCTCTTCAGTATACTTCAGTATTTTATGCCCTCTTACTTGCTTTCATTGGGTATGTTGTTGTTGAATTACATTCACATCAATTTCGTCTCGTTGTATGGATATCTAAACCTTTCTCTTGGTGTCTACGTTTTCGTGACCAATCAGTTGATCCTAAGACAGTTGCATTGAATACTCTAGCTGGTTTTTATTACATGGCTTTTGCTAAACTTGCTGCAGTATCTCTTTTTTTGCTGGCAACAACTCGTGTATACAATGAAACTGGACACGTAATTGGCCACGTTTGCTTTTATGATGGCAGCATGTCATTCATGAAGAATGGTCATTTGAAGTATGCTATACTGGCCATTGCAGTACTTATATTTCTGGTGTTTGTTCCTGTTCTTTTCATGACATTTTATCAGTTTAGAATCATCCAAACATGTTTGAGTAAATGGCATTTAAACAGATCTGGACTGATCATATTTATGGATGCTCTTCAAGGTTGTTATAAAGATGGCAGTGATGGCGGAAAGGACTGCAGGTGGTTCTCTTCTTGTTTCTACATGATACGTTTTGCTGTCTTTTTTTTATACTCTTTGATTCTCAACCCAAGAAATTTATTTGAATTGCAGTTTTCAATTCAATGTATACTAATTGTCTCATTGGTTGTCATTTTATGCCTGAATCCTTACAAGTACAAGTGGTACAACAAACTTGATGTCTTCATTATTGCTTATTCCAACTTTATCACTTCAATTGTAGTGTATCAATTTGATCTGAATAGCCTATCAAGTCAATACCCAAGCTCAATGTTGGAGGTCATTTTTCTTCTGTTGGTTTCACTTCCTCTTTTCTGTGCAACCATTTACTCAATAAAAATGCTCTTTGGCTCAAGGATTGAATTTTTATATCATTTACTACGTCGCAAATATCTTGAGAATCGAAATGTTTTGAATAATGCAAGTGAAACATTTTCTACCAGGACATTTGATGAAGAAATTGAGCATCGATCACTGACAAGGATTATCAGTGATGGGTCATTGCCAGATAGAGTACTCCAACCATCTCGCTACAACAGTAGCAATTCTAGCCCAATTTATTATGGTGCTATCTCACAGAATCATTCATCTTAATTCAATGCACATGGATTATAATATGTAGTGACAATAACATTACAATAATAATAATAACTTCATTTTTATTTCATTTTCTTAGTTAAATTTTTTAATTAGCACGTAAAGTCATTAATTAATTAATTGGGGTGGGTTTGTAGGCGTGGTTTTAAATGGAGGAAAAGAGAGAGGAACTTGTGACTAGACTCAGAGCTGAGCTTAGAGTCAACAAGAAAGCTTATGCTCAGCTTCAAAAAGAGAAAGATGACCTCTCAAAGGTTGGGCTTCATGTTTGTCATTATCATACGCAGGGGAATATTTAATGTTTACACAAGAACATTAATGTTCTGATGTTGGTCTTGTTCGCATGATAACTAACTCTTCTGGTTATTTAATATTTATACAACAACAAATTTACGACGTTTGTAGTATGATAAGCTAGTAAACTGTGATAAGGAAACTACTGTATGTATAGTGCTTTAATTTAGCCGAGTTTTATTTTGGCATTTAGTGATTTACTAGTGAAACTGCCAATAATGATCATGTAAATGAAATCACCAAATTAAAAGCCGAATTTACAGCAAAAATAAACTGCTGTATGGCATGGTATGTATGGATTAATGATGCAATATTGTTTGTATCAGGAGTTACAAGAAGCTAAGACACAAATAGCAAAACTGACCGAAGACATTGACATGAAAGAGAGGTACTTTTCAGAATACAGAGAGAACAAGGAGAAGGAATATAAGGAACTGTTATTAATTAAACAGGATCTGGAGGTATTGTTGTTATTATTGTTATTTTTATTTTCACTATTATGATAATTATCATTATTTATGATACCTATCATTCCCCCGTATGTATGTTTATAGAAAGTTCCAATGCGACTTACGAGCTTATAAAAACCCAAACTCTAATTTAATGCTTCATTAGCTGTTCCTATGAAGACATGATGCAAGATTTCTAAGGATTTTTTTAGCATTTATTTTGTTAAAAATTTCTGTAAATTATGTGATTACTTTTTTCATGGTAGACAAGACTTAAAATTGCATTAGAAGTAGATAGTGACAATGCTGCAGATCAGCAGAAATTGAGCATGTCAATAGGAAGAAATCAAGGTACATACACATTATATCTCTGTACATATGAAGAATGACAGCATTTATAATGGCATAGCATGGCTGTCAAGCAGTGAGCCACAGCTGAGCTCATCTGAAGCTGTGGAGATGCTTAGAGGTTGGGAAGGAATGGAGGGAACATTGAAACTGTTCCAGGACCTCCTAAAGCTAGAAGAAGGTAATTTGTGTATTTTGAAATATATCCAGCTAAATCTTATTATTCATGCCCATATTTGGTAGCGTACTTAATACCCTTTTAATGGTCCTCCATGTTATGCTTTGTCTCTTGCTAGCTTTCAGTTCTTAGTATCAACACATCATGTATAGAATTAGACTATAATGTTGAATAGTTTGTGTAGAGTTTGAAGTTTACTCTTTCATTGTTGACATAAGTGTGTTAGAACCATATCAGTATAAATATATAGTAAGGACCACAGGGGATTGGTTAATCTCTGAGGAGAATGAAGTCAAATATCCTTTTCTTTTGTTTCTGTGCTGTCTACTTGGCTGCTGCTTCTCTTGCCAGTGATCATGAGGAGGATCATCAGAATGATGTTACTAGCTGTTCTATTGGCCCTCAGAAGAATTTTCGAGGATTTTTCAAAACTCATGTGACAATGGAGGACTCTGGAAACAGGTCCCTAGTGAGTCTTCTCACTTGCTTGTCTTGTGAAAAGAAGTACAACAATACAGTTGTTGCTTTCCTTTGCCCCTATCATTATGGTGCTATAAACATAACAAAGGAGAATATTATGAAGGGAGGCTGTGAAAGTTTCAGCAGGACAGGAGAACTGTGCAGCAAATGTAATAACAGAACAAGTTTAGCCATGAGCTCTTATACTCTTCAGTGCAGACAGAAGGAGAAATGTCATACTTATCATTGGTTGCTCTTCTTTGCAGTTGAAATTCTTCCTGTTACATTCATCTACATCGTCTTCATAATATTCAATATAAGAATAACTTCTGGCTATGCTAATTCGTATATCTTGTATTCGCAGTTTATTACGTTCCAGTTAATATCTATTTCATTTCATTATGGCTCTAGGACTGAGTATTCTGAATCTGGCAGCATTATTGTCATTGTAGTCACTTTGATGTACAAGTTTTGCAGCTTTCAGCTTGGACATCCTGCTTCATCACATCTTTGTGTACATGACAGCTTGGATCAGTTAATGTCAGTAGCTCTTCAGTATACTTCAGTATTTTATGCACTCTTACTTGCTTTCATTGGGTATGTTGTTGTTGAATTACATTCACATCAATTTCGTCTCATTGTATGGATATCTAAACCTTTCTCTTGGTGTCTACGTTTTCGTGACCGATCAGTTGATCCTAAGACAGTTGCATTGAATACTTTAGCTGGTTTTTATTACATGGCTTTTGCTAAACTTGCTGCAGTATCTCTTTTCTTGCTGGCATCAACTCATGTATACGATGAAAATGGAGATGTAATTGATCACGTTTGCTTTTACGATAGCAGCATGTCATTCATGAAGAATGGTCATTTGAAGTATGCTATACTGGCCATTGCAGTACTTGTATTTCTGGTGTTTGGTCCTGTTCTGCTTATGATTCTCTATTCATTTCAATGCTTTCGTAAATGTCTTGGAAAATGTAGACTCAACAGGCCAGGCCTGGTTATACTAATGAATGCTTTTCAAGGTTGCTATAAAGATGGAGTCACTATTGGTCATAATTGTCGGTGGTTCTCCTCCTATTATTACATTGCTCGTGTAGCTGTGTTCTCCATTGGTGTTCTTTTGATTGATCCTATGAATGTTTTGGAAGTTCACCTTTTGTATCTATTGATTATCCTTGTCACCATAGCCCTCATCCTTTGTTTCATGCCTTATAAATACATGCTGTATAACAAACTGGACATTTTCATTTTTTGCTATTGTTCGTTCATCCTATCCACCACATCATATCAGGACCTCTTTGTTACTCCTGGAGGAGCGTTAGATACTAATTCTCCACAGACCAAGTATTTAGAAATCATTATATACATATTGATAGGGTTTCCTCTCATTGGTGCTACACTCTACGTGCTGGAGAAACTCTTAGGCATGAAGATAAGGTTTTTATATCGCTGGTATAGACGTCGTACTAATAGAGAGTCTTGCAATCAAAGCTTGTCTCTGATTGAGGATACAGCTCCTGTCCCTCCTCTCCTAAGAACAATCAGTGGTATCAGTACTCCTTCATTGCCTGATCGTATGATGCAGCCAGATGTATATCGTTTCAACAGTCCAGGGACTATGTCTCCTAACTATGGCAGTGTTCCTTAGTGTGCTCAATTGCTGATAACTTTACATGTGTGTGTGTGTATTTCAATAACTTTTATTTTGTTAGTGATTTTGTCTTTATTTTTATTGTCTATTTCAAGTAGTTTTGCTTTAGGATGGTAATACCATCCTTATTTTATATGTTATTACTAAGCTGTTTTCTTAGACATGATAAACTGGCTGTTGTCTAAACGTGTATTAGTGTTTTTCCATTGGGTCCATATTGAAAGTGATTTGATTCATACATTTTCAGTGTGTGTCTAGTACCAGCTAAGTAAACGAAGGTTGAAAGGTTGACAGTAGGCAAGAGAAAGAAGCTGAGAATGAAAGGAGCTCTCCTTTTAGTCTTCTTTCATGTCTATGGCACTAGTGTTGCTTCTCTTACTGGAGCTGAAACTTCCACTAACAACTGCAGCTTTAATCCTAGTCGTTGGCAGCAAAATAACATGTTTTTTGGTAGTCATATTCGGAAGAACATCACCAAAAAGAGCTTTATGGTTGTCCCTCTTACTTGTGTTTCCTGCAATGGTGAAGAAGATCAATTAATTGCCTCTGTTTGTCCTTATCACAGGGACATCATCAATGTCACCTTATCCTCGGACACTGTTTGGGAAGATGATGCGTTATGTAAGGAGTTCAATCGGACTGGTAGGCTCTGCAGTAAGTGTGCTGATGATTACAAACCTTCTTTAAGCACTTACTCTGGGCGGTGCATTAGGGAGGAAGAGTGCAGCAACTATTACTGGTTGTTGTTTTTTGCGGTTGAGACGGTCCCTGCTACTCTGATGTACATCACTTTTGTAGCTTTTAATGCAAGGTTGACTTCAGGCTATGCAAATGGATATATTCTTTATGCTCAAGTTATTTCCTTTCGTTTGATGTCCCTTGAGTTCATCAATGGTTGGAAGAGTAACTTTAATGATACCAAGGTAAAGTTTATTGTTGGTCTGTATAGTGTATGGAGCTTTCAACTTGGGCACTTAGTTTTAAACTCAATTTGTACGGTAAAAGAAGCACCTCAGTTGATGTCAGTAGCTCTTCAGTATACTTCAGTGTTTTATGCACTCTTACTTGCTTTCATTGGGTATGTTGTCGTTGAATTACATTCGCATCAATTTTGTCTCATTGTATGGATATCTAAACCTTTCTCTTGGTGTCTACGTTTTCGTAACCGATCAGTTGATCCTAAGACAGTTGCACTGAATACTTTAGCTGTTTTTTATTACATGGCTTTTGCTAAACTTGCTGCTTTGTCAGTGCTACTGTTAATACCAACTTCAGTATACGATGAAACTGGACACGTAATTGATCATGTTTCATTTTATGATGGCAGCATGTCATTCATGAAGGGTGGTCATTTGAAGTATGCTATACTGGCCATTGCAGTACTTATATTTCTGGTGTTTGTTCCTGTTCTTTTCATGACATTTTATCAATTTAGAATCATCCAAAAGTGTTTGAGTAAATGTCATTTAAACAGATCTGGACTGATCATATTTATGGACTCTCTTCAAGGTTGTTATAAAGATGGCAGTGATGGCGGGAAGGACTGCAGGTGGTTCTCTTCTTGCTATTACTTCCTTCGCCTTATCCTCTTTATACTTGCCCTCTACTTTGTTGATGACAATCAGTTTATTGAATTGCACGTGTGCCTCCTCTTGGCTATTGTGGTCACCATAATTGTCATCCTGTATCTGATGCCATACAAGTGCAGTCATTATAATAAACTTGATATATGCATCTTCAGTTATGGTTCATTCATTTTGGCCATCACTTCTTATCAGGTCTCCATTTATGCTCCTCAACCTGGGGATCAGAATGTTGGTTCAAAGACGAGGTTTTTAGAAATTATCATTTGCATATTGATATCTTTTCCTCTCATTGGTGCTACACTCTACGTGCTGGAGAAACTCTTGGGAATGAAGATAAGGTTTTTATATCGCTGGTGTAAGAGCCATACTAGCAGAGACTGTTATACACAAAGCTTGTCTCTAATTGAGGATACTACTAGTCGTAGTCCCCTACTGAGAACAGTCAGTGGAACTAGCACTGGTTCATTACCTGATCGAATGGTACAGCCAGAAGTGTATACTGTGAACAGTCCAGGGACTGTCTCTCCTAACTATGGCAGTGTTCCATAATGAAAGTTCACTTGCCTTCAACTGCTGCTTATTTAACTTATAGTGTGTCTCTAATGTGTTAGCATAATATTTTGTTGTAACAACTGTTTAGTTTTTTATGTGTGAACCATTTTTTGCTTTAATAAGAAATCTTTTTTAAAACGACACATTGTGTTTCCTTTTAGAAAAGTTTAAATGGAAGCCCGGCACTATGTGGACCTGCAAATGGAAGCCACATTTAAAGATATACATAACTACATCTGGAACTGCCTTCCCTCAAATAAATGAGGTAATGATCTGAAAGCTTTGCCTTCTCTATCAAGCAATGGTGCACTATTGCTGCATGACACATGCAGCAATTATGTAATCTCTTTCTATTATCACTGGGTGTGTGTGTGTTTCTGAGTAGATTATTATGCCAGAGTTAGAAGCAATGTGTCAAGCAAGTGGCTGCTCAATATCACCAATCTTCATCAGTATTACTGAATGTGAAGAAGCTAGTCTGGTAGATTATAAGTATTATAAGTAATAAATTAGCCTCTCTCTCGCATTAGGAAATGGATGCAATCATAGAGCTCTGCATTCAAGAGGTGTCAAAGTCTGACCTATTCATTTGTGTCCTTCCTGCAGAGATTAGCAAGTTAGTCTTTTCTTGATGTCTGATCATAATTTTTATATTTTTGTGACTTCAACCAGTCTGACTAAGCATGAAGTAGAGTATGGGTTTCTTAACAATCCAGCAGCAAAGCCTTCAATATTTGTGTTCTTGGATACAAAGTGAGCTCAAAATTATCATGATTAATATTAATAATCTTGATTAATATTAATAATCATTATTTCTATTTGTCAGGTCAAGCAACAACTTAAAATTGAGGCAAAGAGTCAAAAAATTGGCTTCAATGACGAAAGTAATGGAACACAAACTTGTTATATAAACTTGTATGTATTTTAGATAATGGAGTCTAGCAGTTTTGATGCTGAAGTGATTCAATTTGTAACAAATGAAATGAGACAAGCATTAAAATCAGTAAGTTAATAGTAAATATTGATGTCCTTATGCTGTGTAGAAAGTTTGAGCTGATTCTGACTTCAATTTTTTAAGTTACGGCCATTTTAAGAAAATGCAAAAATCTGAAAAGTACCCAAGGCTATAGCCCATGGTTTTTTCCAAAAAATGACTCCGAAATCACCCCAATTTTTTATTACATTTTCTGATACATATTGATGTCCTTATGCTGTGTAGAAAGTTTGAGCTGATTCCGACTTTAATTTTTCAAGTTACGGCCATTTTAAGAAAATGCCAAAAATCTGAAAAATACCCAAGGCTATAGCACATGGTTTTTTTCCAAAAAATGACTCCGAAATCACCCCAATTTTTTATTACATTTTCTGATACATATTGATGTCCTTATGTTGTGTAGAAAGTTTGAACTGATTCCGATGGAAATTTTTTAGAGTTATGGTCATTTTAAGAAACACAAATATTATCTATTTTTCTAGAGATTTGACGTGATTGATTCCAGTGATTTGGATCAGGATTCTTTATTTGATCATTTGACTCTTCTCTCTGACATGAGAGTTGAGTATGAACAGCAGGACATACTGAAGGCCCTCTACTCTCAGTCTCCTGATAAACCAGCTGGTATTGAAGTAGTAAGAAAACCTTTAGCAGCTGTATATACTCATGTATATTACTTGTTCTTCATTTAAGACATTTCGAAACTTGACTGCATACACTAATGATGAACAAACTAATGTAGCCCCATACTTAATTACTGCACCTTCTGGTATTGGGAAGTCAACACTGCTAGCTAAATGGTACGAGTCTTATTGTTAGTTCTTCTTCTCTACTATTTTGTGTGTGTGTGTGTGTTTGTACATCAGGTATCAGCATCTAAAGGAGGAACAAGCTTATGGCGATAAAGTTGAAATTCTTTATCATTTTGTGACCAGATCTTGTTCATCTTCTTCTGAGACTTGTCTTATGTATCGCAGGTTTATTTTTAAAGTAAGACATTATTATTATTATTATTATTATTATTGTTATTGTTGTTGTTGTTATTGTTGTTGTTGTTGTTGTTTATCATAGCTGATTGCTCTCTGTGGTGAAGTTGGTATTGCTACAGTACCTAGTGATCCTAATAAACTGGAGGAGGTATTCAAGCAATTACTGGACCTGGTCTCAGCTCGTATGAACATGCTGGGACTTGATATGGTGTATATACTGATTGACAATGTGGACCAACTAGTGGTAATAGGCACTGTACATTTATTATTATTATTATTATTATTGTCTGCAATAGGAACAGGCTAATATCAGTTGGATATTAAGACCACTACCTCAGAATATAAGAGTGCTGCTGACAGCTAACGAATCCACTGACTGTCCTGACTCATGGAGGTACAATGTGCAGTAGCTATTGTTAATGTGTATTTATTAATATTTATTTATTAATGTATATTTATTAATGTGATTTATTAATATGTATTTATTAATATTTATTATTAATGTGTATTTATTATTAATGTGTCTAGAGCTTTGCCTGTTTGTGTCCTTCCCTCGTTAACTGCTACTGACCTTCAGGAGGTGATGAAAGATGTGAGTTATGGAACTGGAGCAAATGAATATCAGCTAACTGAAGATCAGGTGAGAGAAGAGAGAGGCAGTTATTATTATTATTATTATTATTATTATTATTATTATTATTATCATTATTTTTTCTTTAGGTTATTTCTTTGAGTATATACACACCAAGCGACCCATCACATCTTTGGTGCATTCTAGCATCTAAATTTGTACTGAGGTAATAATTACAATAATTATTAATTAATTAATAATTAATATTATTATTAATAGTGTTGTTCCATCACTCTCTGAGTCTGAAGTTGATGAATTGATTGAGTCTCTTGATCAAGCAGAGGTATTATTATTATTATTATTATTTAAATTTTTGAATTCAAATTTTGAAATTCAATCTTTATTTTATAATGAAGGAAGTCTCTGATCTTGTTAAACTGATGATTGATGACTTCACTAATAGACAGTCAGAAGCATTAGGCTACTATATAGATGAGGTAATAATATACTGTGTTTTACTAATAGTATACTGATGATATCCTAATAATATACTGGTTTTTAGATATTACAGCTCATTTACTGGAGCAGGAACGGACTGTCACTGTTTGAATTAACAAATGTACGAGAAATGATTTATTCATTTTTTAATTTATTTATTTGTAGTGTATCAGTGATATATCTGTTACAATTTTGCTGTACATTTTGTCAGAACTAGAGAAAAGATCAATAATATCTCAACTGGGAGGACTCTATTGCTTCAGTAATGAGCCAGTGAGTTTATCATATCACAGTTCACTTTTAATCCAAGTTTAGAAAGACTAAAGTTGTCATTATATTTTATATTTTTAAAGCTATTGTATTTTCAGTTATTCTCAGTTATTTTCCATTAACAGATACAGCAGTTTGTAGCCGTCAAGTATGAGACTGACGTGAATCATTTGTTGCAGTGGACAGACATTCTTACTGGCTTCTTCGCTAACTTAACAAGGTTCCATAATTATTTAATATCTTATTTTAATTATATTTTTTATACAGAGGACCTCTTTCTCGCTCTTCTTCTGAGCTCCTATGGCTGCTAAAAAGAGCTCCTGGTAAGAAGATTGATCTAACTAAAGCTCTACTGAACATTGATCTACTCATACAAATTTACTGCGGGTAAGAATTAAAAATAAACTGGTTCAAACTTCAAAAATTGATCACCTCAAAGTTGATGCATCAGTGAAATATTTTTCTATTAATTGTCTAGTGGTGAGAGTTCATTGCTCTTGCGGTCATGGAAGTCACTTGGAGTGAGGACTACTGATATCTGTAGCCAGTATTATAATGAACTTCAGTCTTGGGAAATGAAAGGTTTTAAAATAATAATAATGACTTTGAATTTAAATTCATTTTTCAAAGCACTTGGTGACAGATCAGCTCTCCTTTATACTGCAATGCTGTTCTGTACTGCAGGGAAGATCCTCTGTAACCTTGGACTGGGACTTCATGTGAGGGAAAGGGAGGAGGGAGGGAGGGAGGGTGAGTCCTATTCATACTCTGTTACATTGTACAGGCTCAGCCATTACTGCAGCACTCACTGGAACTGTATGAGTCCAATGCTGATCCTGACTCAGTACAAGTTGGTAATGTCATGTTTGAACTGGCCAGTCTCTACACTGAGACTGAGAGATTCAGGTATCCTTTGCAGACTGTATGAATATATATGTACATGTACATTATGTATACTTATAGTTCTGCTGAGAGTTTTTATAAACAAGCTTTGGAAGTATTTGAGAATTCTTGTGGTGAAAACTCAAGAGAAGTGCTAAAGGTGAACTTGTTGAGCTCTTTCTTAATTGTGACATATTTTTCTTTTTTTCATTAATTTTAAAGGTATTAAGTTCACTGTTAGTGTTATATGAGGAGATGAAAAGGTGATTTAACACTTTACCTCATAAATAATTAATTTCATATCCTAATAGACCAGATCTGTTAGACACTGTGACACCTCATCTATACAGCGTCAAGGAAAAGAATAACCTTCTGAAGTCTAATGTACATAATGGTTCATATCATAATGATTCATAATGATTCAAATTATAATGATTCATATCACAATGATTCATAATGTAATTGTTTTTGTTTTTATTGAAATGATTTCAGGCTCTCAGTTTGTTGATGAAAAGAGCTGATGAACTTGAGTCCATTTTGACTGATTTTGATGAGTCGGACGTCCCAACACAATCAGATATACTGGCAATGAATGAGTGGTGTCTGCTCCATGCCACCTTTGGAGACAAAAAGCAAGTGGAGAGAGAGGGGGGTGTGTTAATTATCAATTATTATCACAGGGTTGCAGAGAAGTATCTACTTGATAACTTGCAGCAATCTGAAGATGTTCTTGGGGACGGTCACCCTGTCACCATGATGCTGCTAAAGAATATGGTCACCTTTTATCAACAATTGAAAAAGTAATAATAATTATTGAATAACTTTAATGTTTTTTAAATTGAATAGTTTTAATGATGCTATTCCTCTACAATGGTGAGTGATGATTCATTTTATTTATTTGTTTATTTATTTGTTTGTTATTTGATAAATTGCTTGTTTCCAGTCATATAATAGAGCTCAGAGAGAGACAGTGTGGCGTTGATAGCACCAGTGTTGCAGCTGCTCACAATAACCTTGCTGTGTTCTACTGCTGCACAGTAAATATTATTATTATTATAAAGTTATTATTTTCTTAGAATGATTATCTCACTGCAATACATCATTACAATGTTGCTTTGGAGATATACACTAAACTTTATGGGAGTGGCCACTCACTGGTACAAGATACAGCTGCTAATAGAGATTTGGCGGCAATGCAACTTGAACCACAATCATTATAACTCAATTAATTAATTCATTTTAAATCAATCAGCACTTATACACACTAAAAAATAATGACTCCTGTAATTAATGATGAAAATTCCTTTAAAAATTAATAATAACATTGATATTGATTATCAATACACCTGCTGTTCATGTACAGTCAGATCTCACGTATGCCTTTTTAAAAACATTTTTCAATTTTACATAATATAAACTAAAAGAGGAAATCTGCTAATGCAATATTAATAATAATACTTATAAAATGAAATAATTATAAAATTAAATAACAATAACAATGAATTTCACTGAACTACAACTGAAGAAAAACAAAAAGAAACAAATAAATCTACCGATACTAATAATATATTAATAATAATCAAGGTATGAGGGTGTGTGGGTGGGTGTGTCTTCTATTTCTGTCTATCGCTTCCAAGTCCTAACCAATTTCTGACACTATCCAAAATAGAATTATCATCTTTTGTCTCATTCTCTTGTCTTTTGTCAGAATCGCCAGAGTCTTTCCTACTGACGTCACGTTTATTCATTGATTCTGAGCAGGAGCAGCTGTGGGCTCTCCAATTCATACCACTGTACACGTACAGTCTATCGTCTTCAAGACTGAATGCCATTTGACCCACCGACACATTCTGTGCAGCTTCTAAGTCGCTAAGAGTATCAAATACCTAATAAAGAAAGATTGAGGGCTGCTCTTTAATTAGAAATATCATACCATTGCTATTCCACCTGGAGTTCCTGACTCTCCTTTCATTCCGGGTTCACCTTTCATACCTGGGGCACCATTTTTACCTTTACGGCCTGTTAATAATAATATCAATAAAATACAGTATCATTAGTATCAGGTTATTAATTACCAGCTGGTCCTTCAGGCCCTGGAGGACCAACTGGACCTCCTGACTCTCCTTTCTCTCCTTTGGTTCCATTCAGACCAGGTTCACCATCCATACCTTTCATACCTGTCTCTCCTAATCAATAAACGAGACATGAAGGAAGAGATCTAAGAGTTATGCATAGACTCACCTTCATTTCCCTTGTCTCCTTTCATTCCCATTAGTCCAATCTCTCCAGGCAGTCCCTTACGACCAGGTGGCCCAATGGCACCAGGTACTCCCTTTCTTCCTGGAGGGCCAGGAGGACCTTGAGGACCTTCGATAACTAGAAATATAGGATAAGGACATCAATATGCATCAGAAGATGTAATAAAAATTTGGGGTGATTTCGGAGCCATTTTTTAGAAAAAACCATGGGCTATAGCCTTGGGTATTTTTCAAAAATTGGCTTGTTTTTTTAAAAGGCTGTAACTCAAAAAATTGAAGTCGGAATCAACTCAAACTTTCTACACAGCATAAGGACATCAATATGTATCAAAAAATGTAATAAAAATTTGGGGTGATTTCAGAGCCATTTTTTAGAAAAAACCATGGGCTATAGCCTTGGGTATTTTTAACAATTGGCCCCTTCATAATGCAATCTTGTGAACCAGCCAAGAAAAGGCATTGAATCTACATGCGTGTATTACAAAGATATAATTTCTATTTATAGTAACAATATACTCATTCTATAAATAGATACAGACGACTAATGCAAGGCAGAGTCCTAACATCCTAAACTCATAGTAACTGTATGGTCTTTAATTGACGACTTATTGGTCCTAATTGAAATATTATGACTTAATCCCGTGACTTGGCAATCACTTATATCCTGATTCATCCAGCTTTAAGTAAAAATAATTTAATGTACATGTACAGCTCTTGCAGTCATGCAGGCATAGCCAGAGATGTTAAGTGCGTAATTATTAACACTTTTATCACAAAACAATTAGCTATAGACAGATAAGGTTAAGCAATAACTTGTGTACAATATGAAGTAACATGTAACTGTACACTAATAGATCAGTTACAGGTCAGTTACAGTAGATACCATTCACCAGTGAACACAGATACAGGTACATGTACAGTGTTTGAGTATCTTTACTTACCAACATCTCTTCCAGGCTCTCCTTTACAACCTTTAATACCTTTCATACCAGGATCACCCTATACACATACACCAATACACCATCAGTACACGTACAGTAGGGAATTAAAGTATCTCTTACAATTGCTCCTGGTTTCCCAGTGAGTCCTCTCTCTCCCGAGGTTCCATTCATTCCTTTAGGACCAACAGGACCAACTGTACCGTTCAAACCAGGTGGACCGTCTTGACCAGGAGGACCAGGTGGACCCTTCCTACCGTCAGTCCCATTGTTACCGGGAGGACCAGGGTCTCCTTTAGGACCCTCAGGACCTTCAACTCCATCTGTACGGCAACAGTGTGGAGATTACATCAGTAATAGTGTTAATGAATATAAATGTGTTGGTTAGGAAACTTGTAACAATCATTGGTTAAACATTTATTTAAAGCAAAGGTCCAGTTTACATAAAACAGACAGCCCCCACCCGCCCATGTGATGACATTAGACGCTAAATAAATAATTAGATTATTCAGCAGCGATTGTGTGATTATTGAGAATATTAAATCATTCCTTTATATTAATAAAAGCTGTTTACACAAAACAGACTGCCCATGATATAACTGATAATCTAATTAGCAGATTACATGTACAGTACATCTAACTGGCAAAAACAAGTAATACATGTACACCTACATATTACACTATATATATCTCATGTACACTCATATAATTACTGTACAAATAATCTGTACTAATAATTGTGTGGTTTGTAGTACTACCATACCTTTCCCAGGTAATCCAGTTCTTCCTTCCTGTCCGGGTAAACCAGCTTTACCAGGCGGACCCCTAGCACCTGGTGTCCCTGCCTTACCAGGAGGGCCACTCCTCCCGTTAGTTCCGTTAGCTCCAGGTGGACCCATAGGACCTGGTTCACCAGCAGTGCCGTTCATACCAGGTGGACCAGGGGATCCTTTACGACCAGTAGTCCCGTTAACACCTGGCATACCTTTCATACCTGGCTCACCCTGCATTAATATTTATTATTATTATTATTATTATTATTATTATTATTATTATTATCAGTCGTCTTACGTTCTTTCCAGGTGGGCCTGATCTACCAGGTACTCCGGGTAGACCTGATTTTCCAGGTGGTCCTCTTGCCCCAGGTATTCCTGACTTACCAGGAGGTCCCCTCGCTCCAGGGATACCATCAGATCCCATTTTACCAGGTGGGCCTAACATCAGTTATGTATAGATACACACAGGTACAGCTGGTACTTACCTCTACTACCAGGTATTCCAGGTTCTCCGTCAATACCAGTCTTACCAGGTGGTCCTCTAGCTCCTGGTACTCCGTTAGTTCCCATTTTACCAGGAGGTCCCCTGGCCCCTGGGGTACCAGGATCACCCTGTCACAGATACATGCATACATGTACTCTGCAAAGCCTCACCTTAGGTCCATCATCTCCAGGTTCTCCTTGAGTTCCATTTGGTCCTAGGGGTCCTTCCGGTCCTCTCGGTCCCATTTTTCCAGGGGGCCCCCTTGATCCTGGGGTTCCCGGATCTCCATCTTGACCTGCTGGTCCCATGGGACCCTGTAAAGGTTTTAAAATTGACCTCAAGTTAGCTCAATCACTTACCATAGTGCCGTTGTTGCCAGGGGGACCTGGTTCACCCTAAGCATTAAAACTAAAAATAAAAACAATTTCATTTAAACTGCACCATTTCTCCTCTAGGGCCCATCGGACCTCTCGTTCCATTTGATCCCTTCTCACCTCTTGTACCATTAATACCCTAATTAATAATAATAATAATAATAATAATAATAATAATAATAATAATAATAATAAATTAATTACCGGTGGTCCCATTGGTCCCATCTCTCCCTTTGACCCGTTCATTCCTTTCATTCCTTGCAGTCCCTGTGTGTTTGTATAATATAATTAATAGACTCCACCCACTTCCTCTTACCATCTTTCCTGGTACTCCTCGTGATCCTGGTGGCCCCTCCTCACCGCGTTGACCAGTGGAGCCATTAAAACCCTAAAATAAACAACAACAAAGTGATAAACAACAACAAAATGATAAACATACGTCTCTTCCAGGTGGTCCAGGTGGACCATCAGATCCATTCATACCAGGTAACCCAAAAGTGCCATTCAAACCCTGCAGCAATTAATAACGTTAATATCATCATCATCATCAACAACATTATTATTATTATTATTAATTACTAACAGGTGGTCCTGTCATTCCTTTCTCTCCTCTTGTTCCATTCATACCAGCTGGTCCAGCCATACCCTAAAACAATGTCATCATCATCATCATCATCATCATTTATTTACTTTTTCTCCTTTCATTCCAGCTGGTCCAGGTTTACCAGCCCTCCCATCAGTTCCGTTAGTACCAGGTGCTCCAGGATCACCTGGAGTACCTTTACGACCAGGATCTCCTTTCATTCCGGGCTCACCCTGTCATTGATTAATAATTATTAATTATTATTATTAGTTATGTGACCTCTACTCACCGGTTTACCAGTACCTCCTCTTGGGCCAGGAGGACCTGGGGGGCCCTGGACACCGCCCTATTAATAATAATAATAATTAATAATAATAATAATGAAGGTTTCTTACCTCAGTGCCATTACAGCCGCACACACCTGGTGAACCCTGCAGTAATAATAATATAATAGTTAATTAATAATAAACAGGTTTATCATACTGGTTTTCCAGTCTGACCACGTAGTCCAGGTGGACCAATCATTCCCTTCTCTCCAGGATCACCTCTAGAGCCATTGAAACCCTATCAGACAATACATGTACATGTACATCAATATAACTACAGTAACAGTAACAGTAGCAGTAACAGTAGTAACAGTAGCAGTAACAGTAACAGTAACAGTAGCATTAGTCATTGCATTATTACAAGAGTGCAGCTGGACTTACAGGAGGTCCCATTGGACCCATAGTTCCATTACTACCAGGAGGACCCATCAGACCATCAGAACCATCGCTACCTTTTTCACCCTACAGTAATACAATAATGTACATATACTGTAGACACAGTAATACTCATGGTCATACTTTGGTTCCATTAATTCCATCTCTGCCATCATTACCAGGTGATCCAGTGTCTCCCTTATCTCCCTATAAAGAGGAGGGAAGGTTGCAGCTGGTTCAAAGTGTTAATGGTTTATTTACTTTAGTCCCATTGAGTCCTGGTGGCCCTCTCTCTCCTCTAGCACCAGCTGTTCCATTCAATCCCTAGTAATGTGGTTACTATGCATTGCCATGGTGATCTTGAGGTACTTACAGGTATTCCAGGTTGACCAGACATTCCTTTCTCGCCTTTGGTCCCATTGAAACCAGGAACACCAGCTGGACCCTGATAATATTTATTTTTAAAATTATTATTATTATTATTATCATCATGTCATTACTGGTTTCCCCGCTCTTCCATCTGAGCCTGGCTCTCCTTTCATTCCCTTTTCTCCTGGTTTACCCTAAACAACAAACAAACAATAATCAACAACAACAAACAATGTCATACTTTCATTCCATCAGTTCCATTGATCCCAGGTTTACCGTCTCTACCAAGAGAACCATTACCAGGCAGGCCCTATCATAGGAACAGTTAGTGCATGAGGTACAGTAGGTCTTAAGATTAGTCCCTTACCGGAGGTCCTGGTTTTCCAGCTCTACCTGGAGGTCCATCCATACCTTTCATTCCTGGAGGACCCATAGGACCCTAACAAGATAATATGGAGTAATTATATCATACAGTACATGTGAGTGTGTGAGTGTGTGTGTGAGTATAAAGCCTTTGGTGTGGTGGGAACCAGACAATAAACAGTCCATCCAATAATTCTCCACATTAAAGGACAGACATAGTCAGCAGGAAACACAAAGATATTACGCAGCAGTAAACACCAAATGTAGGTACATGTACATGTACTGACAGGGTTACGTGTAGTGATGCACATAAAGTGGACTGACCATGGTGCCATTATTTCCAGGGTCCCCTTTATCTCCTTTAACTCCATCAGTTCCATTCCTGCCAGGTACTCCAGGCATTCCTCTCTCTCCCATTTCTCCTCTGGGTCCATCAGTTCCGTTAAAGCCAGGGAACCCACGGGGTCCTTCAGGGCCTTCAGGACCAATCATACCCCTCTCTCCTTTAGTACCATTCATTCCACTAGGACCAGCTGGACCCTGTCAAGGATTTGCAATATTCTCAACTTTCGAAAAATTTCATAAAATACCCAAGGCTATAGCCCATGGTTTTTTCCAAAAAATGGCTCTAAAATCACCCTAAATTTTTATTATGTTTTCTGATACATATTAATGCCCTAATGCTTTGTAGAAAGTTTGAGGTGTTTCCGATAAGAAATTTTCAAGTTATGTCTAATTATAGACCTACTTGCATTCCTTTTTCTCCTTTAGGACCCACAGGACCTTGAGGACCCTCGGGACCTTCGGCTCCATCAGTACCATTGCTACCCTATTAATAATAATAATAATAATAATGATAAGTAAGAATTAATAATGGCTCACAGGTTCTCCAGGCATTCCTTTCATTCCAGGTGGACCTATTGAACCAGGTGGACCCTAACAGGCACATACCAATATACATTCATTATACAGTGGAAAGGTTCTTACAGGTTTCCCAGTAGAACCCGGACTACCGTCAGTTCCATTGCGTCCAGGAAGACCAGGAGGACCATCGGTACCAGGAGGGCCAGGGTTACCTTTTCTCCCAGGCTCTCCTTTCATCCCATCATCTCCTGGTTTCCCTTTCATACCCTAAATGAACAGTAATATCCCTACACATTTAAATGAGGTTTCTTACAGGGTCTCCTGGCAATCCCTTGCGTCCAGGTGGACCAGGAAGACCTTTAGAACCAGGGTCTCCCTAAAAGGTTTTCAAAATGATCAACTTAACAATAATACAGTCTTACTGGAGTTCCATCTGTACCATTCGTACCGTCAGTTCCATTCCTACCGGGTACTCCTGGTATACCCTGCAAGATAGAATAACATGAACTAACTGGAACAGTTTAAGGAAAGAATGAGAGAGAGAGAGAGAGAGAGGGAGAGAGGGAGAGTCCACTTACCTTTCCTGGGTGACCTCTTGCTCCTGGGTCTCCAGGTGGCCCTTTCATTCCCTTTAAAAATAAAATATTATAAATATAACTGCTAATAATGGAGGAGGTACATGTATAGAGTATACTTACAGTGGTATTAGTAAAGTAGACTTGTATGGACTAATGTATGAAGTTAATATAATAAATAAAATGATAATAATAATATAACTTACTTGACAGCCAGTTGTAGCTATACTGGTTAGACTGGAGAATTGGAAAGTATTGAACTATAGAACATTAACAAAAGAACAGGAATAATAATAATAATAATAATAATAATAATAATAATATACTTACAGTGGCAGGATTAGCTTGGGTTGCATCATTAAAATAAGTAAGCTGTCCTTGATCATTAGCAGTTGCTTTGCTGGTCAGTTCCACAGACCCAAGGAAGAAGCAGTCACTATACACAGAGAGTCTGACTCCATCTCTCAACGTAAAGCCAATGCTTCGATTTGAATCAGAAGAACTTGGTAAGAGGAAACCAATAGGAGTCTGATCGTTTAACCCTACATTGAACACTTTACGACTTGATGGCGAGTTCTGTCTGATTTCAACATTTAAGATATCAACATCAGTTGACTGTCTCGTCCATCTAACAACACTGCCAGTGTAGTCTGGGTTTAAACGTGAGAAATATGCAAAGGAAGATTCAAATTGGGATCCAGCTAAATCATCTAGTGAATCAAGAGTTTCCAATACTGGAGCCATAATCGTAGTACCAACACGATCTGATGCAAGATTAACTACAAGAAAATATTAATGATTAAAAGGAGAGGTCATTGACAATGAAGTATGATGTATAGGATAAGAGAAGCAACATTTTGCAGTAAAATATTATTATTATTATTATTATTATTATTATTATTATTATTATATTTATATATTACAAGTAGATCTACCTGTTTGACTGCTAGTTGCTGCTACTAGTAGACAAATGAAGAATAGAATTGGTGTTGATCTGTACATTATTGCTCAGGCTCAGTGCTAAAAACTGTGAGAAAAAAAAAACAATAAAAAACAAGAAAAGTACAAGATATACAATATATGATACTATTAAATGCAAGTACTTACTTGATGTAAGAAAGGAATGCAGCAGAAATCAGAGGGAGAGAGAGATAGGAACACCAGATCCAGGTCTATTCTCCTCCCCCAGTGATGATGATGATCACAGCACTCTCTCTCTGCTGGCTTTTGCTGGAAAAGCTCTTTATTATTATATACACTTAGACAAACGCTCCAGAATGGATGCAAACAAAACCAACCAGAGGCGCTGCGCATCCTGTGAGCCGGCCCTCTCTGTCTACTTCAACTCCAAAGGAGGGAAGGAGTGACTGCTTTCCCTAGCGTGACGCCAAGCAGCCACATCAAAGGAAAACAAGAAGCCCAAACAATGTGACAATATGGAGGAGAAATGGATGTCAGAAGCTCTGAAAATGGCAGAGGTTGCTGTAGAGTCTCGCGAAGTCCCTGTAGGCTGTGTTATAGTGAACAACCAAGAGCAAAAGATACTGGCCCGAGGCTGCAATGAAGTTAACGCTACTCTTAACGCAACGAGACACGCTGAAATGATAGCCATAGACAAACTGATGGAACTATGCAGGAGCAATGGCGGAACAAAGCTAGAGGAACTGACTCCTAAATGCACTTTATACGTGACAGTAGAACCTTGCATAATGTGTACCTACGGACTAAGACTAGTCAAGCTAACAAGAGTGTTCTTTGGCTGCCATAATGAGAGGTTTGGAGGGTGTGGCTCAATGATGAATGCTCATGATATGGAGCTAGGAGGACCAGCTGGAGTACCAGCCCTACTCCCGCCATTACTAGTGACCAGTGGTATTATGAAGGAGATAGCAATCGAACTCCTGCAGGAATTTTATAAAGGAGAGAATCCGAACGCACCAGAAGAAAAAATGAAGCGAAAGAGACGACATGAAAATTAACATTTTAACGAAATATTAATTAATGAAGAAAATTATAACAAATTCTTACAAAAAAGTATCATCATGAATGATTACATCAATTTCAGTGCACAAATCAATGTATTAGTATTACATGTTCATTTTCAAATGAAAAAATAAAGTTTTAACCAAAAAGAGACAAAATTAGTATCATTATTATTATTTAGGGGAAAAGGGAAACAGCAACAATGCAAATAATAATAATTATTATTATAACAACAATTAAGTATTATTATTATTAGACTAGTTAGACTGGCCTTGAGGAAGGTAGCAATGGATCCCTCTCTCCTCCCCCTCCTCCTTCAAACCTGGTGGTTTCATCAGCAGCTCCATAACTCACCGAATTAGAATCCATGTATGCTTTAGCCTTCTCGGCCAGACTCATACTAGGTCTAGTTGAACTGATGGAGGGCTTGGCAGCAGATGGGTTTCCCTCATCCTTACTCTCTGCATTCTTCTCAATGTCAGCAATTGAGTTAGTACTTACGAGTTCCTCGGGGAAGAGTTTACCGTGAGTATACCAGCCGACTAATATGAGGAATGCTGATGGCAGCAAGGCTAGGATACCTTGAATACCGTTGAGCTTGTCAGCAGAATCCGTAAATAAAATACCACCAACGACAAATGAGAGAAATACAAGAATAGGAAAGAAAGAAATGACAGCTAATAGCTGAACGATGAGTCCAAAATTATGTAGTATAGATTTCTTATTGAAGGACGACTGCCAGGTACCTGCAATGAATATAAGAGCAACGTCAAAGACAGCACAGAGAGCAACAGCTTTGATGAAGATGAGTTTAAGGAGAGTATGTATAGGGAACAGGTAGAGACTGATGGTAATGGTCATGGAGTAGAGGACTATGTAAGTGAAGAATATCAGTAACCCCCAGACTGCCAGAGTCTGTACAATGAAGGAAAGAGCCACTCTCAATCGAAACCTACGTCTAGCCACCTGCCAGAAGAAGGACTTACGATATTTACTTTTACCCTTGCCACGCCCACTGTGTCCGCCCCCCTGCTCAGCCTCTAAGCCAGGCTGGTGACAGTATCCCTGATACTCTGCTGAGAGTTTCTTCCAGTTTAAACCAGGTATCGGGAAGTCCACGTACTTCTTCATGAAAATAGCAATGAACAGCTGTAGGGGTACCATGACACCTATGATACTTCTGACATGAATGGATCCAGCAGAAAGTACTAACCAGCCTGGACCAACATCCCATATAATAACCAGACTAACAAAAGACCAGAACAATGGATAGTAAGGACTCTTCTTGCACTTAATGTGATCATAGATAGTATCGTATACATTGGAGGCAATACCGAGGGAAAAGAAGAACACAAAGAAGTCAATGAGTGAGATGATGGTGGTCAGGATGACATAGCTACTGTGAAAGACTATATCATCGTTTGGGTCATCAGTCCAGTTGACGGAGTGACCTCCATAGCTGTTGAAGGATTCACCAGATATGCCACTGGAGGTTTTAGCAAGGCTAGCGTAAGTCCTTAACTAAAAAGAAATAAAATGAAAAGGAACATAATGTAATGGAGGAAGTATAACCAATATTCATTGGAAGCAAATGGCTATGAGAAGAACAGGCCACAAGCCACAGTAGAATAACTGTGAGCCTTTCAAGAGGTAAGGGGCGAGAAAGACAACAATAGTAGAAGGACATTAACAATTAGAATAAATGATAAATATACACTGTATTAATGTATCTATTGTTTTCTATGCCAATAGTAACTCATACTATACTGAAAGATCATATTGCCAAGACAATAAATTGATTTGTAATGTTAAACAAAATACATTTACAGACAAAAGATTGACACATATGTACATGCACAAAAGGAATTAAACATTATTTGACTTACTGAGGTAGTAAGGTCCAGTAGTTGCTTGTGTACTATTTCTTCATCGTTGATACAATCAAGGGACGGTACATCAAGATTAATGGTGACAGAACCGTTGATATGATACAAGTGACAGTACTGCTCCCAATTGAAACCACGGAGGACTATGCCATAGTGAGCGAAATTAACTAATATCTGTCCAACTAAATTATTGGAATTATATTGGGTCCATAGGTAGTTGTAAGTGACATTAATGTCTTCGCCACAGGACAGTTGGTACCTGATTGGTGTACATAATCTACCGGGAGCTCCGGTAGAAGGAAAGAATAGCTTCCTTAGACTAAATAGAGCGAGGCTGTTGTTAGTGAGAGCTTCTTCTAATTCATTGTATATTGTAAATTCTTTTTCTGTGATAGACTGGGCGAGAGTGAAGAAGAGAAAGAGCAGGCAAGCAGCACCCGCCATATTGCTCTACATGCAGGTAGGCGGATCAAGGGAGTGGTCTAACTAACAATTGTAAGATATTCAAAATGGCTTCTCAAAGTGTAGTTTTTGTAGCAGTTTGTATCTCTTTGATCTCCCTTACTGGTGGTGGTAATAAGAATGCAATACCATCTTTGAAGATATTCGTAGTAGGAAGGACTGGATCTGGTAAATCTACTCTAATTAATGGACTTTTTGGAAGTGAAAAGGCTGAAGTTGGGGATGGCTTGGATGCTCAAACAAAAGATATTGAATGTTTTGTGGAACTTTATCATTCAGAAGGATCAGAAACGCAACAAAAATTCAAAGTTACCATTTGTGATTCTCCAGGATTTCGAGATCCTACTTTTAGTAACAGTGATGAAGAGTATGCAAGAATGCTGCAAGCATGTGTACCCAAAGATCCTGACCTTGTATTGTTTGTTGTGTCTATGGAAGAAACACGTTGGACTAGAGATCAAATTGAAACCGTCACTCAAGTTAATAAAGTATTAGGCAAAGAGATTTGGAAAAATACTCTTCTTGTACTGACGTTTGCAAATAAAGTTAATGATGTTGAAAAGAAAAATGAATTTTTAAAGAAGTTTGTTCAGTCACTTGACAAAATAGGAGTAAATACTGATAACATGTCAGTAGCTTTAGCTGGTCACTTATCGAAAGGTGAAGGAGATCATTTGCCAAAGCATGGAATTAAATATTGGTATACAGAGCTCTTAATCAAGGGTGTAAAACGAGTAAAAACGAAAGGTCTAGATGCATTAATGCTTCTCATTTTAAAAAATAAAGATAACGTTACACTTACAGATAAAAATAAAGCAATTCTTTGTAATATTTTCAACAACAGAGCATGTAAGTTTTCATTATAATAATTGATTACTATTTTTCTTTAGCTAGGGCAGTTTTTGCAACAGTACTTTTTGCAACAGCAGCAATAATGTCACCATTTGGATTTTTGGTTACTGGTCTTGTTAGTACTGGAGCTGCTGCAGCTGGATATTGGAGTACCACTACTCTGGATGAATTTTGCAGTGAATACGACTCACATGATGAATTATGAATACTAAATAAAATTTTTGTAGATCTAAAATTTTTTATAGTTTATTTTTCTGTTGTTTACATGTAGATTTACAAAAATAATATTATTAATAATAATTTTGGATTTTTCTAAAGCCCAACATACACTATGCAACATTTTGTTTGCAACAAATGCTGCATAGTGTATGTTGGGCTTAAAAAACACACCCAATTTCCTGTAAGAAAATGGCTTCTAAGTTTGTAATCTTGATAGCAGTTTGTATCTCTTTGATCTCCCTTACTGGTGGTGGTAATGCAGTGCCATCTGTGAAAATATTAGTAGTAGGGAAGACAGGGTCTGGTAAATCTACTCTCATTAATGGACTGTTTGGAAGTGAAAAGGTTGAAGTTGATGGACATGACACTCTCGAGTCTGACTCTGTGACTAAGGATGTTGAATGCTTTGTTGAAATTTATGAGTCAGGATCCGAAAAGGAACCGTGGCAAAAATTTAATGTTACCATTTGTGATTCCCCAGGATTTCAAGATACCAGTTACAGTGACGAAGAATACATAGAAAAGCTAAAGTCAAAATGCAATGATCCTGATCTGGTATTGTACGTTGTGTCCATGAGAGAAACACGTTGGACTATAGATCAAGTTGAAACTATCACTCTAGTTAATAAAGCATTGGGTACAGAAATTTGGAATAGCACCCTTCTTGTACTGACATTTGCAAATGAAGTTGAAGACATTGAAAAGAAAAATGAGTTTTTAAAGAAGTTTGTTCAGTCACTTGACAAAATAGGAGTAAAAGCTGGTGACATGCCAGTAGCTTTAGCTGGTCACTTATTGAATGGTGAAGGAGATCATTTGCCTGAGCATAATATTACATATTGGTATACAGAGCTCTTAATCAAGGGTGTAAAACAAGTAAAAACGAAAGGTGTTGATGCATTAATGCTTCTCATTTTAAAAAATAAAGATAAAGTTCATGTTAGATCTAATGAATCAGATATTTTCGACAGCTGGGCACATAAATTTTCAAGTTTCCCTCTAAAGGCGACATCTATTCTTTTTTTTGAAGGCACGAAAGCAGTTATTTGTTATGTTTTCAACAGCAAGATATGTAAGTTTTTAACCTGATAATGTTCATTTTAACTATTTTCCTTTAGCAATGGCAGTTATTGCAATTGTAATTTTCACAATATCTGTGACAATATTACCATTTGGATGGCTTTTTGCTAGTGTTGTTGGTGTTATAGCTGCTACAACTGGCTATATTATTGCTCAAAATATCACAGGAGAACTTTGCAACAAAACTATAATATAAGATTTTATGTCAGTTAGTGGAATTACATTATTATTATTATGCCCGAAATTAGATATAGCAATGTAACTAATATAATTATTAATAGATGATGTAACTCTAATATCCATGGGCGCCGGGCGCTGGCGCATCTATGCATGCATGCATAAACCGTGTGCCACGCCCTATAGATCTACATCCGGATATCCACCTACCGTAGTACCGTGGCAGAATTTGTGAGATTTATGTTAGGGAACCTGGCTGGAAATGTGTTGTCGACTTTTAACTTTTGGTGCAATTTTTACTTTTTTTATTGCTGCAATCTATATTTCCTGTCAAACTCGGAGTAAAACACAGTCGTCCAATGAGGAAACTAGTCTTGCTGGGTTTTTAGAGGACATGAAAAAAAATACCTGCGATTTTGTCATTGACATTAACTCTTACATAGGGTCATGGACAGGTAAGTTTTATTTAGCTTTATTGTGATAATTTTTTGTAGTATTTCTTTTTTCGCTATTTTTTGCAGTATTTATGGTATTCAAATGTGGGTGTAGTCCAGTTACCATTGTTGCTACTCTAGTTGTTGGAGGTGCTTTATACTTTGGATTCTATATATTCATTGAAATTGTTATTGGACGTATACACAATATATTCTGCACTGATTGATTTTTTAACCCTAATTTTTGTTCTTTACCATAATTATTTTTCTATTAATAATGTATACATGATAATATCAACGGTTATTTTATACTGCTAATACATTGTTAGTCATTGAACTGGCTTGTACATTAACGTTGTAATGTATTTCTCTTTATATCTGTTAGTGGTCCCCATCACTAGTACACCATCCTATTATAAATAATAGTTTTAAAAGCAATTATTAATAGTTAATACATTGTACAAGTAACTCACTTTAATTGATAGTGCAAAGAGATGATTTAGAGTGACGTGATTTGGTTCAGGCAGTAATGTTGGATTCTCCTACCAAATTAAAATTATTATTATTAAATTAATAATAAATACCATGATACTGATACACAAACTATTATAAGAACAACAACAACATAACAAAACAAGTAATGAAGAGGAAGACACTTGAATGAAACCTTGGTTTGTAATAAGAGTTCATTAGTTACCTCAGAAGGAAGGTCTTGGTTTAATACAGTTTGTTGGAGTAGAGAGGGCAAGTGAGGAGGGAGGCCACTGGTCGCTGAACGAGGAGGAATGATCTGGTCATAACTACCAGCTGGTGATATACTCCCTCCTATGAATGAATGGGTGTGGTTTTATAATGGGATGTGCCCACAGGAGAGTTGAAATGAGCTTACCTTTTTGGAAGGAGGAGACATCTATCATTTGATTAAAGACGTCAAAGTCGTTTTCAGTGACAGTAACAACATTGTTGAGTGTTCCAAGGCCATTATCCTGACACTCCTACAGTACACAATGAGGTCATAGTAATAGTAATGGTTATAGTGATTAATACTAGCACTTTAAATATCCAATTTATAGAAAAGGTTACAGTAATAGTACATTAGTAATGATTATAGTGATAATTGAGCTGTAATAGAAATATAAAACCATATTTATTACAATTAATGGTAATAATATATGACTGCTTTTGTGAAATTGACCCCATGCCTAAATTAATTTCTCTCTCTTCTCTACCTCTCCAGGATCATGTATCCATTCTCCATTAACATAAAACTTGTACTGGTGTCTTCCCTCGGGTAGCTCAACAATGGCAGTGAAATTATCTCGACTAGATTGTCAGGGAAACGAAACATAAAACAAGCCACACCTACTCCACCATACCTCTTATTCATTGGTATCTTCTCCCAGTTGTTGAAGGACCCACAGACGTAGACACTGCTCTCGTTACCTTTGAGGTCCCAGTGAAAGACTATCGGTATCAGTTTCTCTTGTTTCCTTGCCTTAGGTATTGGTTCAATGGCCGGTACCTCCTCCTCCTCCTCTTCAGTGATAGGAGGAGCTGGTGTTGGCTCTGGGGGTTTGTCTACAGAAGAGCCAATAATCTCTCCAGTAGTCTGTGGGGACTCTTCTCTTATGTCCTCTGTCGCTATCTCTGATATTAGATTGACACCAACACCAACTTTATTGGCTATGCTGGCCAAGTAGTTTTCTAAAAATAATCATAAAAATAATCTTAAAATGGTGACACTGTAGGTTGACTGACGGTCAATAGGAGATCCAAATACAGGAGGAGCTGGGTCTGAGGCTGAGGCTACACTGATTGGCTCTGTTGTGACGTTCTTGTGAGACTTTCCATGATAAGCACCCATCTTGGACAGAAAGCTTGGGGCGTGGTTTAATTACAAGACACACCTATCAATTATTGATGATGAATAATTAATGAACCCAACCCACTTAATTAGGGTGTGGCTGCCCAGAGCTGAATAAATGCAAAAGACTTTCTGCATTTTGCAAACTGATAATACACTTCTGTCCTATCAACACAGTCTTTGGAGAGTTTTGAGGTGCCATTTGCATCAAGGCAGGGTATTCTTTGATAGCCTGGGCCCTGGGATCTTCCTTTGATTCAGCTGCAATATATCATTGCTCCAGCTGCTACTAGCTAGCTCGGAGCACAACAGTACAAGATGGAGGCAACTTTAAGACCAAGGACTGCCGCCCCAGACATTCCCGTTAAGCATTCACAGAGACTAGAGATAGAGGCTTCTCTTTTAAAAGCAGGACTGCCGCTGGAAGGACTTTTAACTGCCACGGGCAATGAGAAGCTGATAAAATCAGCAGTGAGATTTGATGATGCCAAAGAACTAGCTGCAAAAGAATCCTTCAAGAAGCAAAAACAAGCCTGGGACTCACCGCCTGACACACCCAGGTTCCCTCTTGTAGGAACGTCTCCTAGCAAATCACAGAGGGCTGGAATGAAAAAGGTAAAAACACTTTAATAATAATTGTATCATTTCTTGATCATATTATACTTGTATAGATACAGGACTTTCTTTATCCTGACCACTTGAGAGAGCTGAGACGAAGATTTGAGGTAATGATATCAAAACCTTTCACCCTCACGTTCTCCTCTCTCTCTCTTTTTTAGAATGCTCCTCGCTTCATGAAGAACAAATTAGATTTGGACAATTTTATTGAATTCTTTCGTAGTCTCCCTGAAATGAAAGGGAGGGTAAGTGTGTGGCCATTAATACATTAATCTACCTGTACATGTACAGCACTGGTCAGAGGTAAGTTGACTCGCTTCGCGGTTGGTATAGTTTATCATTTTCATAGTAACATACTTAAAGTTGTAAACTAACATTATCCATGCGCTCAAATGTTACCACAATCTCTGCCAAATGTAACCTGTGTATATTCAAACATAATGTGGTTCCTTATCTTTGTATTATCATAGATATTATCACACTTCATTGCCAGTTCTCCGAACTACTTGAAGCCTGGTTTACACTTGTCATAAAACGACGAAAATGAACGCAAAATTGAAAATTGACCAATTTTGCGTCAACTTCTAAGAGTTTTTGCGTCAAAAGGTCAAATTGCCCACGCACTTTTTGACCGTTTTGTCGAATGTAAACCTAACTTTACTCTAGCTCAGCCATTGTTCGTTTGTAGACTTATTGCTGCTGACCAATGCTCTGTGTGTGTGTGTGTGTGTGTGTACATTTATTTTTTTTTATTTTAGAGTGATTTGGAGATCAAATATTTCTTTGATAAGATTGATTGTTACTCTGAAGGAAAGATTGATTGGGTAATAAAAGAGCGGGAGAATTACCAGCTGTACTCATGATTTATTATTGATAGGATGAATTCTGTACATACATGTACCTTGAACTCTATGAAAGAGAAGATGCAAAGAGCAAAGCAAAAGAAGTAATCTTAAAATGAATTTATAATTTTCATTTTATTTTTATCAGGTGGTGTTCTCTCTGCCAGCTGTCCCGTTGCCAGGGCCTCATAAAGACTCTCTCTGTGCCATCACTCACTTACAAGATGGATCAATGGTCTCCTGCAGTCAGGTATAGCTTCACCTCTTCCTTCCATTTATTGAAAGAACTAATGGATGGTCTCTATTCTGCTTGTGTCTATTTTAGGACGGGGTGGTGTGTTTCTGGACGCATGATTTAAAACCTAAAAGAATTAGGAAGGTATTGCTATAATAATGTATGTTACTCCAGCTGCTGTCATTAATTTGAATTTTAAAGACTGAAGCAGGAGTACTGGGTAAACCAAAGTGGATCTGTGATATGACCATAGCTTCATCTCAAGGGAAAGTTATACTAGCCACAGGGTAAGGGAGGAAGAGAGAGAGAGATGGATAAATATACTCTTCTCTTGTCCTTTATGATTCTCTAGTGATAATGAGATACAGTTTCTTGAAATGGTCAACTTTGAGCCTTACTGCCAGATCAGTAACCTTGACAACACTCCACTGAAAATAGACTTCTGGTAATACAGCGATTAAAGATAGTATCATCATCATCATCATCATTATTATTATTATCATTATTATTACTCTCTGGCGCTTCAATGCACAGATGTGGTTATGTCAATCTACCACCCCCCATCAGTGGTAGATGGTTTCATTTAACTTTGTTATTATTATTATTATTATTATTACTATTATTATTATTATTATTATTATTATTATTATTACTATTATTATTATTATTATTATTATTATTACTATTATTATTATAAATGATTTGTTTGTTTTTAAAAGGAGCAACCCTGAAGACAGCAGTGAATGTCTGCTTCTTGTTGGAGATGATCAAGTAATAATTAATAATTAATAACTAATAATTAATAATTAATAATTAATAATTAATAATGATGATAATAATGATAATGTTAACGTGTTGTATCTTCATTCAGGGATGCATTACTATTGTCTCAATATCAAATATGTATGAGACATTCAAGTATGTTAACACAATTCATGTACATGTACATACAGATCTATGTACATGTACATATACCTACTGGTGCATATGCAGTTTACCAATCCTCTGTGTATTACAGGATAATGAAAGCTGGTCCTAAGAAGCAGGGAGTCCCTACATTCCCTATTGAAGGGTAAGAGTGATGTATACACTATACATACAGTGATGTATTATAATGTACATGTACATGTATACTTACAATGATGTATTATAATCTAACAGACACCAGATACAGTATACATGTATACATGTACAGTTGGTGTATTTCAGTAATGTTCTTGTTCCCTAGGTTTCTACGAGGAGAGGCTTCCAATGGGGTACATGTTTATAGGTGAATCTGATAAATAACTTTAAAATGTGACAATCAATGTTAATATTATGATCATACACACCTCCCCCTCTCTCCCTCTCCCTCTCCTCCTCCCCCTCCCCCTCTCCCCCTCTCTCCCTCTCTTTCTCCCTCTCCCCCCCTCTCCCCCTCTCTCTCCCTTTCAAGATGGAGTCTTCATTCCAGCTGGGTTACTAACGTCCGTTACATTGGAAAGTTGAGAGCCTTCGTCTCAACATCAAACGACTCAAACACCAGCCTAGTGATGGGTACGTTGTAACCATAGCAACCATAGGTATCACCGTGGTAACCATAGGTACCCCTGCTGGTAGTACCCCAGTGGATGCTATACTGTATGGTCACCAGAGGTCAAGGAAGTCAACAGCTGCAAGGGTAGGGGCCAGGGTTTCATCAGCTGGGGGAGCACTGCTACTGAAAGCACATCAGAATATACCAGCAAAGAAGAGGTAGCATTAACCAGCACTGCTCTGTACATGTACCTGTACTACACTTAGCTATTGCAAGTGTACATGTACTTGTATGAGGAGTATAATTCATGATGTACTTGTATGAGATATGTAATGTATGAAGAGGTACTGTTACATAAGTACAAGTTAATATTGTCATTATAGTAGGGACTGTGTCCCTTTCAAAAATTAGACTGATTGTTACATATCAAAACATTCACACTTTGAATCTTACTGAAAGACTAATATTTCTTATTGTTATATACCCAAGGAACTGATCAATAGCATAGTGGGGGTCTCACTTGTAGGTCAATGAATATCATTAATTAATTGCAACTTCCTTTCTCCCAGATTACCAGGAGATCAGAGAATATTCAGCATCAGTAAAGGAGTAATGGCCTTTGACTATTGTGAACTGAACAACATACTAGTCACTGGAGGAATGGACCAAGTCATCTACTTATGGAACCCGTACATATCAGAGAGAGCCATTGGTGTGCTGTATGGTCAGGGGTCTCCGGTGTTCTCTCTTAAAATTGACTCATCCACTAACAGAATATGTAGCATCAGCAATGACAACACTCTCAAGATGTGGGACCTAGTTGAACAGACCTGTCTCGCCACCGTCACCTCTGTGGTTCATAAGGTGTACTCCACCGTGGAAGGTAAACAATGTTGTTGTTGTTGTTGTCGTTGTTGTTTGCTTATACTTGTTTGTATTATTAATGCATTTTGATAATGTATTAATAATATTTTGATGTATTTTACTGCATAATAATAATAATAATAATAATAATAATAATAATGATGATGATGATGATGATGATTTTATCTTTATTTTTGTTATATTGCAGCTCTTCATTTCAATCCATTGAGACAGTATGTGGTGATAGGGACAGATCAGCTCCATATATTGAACCTGGCAGTGATGGGAGGTATCCCTAAACTGGATACAATACAGACACACAGACTACCAGTATCCTGTCTCTCTTACTCTTATGCTTTTGGGCTTGTGATCACTGCATGTGATGAATCAGTGAGTAACAATATCCAAGACTATAGCCCATGGCTTTTTCCAAAAAATGGCTCTAAAATTATCCCAAATTTTTATTATATTTTTTGATACATATTGATGTCCTTATGCTGTGTAGAAATTTTGAACTGATTCTGACTTCAATTTTTTGAGTTACGGCCATTTTAAAGCCCACCATCCACTATTCAACTTTGTTGAAAGCAACTTTGTGGTTACTTTGATCTTATGGCAACTCTGTTGCCTGAAATAGAACTCAGTTCTATTTCAGGCAACAGAGTTGACAGCACATCAAAGTAACCACAAAACTTCTTTCAACAAAGTTGAATAGTGGATGGTGGGCTTAAGAAAATGCCAAAATTTTGAAAAATACCCAAGGCTATAGCCCATGGTTTTTTCCAAAAATGGCTTCGAAATTACCTCCAATTTTTATTACATTTAAAAATACATATTGATGTCCTTATGCTGTGTAGAAAGTTTGAACTGATTCCGACTTAAATTTTTCAAGTTACGGCCATTTTAAGAAAAGCCAAAAATCTGAAAAGTACCCAAGGCTATAGCCCATGGTTTTTTCCAAAAAATGGCTCTGAAATCACCTTCAATTTTTATTACATTTTAAAATACATATTGATATCCTTATGTTGTGTAGAAAGTTTGAACTGATTCCGACTTCAATTTTTCAAGTTACAGCCATTTTAAGAAAATGCCAAAAATCTGAAAAGTACCCAAGGCTATAGCCCATGGTTTTTCCTGAAAAATAGCTCCGAAATCGCCTCCAATTTTTATTACATTTTTAAATACATATTGATGTCCTTATGCTGTGTAAAAAGTTTGAACTGATTCCGACTTCAATTTTTCGAGTTACAGCCATTTTAAGAAAATGCCAAAATTCTGAAAAATACCCAAGGCTATAGTCCATGGTTTTTTCAAAAAATGGCTCCGAAATCACCCCAAATTTTTATTACATTTTCTGATACATATTGATGTCCTTATGCTGTGTAGAAAGTTTGAACTGATTCCGACTTCAATTTTTCGAGTTACAGCCATTTTTAAAAAATGCCAAAATTTTGAAAAATATCCAAAGCTATAGCCCATGGTTTTTTTCAAAAAATGGCTCCGAAATCACCCCAAATTTTTATTACATTTTTTGATACATATTGATGTCCTTATGCTGTGTAGAAAGTTTGAACTGATTCTGACTTCAATTTCCCAAGTTATGACCACTATTATTATTATTATTATTATATTGTTTCAGGTTGTGAAGGTCTGGGATATAATGAGTGGTGAGTGTGTTTTTGAGTTTGCATCAGTTCATGGCACATCTCCAATCACTGCCATCGACACTGACCAATCAGGAAGGAGGTAACAGGAACTTCTCTCATAAATTGGATTATGTATTTCGTCTAGACTAGTCACAGCTGCTCAAAATGGCGAAATAAAAATTTGGAATTTTAATAACGGACACTGCCTCCTGTCACTGGATAAAGGTATGATGTAATAATACTATCAGAATTAATATTTATTAATAATAATTATTACTTTTTTGTTGCTGTTATTATTTTTACAACAATAACAACAACAATAATGATAATAATAATTATTATTATTAATAGGCAACGACTGTGAAATAACAGCTGTTAAATTCGTATCAGTAAACCAACTAAAGTAATGAATTGATTCTGATGTAGTGTATGTATTCCTTCCTGCCCCTCCCACTGCCCCTCCTCCTTTTCTATTAGATATGTTGTAGCTGTTGGATGGGACAGAACAATTAATGCATTTTTTGTAAGTATCAATTATTAATTACTTAATTTATTTATTATTTATTTTATTTATTTATTTATTTACAGGACAGTTCTGAACCAGGTGATGTACACTCTTCAGCTTTACCCATTGAGAGATGGAAGGAATCCTCCGTAAGAAATAAAGCAAATAAATAAATTAATACACTATTCCTATTAGTCGTGTGGTCACAGAGAGGACATTACCAGTATTGCTTTGTGTTATCCAACTACACTGGCCACTGCTAGTTTTGATGGAGAGGTACAGCTGCTCTTTATATTAGTGTCGTTAAAATACGTCTGATTGCAGATAATCCTTTGGAACATGATATCTGGCCAGCTCATACAAAGATTAAAATCAAAACTTGAACATTTAAAAGGAACATCAGTCGGTAAGGGATTACATTGCAAGTCTTTGTTATTTAAATTTTATTTATTTTGTAGAAGAAGGAGATTGCGTTATACACAAACTGTTGTTCCTTGAGTCAAGAAAGAGATGGAGAAATGCTGCATCACTTGTAGCCAGTGGACCAAAGGGTAACTTATAAATAGTAACACAGTACTATAAATAGTAACACAGCATTATAAATAGTAACTTATAAATAGTAACAGGGTTTAATGTGTGTCCACTCATTGGTAGGGTATGTGTACTTTTGGAATATTCACGAACCCATGAAACCAGCTGGTCACTTTCAAGCCGTAAGTATACACTCATCTCGTTTGATCTTAACATGATACTTAACACAGTCTCAGTTCAAGTGTTTGACTGATATGAGTGTTGATTCCGCTAACACGATTTTGATCACTGCTGATATTGAAGGATTCTTATCACAATGGGACATCAGTGGCTTTTGTGTTGACGAAAAGAATAAAAACGCAAAATGTACGTTGGAACCACAGTAGGATTATTCTTGTGTTAAATGTTGCTGATTTCTTACGACTAAGCAAATTTAAATTTTCCGCCATAAAGTATTTACATCACACACTGTAGGTATTAGGAAGTGGAGGGGACATGCCGATACTATAAATAGGTTATCAATGATGATGTCGTGATGATGTAATCATTATACTGTGTTTATTTATAGCATATCGATAATTGAAGAATGGAGCCTTTACATCACAGCATCTAATGATTGCTCAGTGAGAGTCTGGACTCATGAGGGACACTACGTCGGTAAATAATTCAGTGCAACACCATTTAATGGACCGACTATACATGTATTTCATGATGTCTATATCCGTCCTATAGGTACATTAGGACAAAAGGCTCCATGGGACATTACGAACACAGACACTTACCAGTATCCATTGTCACCTAAAGATGTCCTTTTGGACCCATTCATCCCAACCCTCTCTCAAATGGAGGATGATAAATATGATGAGCTAGGAGGAGGAGGAGGAGGGGAGGGGAGGAAAGCAATGATATCTGATCTGGAATCTGATTCTGCAGAGGAAGAGGACAAGGTGATTCATGTCATGATATTAATGATCTATACCTAATTACCTTGATCTGTGCATATGCAGGAAATATTTGCAAGATATGGGCTGAGTTTTGATGTACCAAGGTAAGATAAATAAATAAATAAAACATGTAATTATTACAATGATGTATTGTTAGAGCAAACTCACCTGATGTTGAAGGGAAAAGGTAACTCATTCATAGATAATGTGTTTATTTATTATAATCTGAAGGTTGAGACATTTAAGATCCAATTCCGCCAAATCCTCAACTGGTTACAAACCCCCAGCTGGTTCATATGCTTCACTTCTGTATCAGGAACTGGAGGCGGAACCAGATTATACTAGAACTGGAACCAAACAGACAACAATTAGATACAAGAAGAAATACTAACAATACACATACATGTACTTGTTAGACATTCTTTTAATACTATGATATATAATTATTATCATTGTTTGGCAGTTTTACAGTTAACACAGACCTGTCACACCATCAAAGATTCATTTTAAATATACTTTTTGTGCAAGAGTTTTTTGTCAATTTCTTGTTCTATATATAGTAACGAATCATAACTTATAAATAGATATATAGCGATCATATATATACACACACACACACACCATCAAAATTATTATTAACTAATTATAGAGAAGAGATTGTTGATTTGTCATCATTATATAATTATTTATCTAAATTCTTTATTCAATGTTAGTTGAAATTCCTCCATCCATAATTTCTCTAACATTTGTACAAATTTTTGAACCGACTTTCCAGTTTTTGAGACAATAGTCCAACTAACCGACGGCCCCTGCTGACTCTATTAATAAACAATAATAATAATATAAACAATAATAATTGCTTATATTGAAAGTGAAAGTGACATTGTACCTCGTTAAAGAATTGCAGAGTGAACTGGCAAACCTGATCATCATAAAGTACCTATAACGTATTGTAAAAACCAGTCAAACCAGTCAAACCAGCCAGACAGGTCTTACCAGTTTTTCTACATCAGTAATCTGTTTCTGCATTACTCCACTGTATGGCGGTAGTAAGTCATTCTTATCAGGCAGTGGGTGGAGCTTAGGGAGTGGCCACTGGGGATTGTCCAGTGCCAAGTATAAATAAAGATTAGTTAGTACCAAAGTAACTGGTACCAGAACTGGAGAGGAATGGAATGAAATAATGTTGGTATGAGTTACCAAACCTGGATCATTTTGAGGAGTATATTTATGAACAAGTAGAAATATCTTGACTTGTTCTTCAGTTTCGTCATCATTCTCTGATCTCTTGTCAACAGAATCACTGATACTGGAATCATAATTCGACTAACAGGTTGATACAGAGATCAAGTGTTAATGCAATATGACCAAAAGATAACACTTCATGATTTGAATTGATCACTTACTGATAGTACATTCTTCAAGTATTTCTGTGGTTCTCTGTATTAATGAAATCAAGTTAGCGCGGAATCAAATCAAATATTAACTAACTTGATACTAACAAGAGATAGTTGACCAACTTTGACTCCTTTGAACTTTGACCTTGAGATATCAGACACAACATCTATTTATTATTTCTATTATTTAATTAACAAGTTGTGTTGTTTTCTCACAAGATAATTTGTCAAACATTTTTCTGCATTTTTCTTCGTTTCTTATCAAAAACGTGTAACACTGCGGAGGATCATCAAACTCTAATCTCAGAGACTGAGAAACAGTGAAAAGATTAAAATCAATATTAAATTAATGATATTACCTGGTATCCAACGCCTATTATTATGTAAACCAAATTCTTCAATTTTAATTCTTTAGTTAGCTCAAGCCAACTGTCAGGCTCCAAACTAAAAAATTAAAATAATATAAAAATAATAAAGTGAATCCATGAACATGAACCTCTCTGGAGCAGTGACTCTGTACAGGTAAGCTCTGATTGATGATATAATAACGAAGGACTCAGTTTCCACTTCACTCCAGCTGCCATACTCCACTATCGGCATCTATAAATGAATGAAAGGATCTTATTTTAAATGGCCAAAAAACCCATTAGTTCCATTGTCACGAAATCTGTGACAAGCAAAAACCCATTAGTTCCATTGTCACGAAATCCGTGACAAGCAAAAACCCATTAGTTCATCCCTTACTTTTGCCGCTAGTTCAAACTTTTCTTTTCTCTCATTATCAAAAACTTCTAAATTGAAATGAACTTGAAAGCTATTGTGAATGTAAGTCGGATCGTCTTCCTTATAAGGGCATACAGGAGAGTGGGCAGCTTTGGTCTCTTCAGTCTCGGATGAGCTGTGATGGTGAGTTTTACGAGAAGAGCTTTGTTTCTTCTTAGACGTAACAGAAAACAGGCCACCTGGTTTTCTATTGCCACTCCCACTACCAGAAGACTTCTTCTCTCCACCTGAAGCTTGATGATCAGTATCAGCTTTTGAGGAACCTCCAGTTGTCTTATCGCTCCTCTTTGAAGCCCCACCCCCTACTCCTCCTCCTATTAATTTCTCTAAAGATCGCTCCTTCATGGCCTCAGGAAGAGGAGGGACTTTATAATCCTGACTTTGGGATCTTGCGTGTGATTTTCCTTTCTTATCAACAGGGTCTTCCTTCTTCCCCTTTATAAAGGATGGTATATAGTTCTTTAGTTTGCCACCACCTTCATTAGGGACGCTCCTAGCCATCAAGTAATCCCCAGATTGACTGGTTTTACTGGTTACCGGAACCGGTTTACTGACCGGGGACCGGTCAACCCTTTCAGAAACTGATTCCTGTTCTGCTCTAGGACGGGAACCAGTCTTGCTGGAATGGGAATCGGATTCTAAATCGGGCAGGTTGTCAAACGGGTTTGTACTGGTATTACTAGTTCTTGGGCCTGAGCTCAGAGAGGAGAGAGGAGAGATTGAAGGAAGATCATCATCAAAAGGATTAGTGGAAGTATTCAGCTTAGAAGTAGCTCCAGTTGATTCTTTATTCTTTTCTCCAAATGATAATGGAGACACACTTTCTGAGGCTTCACCAAAAGACAGGCTCAGTCCGTGTTCTTCCTCTTCATCCTCCACTATCAAGGCCCCGTCCCTTTTAACTAAAAGAGGTGTGGCTGATGGCGGTTTCTGTGGTGTTTGGAAAGGACTCATGTCTGGGAATGGGCTCGGTGGAATGGGACTGAGCCTAGGAGGCCGAGAGGAAACTCTATAATCTGAATATTCGTGCGAGTTATGAGCTGGCTCAGGATAGCTTGCAAACTGTGATACATCAATATGACCGGGGCTCAGTAAATTATTAGTATTCTCTTGAATACTAGCGTCACCATTACTCCTCTCATTAACGAGTGGTGATTGGTTACTCAGAAAAGGTTTCCTAGGGAGGGATCCAGTGCTGGCTCCACTGTCATTAATTTGAATTAAGAACCCGGCACACTTTGGACATATTTTACCAAACTGTCTCTTGTTCAGGTCAAAAGACGTTGAGAAGAATCCTGCTGACACAGCAGCTGGAGAGTCCTGGGGAGCATCAAGAGCCTCCGACCAATCAAAAACAACCTGACACTTGAAACACTAGATACAGATAATAATAAATTAATTAATTAATTATAATCTCACTTCAAGTTTTGTTGCTATGGATACGGTTGAGGTGTTTGCTTCAACAATGGGTTGGAGCTGTTCCATTATATTCTGTAAAACAAACAATAATAATAATACTAAAATTAATAATTAATTTAATTAATGTATATATATATCTTCTACTGTACCTGTTCTGATGAGTCATCATTCAATATGTATTCCCTTTTCCTTCTGTCCCTCCTGTCGTAAGCAAACTGGAGGAGTAACACTGACCTGTAAACAACAACAATAAACAACAACAATAATAATAAATAATAATAATAATAAATTTACTTGTCTTGTCCTCTTATTCTTTTCTTTTCAACTGAAGCTGATTTAAGACACTGTAAATCAAGTTGATCTTGAACCTTTTAGTAATAAATAAATAAATTAATTAATTAATAAATACTAAATCCCATACAGTGTGTGTCGATATGTTAATCTCTTGGAAGAATCTGTCAGATATTGATATCCAAGTGCTTCCATTGTCACTATTTGATGGCTTCTCTTCATCAGTGTCGCTCTCCAGCAGTGACACATCAAATATACTACCAGTCACCTGTGGGATTGGTCCTGTATGGGGAGACAGAGATGAGAGTGCTTTTAAAATGAACATAATAACAATGGACATTATGTATTGTGATATGGACCTGTTTCAATTGGTGATTCCGATAAGCGTTCCTCTTCTTCCTCCATTTTAAAGACAGTGCTGTCTTGTTGAGTAGCAGCCCTCACTCCATTGGTTAGGGGACCATCAGTTTCTTTATAATGAACAGCATAAGTTGGTGATGGGGTAGTTTGAACTGGAGGTGGTATGGGACTGAGTCCACTTGTGGAATGGGAATGAGGATGAGCTCCAGTTTCATTAGGACCAGGTGGTGACAGTGGAGAGGGTGTGTCTTCATCTAGTGGGAGGGGCAGAATGAACTATTAATCAAATTAAAGGAATACATGTACATGTACCTTCGCTTTTAGCTCCACCCACTGAAGTGGAGAAGCTCTCAGCTGTACTTAACCAATCTAAATTAATAATTAATTAATAATAGTTAATAATTAATAATAATTAATAATAATAATAATAATAATAATAATAATAATAATAATAATAATTACTGTCTTTAAGTTGTGTCCTCAGGTTGTTGTGTTTGTTCATACGTTCAGTACTCAATAATGGGACAATGGAAGCTACAGTAATAGACATAATTCATCGTGTGATCATCATGTGATTATCATGTGATCATCATGTGATTATCATGTGATCCTTACATGTCTGACTGGCCGATAGAGATGAATCAACAATGGTGTCATCATCGTTCAGAACTACAATCCTTGGCTTCTTCTTGAGGCTGGATTTCTAATGGAGGACAGTACATGTTAATATGGCTGACGGCTCCCTCACTAGCTGATAATGAACACACAATTAAACTATACTCACTCTTCTTTGAGAATACTTAGGAGACGTTGATGGATATTTAGGAGACGTTGAGGTCAGGCTCTGCAGCCTCACTCCTTCAGTGACTGACTCCTCCTGTCTGGAGGTGGAGCTTGTTTTACTGGTTACTATGGCGATGGGTGAGAAGGAGACAGGAGTGGGTGCCGTGGGCCTAGGGAGTCCTTCAAAATGAGAGGCTGCTGGAGATGAGGACGGAGTGATGATTGGAGTGGAGGGAGGAGAATAGCGAGTCGTTGATCTTGATATTGCCTTCAATTAATAAAATTAATAATATCAATTAATTAATGATTGAAATGTATTTACCTTTCTTTCAACTGTAGAAAGTTTCTTACCATCCAGTTCAAACTAAAAGGAAAATAAACAAATAAATACATCAAAAACCAACTGAAACTTTCTACACAACATAAGGACATCAATATGTATCAGAAAATTTAATAAAAATTTGGGGTAATTTCGGACCTGTTTTTTAAAATGGCTGTAACTCAAAAAATTGAAGTCGGAATTAGCTCAAACTTTCTACACAACATAAGGACATCAATATGTATCAAAAAATGTAATAAAAATTGGGGGTGATTTCGGAGCCATTTTTTGAAAAAAACCATGGGCTATAGCCTTGGGTATTTTTCAAAAATTGACCCGTTTTTTAAAATGGCTGTAACTCAAAAAATTGAAGTCGGAATTAGCTCAAACTTTCTACACAGCATAAGGACAACAATATGTATCAGAAAATTTAATAAAAATTTGGGGTAATTTCGGAGCCATTTTTTGAAGAAAACCATGGGCTATAGCCTTGGGTATTTTTCAAAAATTGACCCGTTTTTTAAAATGGCTGTAACTCAAAAAATTGAAGTCGGAATTAGCTCAAACTTTCTACACAGCATAAGGACAACAATATGTATCAGAAAATTTAATAAAAATTTGGGGTGATTTCGGACCCATTTTTTGGAAAAAACCATGGACTATAGCCTTGGGTATTTTTCAAAAAATGGCTCCAAAATCACCCCAAATTTTTATTATATTTTCTGATACATATTGATGTCCTTATACTATGTAACAAGTTTGAGCTGATTCTGAGCTCAAATGTTGAGTTACGAGCACCTAAATGACAATAAAGATCACTTATCCCAATTAATGCCCACCCCATTATACACAATAACTTACTGCAGTAGGTGAGACAAGGTTCGATAAACAAGACATCAGTTTCAGCCGATACTTTGGATCATAAGAAACTGGATTACCCATCACTGACAACTAATAAACAACAACAACAACAACAACAACAACAACAATGAATAAATAAATAAATAATAATGTTTACCACACTGAGGTGATGAAGGTTCAGTAAAGGTTTAAGTCCTTCCATTTTACTAATGAGATTCTCGCAAATGTCAAGCTCCACAAGACTATCTAGAACCTCCAAACCTGACAAGAAAAAGAGAGACAGTAAATGTTAAGAATATTCTCTATATATAACATTAATCTCTCTATACTTCATGTGTAGCATAGCAGTGTGTGTGTGTGTGTGTGTGTGTGTGTGTGTGTGTGTGTGTGTGTGTGTGTGTGTACCAATGATGTCTTTGAGCAGGTTATTTCTTAGAATTAGTTTAGTTAAGTTGTATTTTGCCCTATCACCAAATTCAGGGACACAAGTCAACTGGTTGAATCCTAAGTGAAGTGTCTTGGCTTTATCAATGTACTAAAGGAAAAAGTATATAATAATAGACACACTATGTGTCTGGAGGTGAGTATCAGTAATGTAATACCTGAGTCCCTTGATATCTGCCCTCAGCTTCACCTCAAGCAGATATCTCAGTCCTCAGGTATTACATTACTTATACACACACTCCTCCAGAGGGGCAGGTCACTACATGTACCTACCCATACCTGTACACCAGTTAATGCTTCCAGTCCATTTTGTCTGTCAGAGTTGCTGCTGTTAATACTACCACAGCTTGATTCACAGCCGCTCCCTCCAATGTGGTTACTGCTAACATTTAATGACTCAACTTCAGGCAAATATTGCTACAGTAGATGAATGAAATACAGTATAATATTCATCAATATAACATTATGTATTATGTTCAAGGTACACTACTTACCAGTGACTCCCCTAGCAGTTTTATGTAGTTAAATGATAAATCCAATTCCCTCAGTGAAGTCCAGGCAAAGGCTCTGGCGTTATCTCTACCACATTTTATTAATAACTCCTAACGAGAGTGGGCGTGGTTTAATACACATACACCTGTAAATACCAGGTACCTCAAGAGTACTCAAGTTAGATCTTTGAATGACGAGTACTCTTAGCTGCTGTCTCAGTTTCTGGAGATTATTGAGAGAATAGAGAGGGATCCTTCTCAACTATAAAGCATCATATAAGGTGGCATTATTAATGGCTGGACAATAACTTACAACTAAACACTGAGCTGATCTGAACACAGAGATATCAATATCAACAAGTGATGGAGCTACTGTGTGCTTCCGATCAGAAATAAGCTACAGAATAAGAGAGAGAGGGATAGAAGGTAGACTAGAGAGAGAGGGAGAGAGGAGAGGGAGGAGTCTAACCTTTAATGAATGGACTTTAGCCAGACAATCATGAAGATACTGTAGGTCAGTTAACTTTTGGCTTCTGCTGGTAGTCTTGGAATCATCTGAAAAAATAAACAAAAATGAAAAGAAAAGTAAACATAAACAATGTTAATGAGTTATGGTGTACCTAGTAATGATTGAAGTTTCTTTTCTATGTAATGTAGACAAGCTGAAGTTAGTGACAGACTGTGTTCACCATTATACAGCTGGACACCTACAGGAATTAATAAGAACATGTACGTACGTGTACACATAATGAGTACATGAATCACAATAAGGACACTGTACACATGTGGCATCTACTTTATAATGAGGACACTTTGTATTGTCCCAATTGGTACAAACCTGTAGGCTAGGCTGTACACAACTTTACTCATTTCTACTATCACTAATGTTACTATATCAATAAGTCACATGCTCATATAATAGTACCTTCATTGTCTACACATACACTGTACACTGTACACGTATTACAATACATGTACAATGACTATCAATATTTAATGTACTGTACTGATGAATGGACATAACCTTTTGACACTTAACACATGTACATGTATTGTGCACTGTATATGACACACACACACACACACACACACACACACACACACACACACACACACACACACACACACACACACACACACACACACACACACACACACACACACACACACACACACACACACACACACACACTGTCCCTTAATGGAGTCCTGGTGATAAGATCACTACTAATAGCTACTCCGCCCCATTACTAGTCTATTACAACGATTACGTAATGTACATGTATATATAAATGTGTCATTATTATTAATAGAACAGTGTAAAAGGTATAAAATGATACAGAATGAGGTTGTACGGGTAGTTTACCTCTAGCACGAAAGAGTTCCTTCAATTCTGTGACATATTTGTCTCCAATTGAACCAGAGGCGCTCATACTATGATCCTGTGATCCTTTACTCAGCAGAACAAGGATTTCACTTCTTGACCCCGCCCTCTTTGAGGGACACACCCTCGATATGGGTGTGGATAGTTATTAATAGTTATTAGTGAAGTTATTCATAATCTGCTGCAGTGAGAGTATGCACATGACAATGACTTCACTTTACTGCTCTATCACTCTCTGTGTGTGATCTACAAGTGGGTGGATTCATTTGCAGCCTTTGCAGCTTTTAAAGTCCAGTTTTTTCAGACATTGTAAACTTGTTTGAGCTCATAAGTGGGTGTGGAAAAACTGTAGCTGCTGATTATCTCAAAATGACCTACAGGCTGTTGTTAGCAGTCTCTTTTATTGTTGTTCTATTAGCAAGCAATGCCAATGGTAAGTTAAATGAGCTACATTACATGTATACCTTGCATTTGCTGCCTGCAAAGAGTCGTCTCATTTATAAAACTACATCTTTTTCTCTTGTAGCTCAGGATCCTCCAGCGCTACTAGCATTTGCTATGAACCTGCAGCAGGTTCCAGGAATAATTGGATTTCAATTTGACTCACAAGTTCAAGCTGAGTCGTGCAATCCATCTGAAGTCACTCTCAAAAGCTCCAGCGATGGAACTGGTTCAGAATTTTCTCTCACTGGAGGTTCTTGCACTCTATTAGATGGTAGGCTATTACTTACACTGACAGCTGAAGATAGGCAATCTCTTGATGCTGATACGTCTCTAGCAACGTCTGCTGACAATACGTTTATAACACTTGGAGGACAATTTGTTATAAGTACAGAAGGAGTGCCTAATGAAGCTGTTGAAACCCCAGTACAAGTAACAGACTTTATAGGAGGAGGAGCACCTCCAGCTGGCCTCACTATTGATTTCTCTTTACTTGATCTCAATGCTGGATTCCTTACATTAGGATTCACTGCTGATATTGCTAATCTTAATCCAGTTGGTATCAATATCAGTAATACAGGACTGAACACTACTGTAGTGATAATTCCTGATTTCATTACGTTAGAACAACCAGTCAATAGTGTCAATATAACTCTCTCACAAGCTAACTTGAATTCATTAAAGATTGCTTTTGGTTCTTCTATTAATTTTACTGCATGGAGTGTTTCCATAGGTCCGGATACAGCCACTACTTCTGATGGAACAACTAACACTCCAGCCACTATACAGCTGACCAGTGCAGTTCCTGACACTACTTCTCCTATATTCCAAGCTCTTGGTCTTAACATGAATACCAGCACTGCTCTGATTACATTTGATGAACCGATCGATATAGCAGCTGCTGATTTAGATGCTGTTTATTTAGTCAACCGGGTATCTCCTCCATTTTCAACTAATTATAGTTTAATTGATTCAACGCTCAGTGCTTCACAAGGTTTCACTATGGTCTCCATCACTTTCTCTTCAAATCTTGCCAATCAGTTGAAAGCTAACCCATTGATAGCAACAGCTATAGATAGTTCTTTATTCTTCTTTCAGCAGGTCAGTTTCAGTGACTTTGGTGCTAATATTCTCCCAGTAATGCTGAGAGCTTCTACTGTTGATTTCTTTACAGCTGATGCCACTCCACCAAATTTGATTTCATTCAGTGTATCACTGGATTCTGGTACCATGGACATGACATTTGACGAACCTCTTGATCAAAGCTTTGATATAACTGGTATCACGTTTCTCTCTGGCTCAATGTCACTGATATTTGATAGTCAGGCATCATCAGTCAATTATAGTTCACTCTTCACGACTGTGAACATCCAGTTTAGCACCTTGCAAGTTAATGAGATCAAACTCCTACTCTTCAATACCAGCAGCAGTAACGTCAGCATAGCAATGAGTAGTCCCACTTGTAATGACACTACTGGCAATCCAGTCACACCCATCCCTCTCTCTGATCCATTGACAGTTAGTAGTATCGCTGGAGATCAAATACATCCATTCCTTGTCTCATTCTCACCAACACAACGTCCTCCTGATGCTTATTCAATGAGTTTCACTTTCAATGAGTATATGGATCCTGGTTCATTTGATCCTAATACTTTAAGCCTCACACTGACAAGCTCAGTTTATGGTACTAACGTATTCTCGTCTTTCTCTGGGGGTACTCTGACTAATGTCGACTATTTCACTTTTATTTATTTCTTTGATCTCTCAAGTCTACCATCAAATTTCCCCATTGCATATCAAATAGCTTATTACTCAGGGAATATGTCCGTTACTTTTGGAAGTGACTTTATTTCTGATCTAGCTGGTAGGATTGTCTTCACTCCAGACCCACCCCCAGTTGTTTCCTCTAATGAAACTGATACTTCAGTTCCACCATCTCTACAATCCTTCTCTCTTAATCTTGCTCAAGGATTAATCCAGTTAACATTTTCAGAAGAGGTTGTTCTTCTTGAAGGTTCAGCTACTTCTCTCACTCTTCAAAGCAATAGCAATGGAGATAATACCTTCTCCTTCAGTGCTGCTACTTATGGTAACCTTCAAGGTTTGACTGGTTCTATTATTAGCGTTAATATCGATTCTAATGACCTTCAATCATTATTATCAAACAATGCTATAGGTACTAGTGTTGATAATACATTCTTGGTAGTATCGCAATCTCTAGCTATTGATTACAGTGGTAATATGATCACTAATTCTGCTCCAATTCAAGCAGCAAGTGTAATACCTCCATCAACTTCTTCTGCTACAACAGCTCCCTCAACAACCAGTGCAGTATCCTCCTCTATCATGAGTAGTTCATCAGTAGCAGCTGCAAGCAGTAGTTCAGTTGCTATTTCTACGACAGCAGTTCCCTCAACAACAGATATGCCAACAAATACAATAGCACCAACCTCCACTGTGGCAGGTACAAGCTCAGCAGTGACCTCTGTAATGACAGCTACTACAGCAGTAATCAGCTCTACAGGAGTAGTTAGTACTACTCCAGCTAGCTCCACTCCAGCTAGTTCTACAACAATAGCAGTTAGTTCCACTCCAGCTAGTTCCACTGCAGATGTTAGTTCTACTACAGTATCAGTATCAGCTACTACAGTATCAGCTAGTTCAATAGCTCCTTCCTCTACTACAGTAGCAGGTAGTTCAACACCAGCACCTTCCAGTACACCAGTAGTGATTACTGATTCAGTCCTTGATATGAACAGTGGTATCATGAACATGACAACAAGCAGGGACATTCAAATTATTCTTGTTGCTAATAACCTATTGATAAACAATGGTACCTCATCCTATGCATTAACTTCAGTTAGCAATTATAATCGTATCACGGGTACAGAGTTCATGATAACCATTGGATCACTGGATCTTAACTCTTTGAAGGTCCTAGAACCGTCAGTGAACTGGTCACTGACAATACAAGCTGGTGCTGTATTTGATATATCTGGTGGTACTAATGTACTGCAGACTGTTCCATTCAGTGAGTTCATAGCTGACATGACTCCTCCTTTATTGCTAGCATTCATTATTGATATGAACTCTGAGACCATAACCTTATCGTTTGATGAGCCAATCATTGATATCAATGTAGCTAGTGGTGTCTATCTCACCAATTCATCAGTTAGTAGTACACCAAGTGCCTATCAGTTGAGTTTATTGCTTCAGTCCTCTACAATTGATTCAATGACTTTTGCTCTAACAACACTTGATCTGAACATGCTAAAATTTGATTCTACAATTGCTACAAGTGTCCTAAATTCGTTTATCTTCTTGGCCCAATCAAGTTTTGAAGATTACAGTTCTAACCCCATAGGGCCTGTAAGCTCTCAAGCTAGCTCATTCACACAGGACTTTACTCAACCAACCTTAGTCTCATATCAAATTAATCTAAATTCTGCTAGCATGACATTCACCTTTAGTGAACCAGTCATTACCAGTTCTATTAATAGTAACGGAGTGGTTATATCCGGTTTTTCACCGATCACTTCATCAGCAAATGTAGCAGTATCGTTGATTGGTGGGTCTGTGTACGATACTATTATTAGCGTTTCTATTAATAGTAACATTAATGAGATCAAATTAGCTCTATACGGTAGCTCTACTGCCTATATCTCAGTCCCTTCTACATTTATAATGGACACAGCTAATATTGGCCTCAGTGTTATTAATATGCTTTCTCCTCTTGAAGCCTCTCAAATATTTCAGGACACAACCTCACCGTCAGTCACTGGTTTCTCTCCTAATGCATCTTCTCCCATTGCTGGATCCATTAGCTTCATCTTCAATGAATATGTAGATATTACTACACTCAGTGAATCCAGTATTACCATTACTATCAGCAGCTCTGTCATCAATGGATCATATCACATGTTTAATGGAGGCACATGGTCATCAGCTCCCAACAATGCCACTGTCATATATTCATTCAGTAGTGGAGACAGGGAACAACAGTTCTTTGGTATTGGGTACCTTTTAGCTGTTAATTCCGGTCAAGTCTCTACCACTTTCACCACTGGCCTAGCGACAGATCTTGCTGGAAATATTGTCAACACTCAAGTATCTCCGCTAACATATACAGCTGTGGTTCAAGATAACGTCAGACCTCAGTTTGAATCCTTCACCATTGATCTTGATGCTGGAGAATTGATGCTTAGTTTTTCTGAAGACGTCATCCTCATTGCAATCAATGGTAACGTTCAAATTCAAAGCTCTTCCATTAATCCTTCAGACGTGTTCATCTTGAACACTGCTGCTTACACCAATCAAACAGGATTGTATGGAACTATTATTAACATCAGACTGACTACTCTTGATTCTGGCCTGCTGTTTAATAATACCAATCTTGCTAACAGTGTTAATGACACATACTTGAGTTTATTGGAAGGATTTGGAGTCGATTACTCAGGAAATTCTCTCATAGCAACTACTGATGGGATAAAAGCAAGTCAAGTCGTAACGTCACTCACTCCTGACAATCCACCATTACTACAAGATGCTACTCTGGATCTGAACAGCAACACATTGCTATTAACGTTTAGTATGGCAATGAATCCATCTCTTACTGCTCCTGATCTTATCTCAATAGCTCCTATTGGAGTCTCCTTGAGTGCTGGTGCTAGTGTGGAGCTCTTTAATGGGAACGATACAATCCTCTTACTCTCCCTCACTCCCTCTGACTCTTCCAATATTAAATATTTATTTACAGCTGGTATGAGCGTTTCACTGGGATCCAATTCAGTGTACAGTACTGAAGGTGAAGGTAGCTTAATACAGTCTGTTACCATAGAAACTATAATAGCGGATACCACTGGTCCTTTAGTATCCACGTATTCCTTTGATTTGGACAGTGGTCAGATATCTATTACATTTACTGAACCAGTTTCCAATTCCACCTACAATTCATCCAATGTGTGGCTAAGCAATGTGAACAGTACCCAACCTACTGGTCTATCATTAGCTAATAGTGCTATAGCATCAAGCAGTGTTAGTAATACGATATTGACTATACAGTTACCCACATCTATTATCACTGCTGTCACTTCTGATCCTAATCTAGCTACGTCTACTGCAAACACATTCTTATTCTTTGCAGCTGATAGCTTTCAAGATTTGTTCTCAAATCCCTTGCAGTCAAGTCCTTCAAGTATTCAGCCGTCAAGTTTTGTTGGTGACACTACAGCTCCTTCTCTTCAGTCCTATACAGTTGATCTTAACACTGGAATACTCTCACTGTCTTTCAGTGAAGTTATGATTGTATCTTCGTTTGACATATCTCAAGTTACTCTCTCAGTGTCTAGTAATAATCTTGTAATAACGGACTCCAGTACAGTGAGCACTGGCTACAACAGTGTCATTAACATAGAGGTGCAAGGGTCTTCTCTCAACCAGTTAAAGGCACTGATCAATGGTGGATCAACAGTTAGTCTCAGCATGACATCCTCTGCTGCAATGGATGCTAGTTCTAATCCAGTCACTAGTATATCAACCCCATTAGTTAGTTCAATGGTCTTCCTTGATACAATGTCACCTTCTCTTGTTAGTTTATCTGCCAGCACTGTAGACCAAAGAACACTCAATATCACTTTTAATGAGTACATACTGCCTTCTTCATTCAACCCAGCAGGTATTACACTGTATCTCAATACCAGTACAGGTCTTTATACATTCAGTGATTTCACTCAAGGAGCAGCACCTAGTGGTGTCTCTTCCAAGTTGACATTCATTTTCAGTGAAGCTGAGTTCCAGGGTATGGTAGCAATACGGTACCAGCAAGCCTATTATTCAGGCAGTATTGGTATCAGCTTAGCTCCTACTGCTGTTACTGATATTGGGGGAAATGAGGTCACTCAATCAACTGTGTATTACTTTAGCATGATGAGCGACCCAGTCTCACCTCAGCTAGTATCATTCCAACTAAACCTTGACACTGCTAATCTAACTATGACATTCTCAGAGCCAGTAGTCATTAACCAGATACAGCAACAAGTGACTGTACAAAATGCAGCAACTGATCCAACAGAAAGTTACACACTCACATCTTCTGGTTACGATACTCAAGAAGGAGCTGTTGGAACCACTGTTTCACTGATACTGTCATTAGGAGATGTAATAAGTATTGCCGGTAACCCAAGTCTTGGTAGCTCAGTCAGTAATACTTACCTGTTACTGGGGGCTAGTATTGCTGTGGACTTTAGTGGTAATTTCTTGCAAACTCAAGCTAGTTCAATACAGGCTTCATCAGTTGTTGATTACTCTGGTCAACTCAACCCGCAAGTGAGAACGTTTGATCTTGATCTTGATTCCGATCAAATGACACTTCATTTCAGTGCTCCTGTCAATGTCAGTACACTCGTTGCATCAAGGATCACGTTATTGAATGATACCAGTGATCCAATCACCTCAATATCACTGACTAACGTAACACTGATTGCTCAAGGTGAGCAAACTGATTTCCGTTTCCTACTCAACACTCATGATATCATTAACATTAAGAGACACCCATTGTGTTACACTTCTAGCAATTGTTATGGTAGCTTTGCCCAAGGGCTGGCTCTTAATTCCATTCAGTTGCCATCAGCTCCTACTCCATCGATACAGGTGAGTACTCTAGTTCAAGACGTTACTCCTCCAAGGTTTCTTGCTTTTCCTGTCTTTGACTTAAACTCTGGTTTATTTACTATTATATTTTCTGAGCCAATCAATGGATCAAGTGCCCAGTTTACTCAAGTCACTTTCTCAAATTCTGTGAATAATCCAAGCCAATCGGTCACTCTTACCGAAGGATTTACTTCTCCTGATAGCATTGAGATTGATTTCCATCTCACTCGGCCTGATCTAAATGCATTAAAGTATCGTCTTAATCTCTGTACTGACAGAACCAATTGTTGGGTGGCACTGCCTTCATTCTTTATATCTGATATTGGTTCTAATCCTTACTTGCACTCCAACTATCAGCCTGGAGCTATGGCTAGCTACCATCAGCCTACAGTGTTTGTTCCAGACACTACCCAACCTTCTCTGGAGAGGTTCAGTATTGACATGAATACTGGTCAGATTACACTGTCTTTTGATGAAGTGGTGGATGAAATGTTTTTTGAGGCTAATGACGTTACCTTGCTTAACACTACAGGACCAAACCATTTGAGTATTGCATTAAGTAATGATACTCAATACATTAGGATTAATGAGGGAACTGAGATAGTACTGACACTGACCACTGATGACTTGAACTGGATCAAAGCCAGAGATATATTTGATGACATTAACAACTCTTTCTTGTCATTGGTTACACTAATGTCTGACGTATCAGGTAATGTATTGGAAGATGCTATTGGTATGCAGGCATGGACTTTCACAAGAGATGAATCAGCAGTGAATCTCATTCAATTCAATTCATTTGATCTTGATGCTGGTACATTTGTGCTTTTATTTGATGAGCCGGTAAACCCACAGACCTTCAATATGACGGCTCTGGTGTTCTCCAGTGGTACCAGTGGCTCTCCTGTCACTTACAGACTAACTGGTGGGATCTTAGCTTCATTCAATGATGAGAAACTATCGTTTCAATTTCAGTTTATAGTCAGTGACAGAATTGCCATCAAACTGCTACCTGGTTTAATGACCAACGAAGCCAATACATACGTATACACTGACTCTAATCTTGTAGCAGATACTTCTGTCAATTATAATGCACCAATTCCCATCACATCAGCTCTCAGAGTAGCTTCAGGCGGTTTCATTCCTGATACTTCCCTAGCTGAGTTAGATTCCAGTGAGCTGGACATGAATACAGGGAGTCTAAAGCTTGTATTTAATGATGTCATCAGTGCCAATAGTTTAATGCCGTTTTTAATTAGCATTCAAAGTACTCCTTCAATAAATGATGGGACTAAGCACACACTATCAACTAGTAGTGTTACAAGCACTCAGAGTTCTAATGTAATATTCATTTATCTCCCAAAGAGTGATTTGGATAGCATTAAAGCTAATCTTGATCTTGCAACACAGTCCAGCACTAGTTATGTATCCTTCCCAACTACAGCAGCACAAGATATTGAAGGAAGGAATGTCATTGGTGTAGCTAATACTGCAGCTCAGAGAGTGTCACTGTATACCCCAGACACCACTCAACCTCAGTTGCAATCCTACACCATTGACATGGATACTGGAACACTAGCACTGACTCTATCTGAGCCAGTTCTATTGCAGTCATATACTCCACAGGAACTGACCATACAGAACACAGCCAGCACTCCCAGTTCATCATTCACCCTTACATCAGGGACTGTCTCTGCCGATAATGATATTGCTGATAGTATCATTACATTGACTTTAGATTATGATGATCTAAATGAGATTAAAAGTTTAACATCACTAGCCACTGATATATCAAGTACTTTCTTAACAGCAAGATCAAGTTTCTTTACGGATACAAGCAGCAACATGTTGGTAAATGCAACTGGTCTATCTCCTTCAAGTTTTTCAGGTGATGTCACTCTTCCTGTTCTTGTCTCCTTCAGTCTTGATCTAAGAGCCAGTGGACAGCTGGCTCTTAATTTCTCTGAGGCAGTTCGCTACACTGCCAGTCTCCAGAGCACCATCATGCTACAGAACAGGGTCACCAACCCTACAGTAGTCATTAGTCTTAATTCAGGAGAGGCTGCAACAAAGACAAGGCTTGACGAGGTGACGATAACCCTCTCCAGTTCTCACACAAATCAACTACTAACTGATCCCGATATAGCAGAGACTACTAGTGCCCTCTACATATCAATGACTCCTGGAGGAATATATGACTACAGCAATGGACAGGGACAGACTATAGCATCACTCACTCAAAAAGCAACTTCTCTTTGTAAGTATAGTAGACTGCTAACTTGTACCTTATTATTATTTATTTCCTTGTTTTATTTTAGATCGTACATGTTTTGATGCTAATACGTACAACAATGCTAGTCTTGGCACATGTGAGATGTGTTCTCCATCTTGTGTTGGAGGCTGCACTGGGTCAAGAACAATAGCTGGTCCTGGTGGCTGCAGCCAGTGCAGTGTTATTGAACTGGACACTAATGGAGATCAGGTACTACTAGTGGGCAACAGAGTACCAGTTTATACTAGCAAGTTTTGATGAAAGTCTCTGTACTGTATGTAGTACAGGGACCTTGGGCTGATTTTTGAGAAACTTTAAAAATTCATAAAAAATACAAACTTGATCAAAATCAGTTCAAACTTTCTACACAACATACGAACATGTATATGTATCAGAAAAAATTATAGAAGTTTAGAATTCTCTACTTTTAATTTTTGGTGAAATTTTGCCAAAATCCCTGTACTATAGTACAGGGACTTTGGCCTGATTTTGGAGCAATTTTAAAAATTCATAAAAAATCCAAATTTGATCAAAATCAGCTCAAACTTTCTACACAGCATACGAACATGTATATATATCAGAAAAAATTATAAAAGTTTAGAATTCTCTATTTTTAATTTTTGGTGAAATTTTGCCAGAATCTCTACCTTGGCCCAATTTTTGAGAAACTTTTGTAAAACAATTAAACTTGATCAAAATCAGTTCAAACTTTCTACACAGCCTAAGTAGATCTACATGTTGTGTTTTCTTTAATATTTCTCTCCTATGCAGGTCACTTGTCTTCCGACTGGTTCACAGTGCCCCATTGATTATTACAGTGACACCAGTACATCATTCGTTGGACTCAGTTCAGGCGGTCAACTGTGTCGTCCTTGTCATGAAACATGTGCAACATGTAACAATGGAGGAGAGAACTCCTGCACTTCCTGCCAATCGGCATTCATTGTCAATAGTTTTGGTAGTTTATCTCAATGTGCGATGTCCTGTGGGTCTAATGTCACTGATTGTTTCTACTGCCATATCGAGTGTAATGGTTGCACTGGGTCTACCAATCGTGACTGTGTCTCATGTAAGGGTTTAATGAGGACTAATTCTCAAGGTCAAAGGGTTTGTGCTCCTAGTTGCAACTCTAATCAATACCTCTCAGAGAAGAATGGAGAGTTCTTTTGCTTTGATTGTCATCCCCAGTGCTCCGGTTGCACAGGCCCTGCTAACACTCAGTGCAGTCACTGCAGAAATGTGAACAATACCTTCACTAGTGAGAATGAGTGTATTGCTGCCTGCCCTTTTGGCTCTTATTCTGATGATAACAACAAGTGCAGGGCCTGTGATCCTCAGTGTAGTGGCTGTAGTGGTCCTTCTTCATCAAACTGCTCAGTCTGCAGTGAGGAATCCATTACACAGACCAATGGAGAGTCAGTCTGTGTTCCATCATGTCCACTCTGGCAGATCTATGATCTCAGTAGCAGCAGCTGTGCACTAACAAAGTAAGTGATTCTATTTTTAGATGTAGCTATTTTTAGTAACACTCATTTATCTTATATTGTCCTTGCTTGCAGTGATGCTCAGTTAGCAGTTATTGTGGTAGCATCAGTGACTGGTGGAGTCCTATTGGTATTAGCTTGTTTGTTGGCCTGTTGCTGTATATTCTGCTGCAGGAAGAAGCTAAAACTCGATGCTGATGATGACATTGTAAGTTTTTACTTTCATAATAATAGCAATAAATAATAATAATAATTGTTATTGTTATTATTGTTGTAATAGGAGTTAACTGGAGGTGTTGCATTCAAAAGAGGCTCATACCTTACAAGCAAAATGAGTTCATTATAAAAACACACAAAAAACAATAAATTTTTAATTTTAAACTGAAAATGTCACTATCTAATTTATAACAATATTTTCTGTAATCCCACACACATTATTATTATTATTATTATTATTGTTATTATTATTATTATTATTAATGTAGTTTTAAAATGTCACTCAGTATCTTGCTGACGGTAGTTTGTAGTAAGTAGCTGCCTCCACTGGTCCCACTGGAGTATATCCTTGAGTGGTTTGATAATCGAGTGAGGAAGAAGTCCTAAAAGCAGGCAAATTGAGAGAAGACAATGAGAATATCTGTATCCTTTGGTTACCACAGTCAACAATCACCAGTTCTTTTCCCAATCTGACACCAATCCCTCTTGGAGTATCAAACTTTCCTCGATCTGTCCCTTTCTCCCCCAGTCTTAAGACGAGCTTCCCTTTGTCCGAGAATATAGAAACCCTGTGACCGTAAGCCTCAGTCACTGCTATGTACTCACTGCGTGGGAGGATTGTGACTCCAAAAGGATGGACTAGAATACCAGGTCGTCTGGCATCAACTGTCTCGGGCCAGAGTGAGTCTCCACGGTGAGATATCTTAGCCAGTGTACCATCACGGAGGCAAGTAACGACCAGGTACTCCCTCATGTAGTCGATACCATGAGGTTTCTTGTTGCTTATATCAGGTGAGCTGATCCTGGACTGGTACTGCCCATTATTATTGAACCGATAAGCGCAGCTCTCACCGTTAGAAGGCCAGAGGGTGACGTACATCAGTGACTGGCTCTTATTCTTAGCAACAGGAATGGTGGAGCAGGCCAGGGAGAGAGGGATCATGTCTTTCGATAGTCTGCTCTCCCTCATTTTACTTAAATGAGAGCTGCACTTGACCTGGTACAGGCCCTGACTGCTAGACATCAGTATCCTATGATTGCAGTTGTCAAATGTGACTGCACGAGGCTGGACTCCTTCTTTAAAATGCTTTGTGATTGTTTTAGATTCTTGACTAGTACCCAACATACAGCGAAGACAGCAGTTGGTCTTATCACTGAATATCATGTAGCCATCAGATGAAATGCATAAATCATAAAGACAGACGGTCTCATTTGGGCTCTCGGCCATACAGCTAGCCATGATGATCTGCTCTGGTTGGATAATCATTTCCCTTGGGAGAGTTGCTGGTATAGACCTAATTGGAGATGGTTGCTGAAGGTCAGGTGCTTCATAAGGAGTGGGTCCATCATCATCACCAGTCGGTCCAGAGCGAGTAAGGGGTTGATACGAGACAGGGAATGGAACCCCATCAAGTGGTCTAGTATATTCATCAGGAGGAGCATCAGCTGATCCTTGCTGTTCATTCATTGGTATATACTCTATATCATCATATAACGGCTCATCTGCAGGTAGGAGGGTATCGTAACTTTCGGTAAATGTGTGCTGGTCTCCTTCTCCTGCTAAAGGATGAGGATCAGGATAACCATATTCAGCAATAGGAGACACTGCTGGTGTGGAGTAGATACTCTTTCTTGGAGGAGGCAGTGGAGGAGGGAGGAGAGTTTTAAGTTGGGGTTGAACCTCTTTTAGAGCCAGGTATTGGCTCTCTTTAGCTGTTGGTGAGATAGGATCATTAGGTGATACATACAGTATCTCACCACTAGTAGTAGAGGGGGATGAATCTGCTCTGCTCCTCCTGCAACGAGGAGTGGGTACTACTGTCTCCTGTTCTTGTGGGGACTGGGCAGTAGGTGGTGTCTGCTCTGATTCAATGTGATCATAATCATCATTTCGAGGAGCATCTTCATTGTCATTACTAGTGTCTATTTCAACTCCTTCAATAGCAACAGTAGGTATGGGTAGGGGTGGTGTATCTTCTTCCTCTCTCTCCTCCTCTTCGTCTGATGCACTTACCTCTCCTTCTTCTTCAACCTCCTGTTTACTATCCTCCTCCCATTCCTCTAGCACTTCTTCTGATTCTGTTGTTGGTTCATTAGTAGGTTTGGCTGCATTATGAGCTGTAGATGGAACTTGTCTTGGAAGGGAAGAGAGTAAATCCTCTTCGTCAGAGTAATATTCTCGATGAGGATCATAGCTGGCAGCATAGCTGTAAGTTAGGTCCTCACTGGGTGCTGGTGAGGGATTCATTGATGCCAGGGCTTGTTCTATCAACAGCTCTTTTTTTGAATCTTCCTTTTTAATTGGAGTCGGATGCTTTGGACGATTCCTAATATCATCATTGGTATTGTGGGTCAGGGAAAGCGGAGGTGGTTTTGCAGGTGGCAGCTTTTTGTAGAGCGCTGTTTCTCCAAGTTCCACTGAATCAGTCTGAAAGCTAGTTAGGCTATCAACTTCATCGTAAGTGTGCTCATCCACTTGACTAACTTGACTCACGTACGGTCTCATTGGACTGAATACAGAGCTGGTGATGCTGTTTAGAGAGGCCATGTCATCCAATGATGACTTCATATAGCTGTGCCTTGAGCCATGCTTTCGTTCTGAACTCCCTCGACTGCTAAAACCAGTGTA